GAGACAGGGGGGCCGGCAGCGGTTCCTTTTGACGTGGTTCCATGCCCATCGGTGATGCAAAAGCCGACGTCGTCGAGCCCTGGGGCCAGGAACCAGCAGCAGGAGACGCCACTCGCTGGCTGGCCCTTTGGTCTGGGGTAATGATCCGTCGCGCCTGCTGCGAGACTCGGGAAAATACCTGTCCTGATGCTCCAGTGTGATCTGGTGTGATGTGGATGCTGAAAACACTTGGCAGCCGAGCAAAAGGGGGTTGGCATCTCGCTCTAGCACCTGGCACAGAACCGTAGCTGGTGGGCGGATCGCCGGCCAGCGCTTTGTGATTCGACAATTGGACAGGACAGGGCAGCTCTTTGCTTGCCGAAACACCATTCGGTCGTGCGTCCAAGGGTTCGGCTAGTTTCGTATTTCGTACTGTTCCTACTTCTGGTAGGATTTGGCCAGGTGAAGTCAGGACAACAGAGTCCCTTTGCTCCGTAGCGCCGCTCTCTGCATAGCCGGTCCTTCTGGTTGGCAAAAAAGCGTCATGGTCTACCTAGTACCTGACTGAGAGAGTTCATGGACAGGGGGGCGCATGAGGCCTATGAAGGGCCAGTCGCTCTGCCGTTTCGGATCCGGCCGTTGGTCCCAGCGGCCTGGGCGCCGCGATGGGATGGAAACGAGGAAAGATAGGCTTCTGGGCCTGATCAGAGGTTAGGCCATGATGGCGATCACTCGCGAGGTGTCGATAGTCTCGCCGAAAGAGACGCGCGCCCTTGACCAGACTTACAGGACGGGCCTCTTGTAGGTAAGCATTGCGCCGGACAGATGCCCGGCAATCGCTGCTGCACTCGTACAGTATTACTTCGTTGGCCGGCGGCAGCCACTCGCCGTCCTTCCCTTGCTTCTGCCGCCTGAAAACGCCGGGATATTCACTGGGCAGCTGGGATTCGGCGGTATGAACATGCATCGTTGGCCTTCTTCTCCACGCCTCGAACGAAGGAGGAAGTGAGTCCAGGCCGCGCGACCTGGCGAGGAGGCCCGGTTTGGCGGCAGGTACAAAGTGCCGTAAGTACCTTCCTCGTGATAACAGCATGTTGAGAGCAAGGCAGGTACAGTGCTCCGTACCTTACCTGGCGATCACGTCGACTTCCATTCCAGGTACCTACCTAGATTCCAGTCGTGACAGGTTCAGAGTACTTTCAACTGCACGTTGCTTCGCGCACTGCTCCAAGTACTCATACCTGCCGCACCTGCCCCTACAGTACGTCAAAAAGGGCCCATGCCAGCGGCCAGGCAGGGATAAGGTTCGCACCTGAGCAATCGCTGGATCTGGCCTATCGGAACTCAGGCAACTCCAGACCTGGTACCTGCGGGCTGCCGAAAACGATCATGACTAACGGATGAGCCATTAATAACATCCACAATGTCCCTGCTGGGCGGTTGAGCCCTGATCATTGCCTTCTGGCAGCGCACTGCATTGACATCTTCAATGGCTTCGAGTATGCATGTGAGAGGTATTAGGATGGGCGATTTGGGCCATGTTCAGCGGGCATTTGTTGAGTCATATGGGCGAAGCAGTCCTTCGCAGCACCTTTAAACATGCAACTACAACTGGTCTGTTCCTCTTTGCCTTGGGCTTCGTGTAATTGCCCCTACCTATGCAGCATGTGCCCATCAGGCCGGATAATCATGGCAAGAGGGTCTCTGCAGCTGGGGAGGGGGAGAGGGGATGAAAAGAAGGACAGACACTTGTACAGAGCAAGATAGATCCAGGGAGAACTGCGTGGCGAAAAAAAAAACAAGAGATAGAGAGAAGGGGAGAGAGGAAACCTCACGCCGCGATCCACCTCATGCAACTGCCCACTTGCTCACTCTCCTCCAATCCCAGTGCCCCTTGGTGGCGGGCGAACGATGAGACGTCCCTGTAAGCCCGAGGTGCTCGTGCTTCATGGATGGCCTGCTGCAATGCTTCGGCGGAAAGGCAGAAGCACACGTACATGTACGAGTACTCTCTCTCTCTCTGCTGCAGTAAGGTATCTCACCCATTTGCTGGCGGTTCCAGGCCCTTCGGAGAATGGACGTGATTGACAACATGAAAGTGAAGAGAGGGGGGGACTGAGGGACAGGGAGGGAGAGAGAGCACGGCTCAGCAGTTGCGTGATACCACTTCAAGGCGTTATTGCCACAGTCTCTCGCTCGCTCGCATGCAGAGGTGCCTTTTCCCTGCCCTACCTCTTCCTCTTCCTCCTCTTCCTCCTCCTCAGAAGGGAAGTGATAACCCCGATCCCCCTCCCCCTTCGCCCTCATCAATTCTGACTCGGCCAGCGCATGCAGAGTGAAAAACTCAAGCCTGTGTCAAAAATGTCAGAGTCTTGATTTGTGCAAAAGCGTACGGGATACAGCAGCAGACAGGCCCTGTAAGGCGGCCGCATGATATGCGGCCCTATAAGCGGAGGGGGGCGTGTGCGTCGAGGACTGTGCCGTTTTGATCCCATGGAAGCAGAAGAAGAGGAGCAGGAAGCAATAAAGACATTAATAGCGCTCTTCTCACATCAATAAAAAAAAAAGAAGAAAAAAGAGTGCATACATGCATGTACTCCGAACGGGCACAGTCGGTTGATGATCCTGGGCGAGACGCCTGCTTGAAGATATTGAGCCCGCTGGATAGTCGGGGGAACTCCGAGGCAACTCACGCAACGGTGCCCATGAATTCCTCGTACGTCGTGGCCGGCCTTCCTAAGGGGCTCTAGGTGAGCTGAGGGCTTTCAGCTCGGCGGTGCAGAGGGGACGCTCAACGTATTATACCAAGAATCCACATGCTTGTGCGTTATTCCTGGTGGCGTGAATGCATGTGAGCAGCAAGGAGGTAATGTTACATATAGTACCTCGCGCAATACGTCTGCGTGATCTGGATGCGGTACGTCGTCACATCCATCCATCCAATGCCGACAAGAATCTGCTCCCAAGAGTAATCATCAGCTCTCGACACAGTAACCCACCCTTGACCCGGCGATGATGTGCAGACCTGCGAATGCGGTGTGCCACAAGGCCCCTCTCACAAGCCCTTCATCCGAGACATGCTTCCCTCGACCACTGTAACTACCAACGAAGAGTAAGGTGAGTGAATGCTCCAGAATGTAAACGGTGGGAAGCAGTGACTTTGGGGTCGCCTCCTTGTGCGAGCAAAGGTTGGTAGCTGTTTGGAATATCGGCTCTTGACAGCCTGACCCTAATTGTGACTCTTTGTGCGGAGTTTTGCAAGGCTTCGTGAACCGGCACAACTCCGTCCCATGGGCGTGCTTGAACCAACATCTGCTGGGTACGTTACACACATGCCGAGGGCAGAGAGCACAGCTTGCTTCATCCAGCCGCTTGAAGACTTGGCAATAACCATACCCTCAGCAGATAACAAAGTGTGGGGAACTGTAATTAACAGCCCAGGACCAGCAGTAGAGGACTCCGTAATGGCATGTATGTACATGCAATGCACGGCCATCCGAGAGAGGAGCCTTGCACCGTCCCTCCGTGCTGCTTCGGGATAGTTCAATGCCAGAGAGCCTGCTTCGCAAAGAAAGTAAAGTCCGAGAGGCTCCATGCTCGTGCCCGTACCGACAGGTTCCCCCTCCCCTGGGATACATGTCCTCTTCTCGGGTGCCACTTCGGTCAGTCTTGACGTGTGCGGAAGAGCGCGGGTCCCGCCGTTTGAAGCGAGCTGCTGGAGGAGGAAGAGGCACCGTTGATACGATCGAGACGATCCATGTTCGCACATACGAGCACTCCGTCGTGAATCTTGCTCTTTTGAAACCCCCCCTTGCAGTGTAGCGGCTGGTGAGCTGTCAAACGTGTGATAAACAGAATTATCAATCGAGCGGTGGCGGATTCCATTCGTTCCACGGCCAAGCGGGCTGATTCGACCCAATGATCAAGAAAATGAGTTGGTGCAGCCGCCATGCTTTGCGTCCCTTGGACGTTCGGAGTATACCTAGTTCGGAGCAGATAAGGGACAAGGGAAACGGGCGGAAAGACGGAGTCGAGAAATGGGACTTGGGAGGGGATGGTAGGACAGGATCGAGCGAATATCATCGACCTGGCTGGCCTTGCCTTGGACCAGAACAGAGGAAGTGATCTGGCGGATCGTGAATCACTCGAGCTTCTTCGACAGTAAGACGAATAGTCCATTGATAGCATAAGTTGTCCAGAGCTTGCATGTATCTCCAACCTGACCGCTGGCTTCTGTCGTTGTCGTTCGGTGCGGAGAAACTGGGCTCAAGGAAAGCAATGAACCTTGAAGCCTTTCCTCTAGCTGCATGAGACCAGGTTGCCGTTGCCCTTTCAAAACGACATGGACTCTTTGAAGCTTCCGTTTGGACCCAAACAGGTCAATTGCGTCTTTTTTTCGGGGCTTGTTTCGAGTAAACGAAGCGGTTGGGTAGAGTTGCAGAAGCTTGCTGGCCACATCATCCTTTCCCCTCCCGTGTTGCATGGGTTTCGAGGGTTCAGCGAAACTGCCTCGGTCTGTTGTACGAAGTACGAGATGCTACCCAACGAGCCGTTGGAGACATCGAGTTCCGTACCTTTTGCGGAAGGCAATCCAGCTCTATCCTGCTCTTGGAAGTTTTGTGAGATGGCCAACCATCTGCATGTCACAACATATCGGGAAAAGGCATCTCCGAGAAAGCGAATCGGACAACCAGCAGAACGAAAGACAATTCTCAGACACGATGCAACTCGAATGAAGCTTTCGAGTTTGAAGCAAGTTTCGCGCAAATGTCAGGTTCTTCATGAATATACCCAGGGACCTTACATGTACGGTAAGGTGGAGGTGAACTCAATCGCAGCTGGTGAGCTCCATCAGTCTTTTTTCTTCTCTCTTTGTTGGTGATTTGATGGTGTATGACTTGGTATATCGCGGGTTGATGCTCCTTCTTTGATGAGGATGCTCCTCAGTGTAGATTGCAACATACCTGAAGTTCATGACAATGCAGAAGGAGAGTTGAACAAGGCAAGCACCGAGAACTGGTGGTGAGAACAGAATTTATCTATATTACGAATGATACACCGAATGATGATTTCAAACCCTGAATAGGTAGCCGCAACGTGCGTGATGCGCCACCCTCAGGTTACGACGCCCCCTTCGCGTCTCCATAGGAGCAAATCGGGTCTGCAGTTCTCGCAATTGTGTCATGGTATGTATCCCCGCCCCCCAGATTTACTGAGTCTTGAAGAGAAGGATCGCGCAGTGGCCGAGGTAAAAGTATATGAAGTGCTTGGTTTCTAGAGATACCGTTCATGTTAGCCAGATGGATCGCGGGCTCAGCTGCTAGGTGCAGCTCGCTGGACCTTGGCATGGGGTTGACAAGGCTTAGACAGATTGCAGCGGCAGTTGTCCACGTACCGTGAGTTACGAAGCTGCCAAAGTTACGGCCAACAATGCAGTGCCAGGTCGGGCCCTTTCGCTCGTCAAACTATGTCGTTCTATGTGGTAAGCAGGATGTCATCTCGCAAAAAGGGGATGCCTCGTGGCTCGAGCAATTTGGCTAACCGTTCGCTTGATGTGCTGTGCAATGTCCTGTCATACGGGTCAGTAACTCGTTCACAGCAGCAGAAATGTGTTCAAAGCATACCTTCTCAATCGTATACTTCGCCATGGCCTCCTGAGCTGTAGTGCCTCTATATCAGCTTCCGATTCCAGCTTATGGCTGTCTATCTCCTTCGGTTGCGCATAATCGAATCCAACGTACCGACTTCTATACACTCCTGCTGCATATCATCCGTCTTTCGTCTTCGTTAGCTCGATCGTTGCTCATCGTCGTCGTCGTTCGAAGCGGGCCTCACCATGTCTGCGGATTTGATCTGCGCTGCGATGCCAGCCGTCAGCTACTCTGCCCCTGAGACTGTTGTTTGATGTTGGCTAGCAGCTTACCCTCGAGCTTCTCCCGCGCCGCCGCAACCTCTGCCGGCTTGTCCGCCATGTTGTCTGATGAGTGCACAGGTGCTTGTTCGTGTGGTCAAGGCTCGACGCGGTTTCGCTAGAGAAAACAGGGTCGTTAGCAACCGTTACGTGGCAGCGCTGCAGTCACTCCATCTCTTTCCAGCTTCCGCCGTGACAGGCACAGGCAAACGGACGCTGCGGAACCGATGGGCGCTTACCCTCGAACGTATCGTCGGTTGAAGCTGTGTTCGCAGCTGGTTGTCGCGGCGCAATGATTTGGTGCGGTCTCGGAGATGGTTGTGCGCGCAAAAGTTGTTGCAGGCTTGCGCAGGACTGAGCTTTCACGTCTCCTGAATCGTCGAGCTTGCAACTTTGGAGGATGACAGAATCACAGGCCAGGAACCGGGGCGACGCACGAGCCATGCACCTGTGTGTGGAGGTACCGCCTACGCACTTGCAGTTAGGGGGGGCCCAGCTAATTGGCGGGGCAGGCCTATCAGTGCCTGAGGTGCCAGTACATGCACCTTCTACATCCCCATTCGAGACTTGAGGAGCTTCCATCTCATGCCAACAACACGCAGGGCTGAATCGAAGCACATAAGCCCCAAGTCCAACTGACAGGATATTCACAGATAGTAGGGCCCCAATTGCTCGTTAAATATCTACACCGTCACTTACCCGAGTAGCTACCTAGGTACTTCACTCGACCCAACCCACATGAGAACCAGCCGTAGCCTGACATGTATCCCCGCCGAGCCATTGTGCCGAGCTGCACTCTGTGATACCATCCTCAAGCACTGTTTTCATGTCTTCAGAGCCTCCTACTGCAAGAGATGATGTTATAGGTAAGCAAAAGCATCACGAATTGAGCTAGGTAGCTCCAAGTGAGAACCTCCAGTGGCAGAAGAAATATGAAAGCTACCTACTGACGCCATTCAATGATTGTCTCCGGTCTCCGCGTCCAACACGTCGAGCTTTCCCCTTATCCAAATTGCCTCCAAGGAGCTGCACAATCCATACTGATTCCCATCTCCAGTTTTGAAGAGCTCATGCCAAGAATGAACACTGCTGCCTGAGTGCTTGGTTGCGATTTGGCCGTTTAGTCGAAGGCGTGGTTCCCGAAGCAATGCCATGATATCGCGTGGGAAGTAGTTGCGATGCTCAGGGTCGCTGAACATAGTTCGGCACGTTTTAGGCATCATTTTCATGATATTTTATTGATGGTGAAAAGAGAAAAACCCAATTCATTGTGAGAAGCTGTGTAACAGCTGCTTGTAGACTCTCTTGTGTTCGATCCTAGTTGTGGGGGGGAAGGAGGAATGCACAATCGTACAACAATTGCAACAATTGCAGTCTACCATAGACTTCATCATGGACGGGATGCCGCCAGACGCATACAGGCCTAATGTCGCAGGGTAATCTCGCAGATGGGCGCGTAAGGTTCGAGTCTACCATGGACAGTTACTTTCCTCGGTCACTGGATCGTGTCTTATCGGCTCCAGCTTCCTTTTCATGCGGTGGACGAGATGCTTGCCTCTTCCTACCGTAGTTACAAGTCCGCATCACAACCAAGTGACCTATATATGTCGTGGCCCCGTAGTGCCTAGTGCACTTATCCGTTACGACCTACACCTTCGAGGAACTGGTTGATACCGAACCAGCATGCGAGTCGAAGTTCCATATTATCACATACTTCCCGGAGTAATTCATACAGTATTTACAAGCAAATGTACCTATGACTCGTGACGTACCTTATGCAGTAAAGATGCGCCTACTGTGGCATATAATGCGGGCTTGACAAGGTCACCGGAACTTATATACACCAAGTCGCTCACACATCATGTGAGAAGAAGATATCCGTAAGCTAGTTCTGTTCTCGCGGGTTACAATGGTTATGGCCAGCAAAGGTCAAACATTTAATGAAGCTCATGGGACTTCAACTTCGAGAATTTGCCTCCAGTCCAGCATTCTGCACTTATGGTGTCAAACAAGCCAAAATTGACTACACAAGTGCATGTCTCTAGTTAGGAACTTCCATAAGGTATTGGATCTTCCTTCAATACCCGCGACAAGTGGTTAGAGTACCGGTCTTTGCAGATACTCGATACCGCATCAAAGCTTGAGTTGTTGCAAGAGACGCAGGCACGTCTCTCTTTGGGCAGCTCCCGTACGCTTTTGCTCGCGAGTGAGAGCTGGTATGCCACGTGGTGTTGACCAGGCGAATCACCGGTCAATGTATCAACGAGGTCTGACTTGACTCACCATCTACTTTCACCAATTGGACCTGATGTCATATGCTCACCGTTGCTGAAGGGACATTTGGGTCGTCAGCCTCGTGGCTTATCCATCAAGAGTGCATGGCTGGTGTGGTGCTTGCCTCCCCTGTGAAACCAGGATCAATCAGGAATCAGACTAGGAGGCTTCAATAATACGAGTCTTATCATACGAGTTGTTTGATGAACCCAGAAGAACCTGTCTTGATACAGTCCCAGGGAGTCGTGAGTCGTTTATTTAAAAAAGCATATAGATCAGTGTGCCATTGTGCAGTCATTTAACTCATATTGGGAAATCGTACCTAGGAAAGCCTTACGCAAACCAGTGTACTGTTTGAACTCTGCAATGCCGACATCAACAATTGCCCAGTAAGAATTTGGTCGATCCGCCATATAGAGCCTCAAAGACTGCCCACAGCTATTTACACTGATATTTGTCCAAAATGAGATGGGTAAATTGCACTGATTGTCGTTTCTGCTTCCAGATGTAGGGTAAGTTTGTCTCTCGGCGGATTGTGGGGCGGGCACGGCGTTCGGTGAAACGCACGGGCCGTACAAATTTCTTTGCAGGCCCCACTAACCAAGCTTCGAAAATATCAACGTCCCAACTTTTTGTCCAACTTTTTTTTCCCTTGTTTTTCCCAAGTTCAAGCTTCAAAAGCCGCCAACATCGCCAAGCATGCCTGCAGGCTGACGCTTCTTCAATTGCTCTCACAAAAACTGGCCGTATTGCAAATATGGAGACAACCAGAATCTTTGTGAAGGGCCTTCCGCCTACCATCACGGAGGCGGAGTTTCGGAAACACTTTTCGGCCAAGAACCGCGAGATTACCGATGTGAAGCTCATCCCTCAGCGGCGCATTGGCTATGTTGGATACAAGACACCCCAGGATGCTTCAGGGGCCGTCAAGTACTTCAACAAGTCATACATTCGCATGTCTAAGATCTCGGTCGAACCAGCAAGGCCGGTAGGTACAGCTTGTGATTCCAGCAATAATCTCTACACAAACATGGGCGTATTCTGATGGAATGATAGATCTCAGACCCGGCCCTTACCAAGAGCCAGCGATCAGCCCATTCCGATCAACCTGTGGCGAGCACCCAACGCCCACGCCAGGACGATGAGGGTAGCTCGAAGAAGCGCAAGCGAGAGGAGCTGGACGAGTCTGACCCTAAGCTGCGAGAGTTTCTCCGCGTGATGAAGACGGGCAAGGAGGGTGTCCTTGCCGATGAGACAAATCCTGATGCCGACATGACAGGACTTGCCACGGGTGGAGATGCCCTTGTGCCAGAGGGCGAGAGTGACGACGAGTATGAGCAGATACCCAAAAAGAAAGAGAAGCTACGGAAGTTGGAGTCATCCGAGTCGAGTCGAAGTCTCGTGACCAACCAACGACTACCAGCGGAGACTTCTGATCAGGGTGTTTTGCCTGCGGCGGAAGAGATTGTGGCCGACGATGTGAAACCTCAAGAGGCCGAGAAGCTTCCTCAACTGGATGCTGGGGCGACAGATGATGACTGGCTCAGATCACGCACGAACAGACTCCTTGATCTTGTCGATCCTGACGACCTTCCACCACCCACACAGCCAGCAGTCGAGACTGAGACTGCTGTGCAAGATGAAAAGGAGGACGATGACGCCCCGCCTTCTCCTCGTGATGCCACCGAGGAAGATGTGCCTCCAGTGGTCGATGACAACAAGGGAGCAGACGGTTCTGGCGCAGATGATGCGGTCGCCACCATCTCCCGGACATCTCGGCTCTTCGTTCGAAACCTCCCTTATACCACGACAGAGGAAGATCTCTATGAAGCGTTTGGCAAATTCGGCACTATACAGGAGGTGAGCACAAAACTGATCCCTGTTCCCCCTTTCTATTCCCCTTGTCTCTGCGAAGGCACAAAACACAGGAAACATGATGAACCCCAAGATAGGGACATCTTATGCTACGGCATGTGATGTGAACCTGGGCGATTATTTTAGTAGATGCTTCGACTATCTGATATCCTGTTTCACTATTCCTCAAAGCAACTTTGCGATTTATTCTCATGGATGCAGTGGCTAACTTAGTCAGGTACATCTGCCGACCAACGCTTCAGGAGCTGGCAAGGGGTTTGCGTTGGTGTTGTTTGACAATCCGTCTGATGCCGTGAATGCATTCCAAGCTCTCGATGGGGTAACTTTCCAGGGGCGCATTCTGCACATCATTCCTGCAGAAGCCAAGAAGCAGAGTCTGGACGAGTTTGGAATGTCGAAATTACCCCTGAAGAAGCAAAACATGATTCGCAAAAAAGCTGAGGCAGCAACGAGCGTCTTCAATTGGAATTCGATGTACATGAGCCAGGACGCTGTGAACGCCTCCGTGGCCGCACGCCTGGGTGTTTCCAAGTCCGAAGTGCTCGATCCCACATCTGCCGATGCGGCCGTCAAGCAAGCCATCGCAGAAACGACCGTCATCCAGGAGACCAAGGCCTACTTTGCTTCGAACGGCGTGGACCTGGACGCCTTCAAATCGCACAAGCGCGGTGGCACGTCGATCCTGGTCAAGAACTTCCCATACGGCACATCCATGGAAGAACTCCGGAAGATGTTTGAGGAGTGCGGGCCGGTGCTCCGAGTGTTGATGCCGCCGACCGGGACGATTGCCATCGTCCAATTCGCCCAGCTGAATCACGCAAAGGCCGCATTTGGCAAGATGGCGTACCGTCGAGTCAAGGACAGCGTCCTCTTCCTGGAGAAGGCCCCGGTCGATCTCTTCAAACAGGACGCGGCTCAGGCTGAGGCTAAGCCGCTTGTGGACCAGCGCACTGGGGTCCAAAAACTGAGCGTCGACGAATTGCTGTCGAGCGGCGATAAGGCCGACGAGCCTGCGGAAACCGCTTCGCTCTTTGTCCGCAATTTAAACTTTGCCACAACGACCAACCGGCTGGCGGAAATCTTTGAGCCACTTGACGGATTCGTCTCGGCTCGTGTCAAGACAAAAATAGACCCAAAGAGGCCTGGTCAGACACTCAGCATGGGCTTTGGCTTCGTAGAATTTCGATCCAAGGACCAGGCCCAGGCGGCGCTCAAGGCCATGGATGGCTACGTCTTGGATGGCCACGCGCTCGGTGTCAAAGCCTCACACAGGGGTCACGACGCTGCCGAGGAGAGGCGGCGCGAGGACGCGGCCAAGAAGGCTGCGGCGCAGAGGACCAAGATCGTGATCAAGAACTTGCCTTTCCAAGCCACCAAGAAAGACATCCGCACTCTGTTTGGCACTTATGGGCAACTTCGATCTGTCCGCGTTCCAAAGAAGGCAGACTATACCGCAAGAGGGTTTGCATTCGCGGATTTCGTAACCCCTCGAGAGGCAGAGAATGCACTAAATGCATTGAAAGATACCCACTTGCTCGGCCGGCGACTGGTATTAGACTTTGCCGCCGCCGAGGCTGTCGATGCTGAGGAAGAGATCGAGAAGATGCAACGCAAGGTAGGAGGGCAGGCCAATAAAATGGCCCTTCAGCAGCTTACTGGAGGAGGGAGGAAAAAGGTTACTATTGGCAATGACGAGGATGACCTTGAGGCTTGAGGTAAAAAGAATTGGAATCCGAAAGACGGGAAGAATCAAAAGGAAGAAAAGAACCGCATTCTTTGGCCTGTGTGCTACACTGACAAGGCTGAGCTGTATCCCTTGGGCCGCCGCTCTATTGAGCATATGTCGCTTCTAGTACCACTCACTACCAGCAACATCTGATGATCCCTTGGCAAGGGGAGGGGTGTCCAATGTCGAACTTCTGCAACGGCCCTTTCTCCCACGGGACGACGATGACAACGACGATGTTGGCGTGGGGTCACCCATCACCTGGGCGTGGATCTTCAGCGCAAAAAAGAATTCAGACCTCGCGACGCCCCCCAGGGCCACTGTCTGATGGTAATCTCGTTCCACATGCCTTGGAAAATCCGCGCCCAAGACGACGACGTGTGTGGTGGGCTTGTCTCTGGGGAGAGGGTGGGTGAGACCATGGCGTCCTGGGCCCCGCCTTCAGACTCCCTTGCATGCCCTGCGCAAAACGCCCTCGTAACGGGCCTCACGCTGCCATGTGCAGGTGGGCGAGCCAGCTGTGCTTCATTGGCTGCTGGAAATAGTCTTCTGAACGTAGAGTTGCCGATGCCTGGGTCGAGTTCCCACCCCCGCTGGCGCCAGCTTCCCTGTTCCATCTGAGATACTCTCTTGCAGACGGAACCAAATCTTGATAGCTCCGGAGCCACACGCACATGTATCTTGCGTAGGAGGGGCAGAGAAGACAAGCTGCTAACCACCCCCGTCGTCCCCTTTGTCAATACAATCCGTTGGCCGTGTCCATACTCTCCCGAGTCTCGAGTTTATATGCTATCGGGCCTCTCCTTTAGGAAGACATGACCCGTTCCAATGGCCGCTCTTTGCCTCGTACAAAGCGTACGTTATCCCACCATTCCACGCTCCAAATTCCTTTCCACATTTCTTGTCCATCAGGCTCTGCAGACTCTCTTTTTTCTTCATCAGACTGTGGGCTGTGTGTATCTTTGTGTGTGACCGACGAAAGCTCTCTCGTCTCTTTGGGCTGGAGCTGAGCCGTTGAACATATTCTGTTCGGGCATTCCTTTGCCTCTCGCTCTCTTTCTTCTTTTGTGCTTGTCTATCCTATCATGGCTTCCCTCTACCAGCCAAGGCCGGTCCTCCCCTCTCAGGTCATCCCACATGCGCCAGAGTACGTCGACGCAAGACGGAACGTTCACGGAGGCAGCAGACAGCCTCTGCGGGAGGCGGCTGGCAACGCCCAAGCACACAGCTTCAACAGCAACATCCCGTGTTACCAGACCCCCGTGTCTTCGCTGCCCCCGACTATCCCAACTCATATCGTCCCCTCACAGTCCATCGAGGTCTTCTACTCCAGGCTGCAGACTCCCCGCCACCAGCCTCGACAAGTTCGCAAGAGCCGGCAGGATATCAACCCTCTCTACTATTGGCCGGCCTTTAAGCAGTACCGCAACCGACAAGCTCACAAGGACACGCAAAAGGACAAGGGCGGCGTCTGGCGCCGACCCGAGCTCGAAGATGCCTTTGTCGACTGTGAGTTCTGCTCATCATCTTTTCTCTCTGTGTGTAGTGCACCCGGAAGCTGACCAAAGTCTGCATGAACCAGCCGTGCTGCTTATGCCTCACATGGGCCGGCGCAAGTTCTCCATGGGAGGGAAGCTCCATGGCCGAAACATGCTCATCAGCGAGTACATCTTCGTCATCTGCGTGGCGCTGCTTGGAGACAAAGAAATCTTCCGCATTGACAACAGCAATGACAGCATCGAGCAGATGGGACGCAAACAAGTGTCTAGTCACATGCAAGTTGTCAAGAAGTTTTTCGAAGACCTCCGATGCTGTTAGTTACCCAACCCTTAACCCTCGCAACCCCACCCTTGTTGAGAGGGAGGTCTGTTTGGTTACTGACTGGTTGGAATTCCTGCTGCAGTTCACTTTCTTTTTCCTTCTGAAGAGAAGAAGGAACCCGGATCTACCAACTCTGACGATTATTACGATGAAGAAGGCCAGGAGTCGTTCAAGTCGAACCCCATCCTCACGGCGTTGGCCGAGGGCCGTGTGCCCGAAGTGCGGCCCAACTATGAGTACTTCTCGCAGCTGCTTTCGCTGCAAGGGCTGATCACGGTGCGGCCCAAGACGTGCGAGATCTATGTGTCGTCGGCAGAGATCAAGATCCGGGACGACGTGGCCTACGACGCAAACAACACGCCCCTGGACCAAGCTTCGTTTCCTCACCTGAACAAGTACACCAACTGCGACGACTTCCCCGATGCCCTGGGCAAGGACGTGCTGCTGCACGAGTACACTCGGTCGCTGGACCGAGCGACGTCAGCATGCCTCAAGACGGTGACCCGGCGATGGCAAAAGGACGCGCCGGCCATGTACGAGACGCTGGACCTGCCAACGCGCGACGAGGAGTGCCTGCTGCTGGAGGTGTGCTCGACGCTGGAGCTGCACGAGCACGCAAAGTTCCCCTCGGGATCCGAGCTCACGGGCTTTGTTGAGGTGGCCATCACGCAGCCGGAGCTGCAGCACCATCACTGGAAGTGCGTCACCCGATTGACGCGACCGGATGAGCTGTACGGCGACGACTCGAAGCGCGGCGTCTACACCAATGAGAGCGGCATCCACCACCGGGGCTGCAGCGACTCCAAGATGAACGACTGCAATTGCCACATGCGGCCCCGGCAGGACATCCACGTGCCCTTTCCTGCGGTCGAGTGGGCCAGCATCCTGAGCACGGCCGTGCAATATCCTGACGTGGAGCACCAGCGGAAGCGGGAGAAGCGCCACGAGGCCAAGAAGCAGCACGATCTGGATAGGGCCGGCAGCAAGCGAAAGCGATCCGAGGACGAGGGCGACGCCGCATCGTGGAGCCGCCGCGAGCCAACGGGCAGCGACCTGATCTGCAAGGTGGCCATGTACCAGGAGCTGTGGTCGCGGGCGCCCGACTCGACGCAGTGGAAGAGGCAGGCCATCATCTTCTGGCGCTTCAACACCACGAACCAGTGGTACAAGTACAGCCCCGTGTTCAAGCCGTCGGGCACCTCGTGGCGCTGGCTCACCATCAACGACCCCATGTCGCGATATCACCAACAGAAGGCGCTCATCTACCCCTCATCCTCGTCCTCGTCCGCCGCCGGCGCCGTGCCCAGGGACGCCGTCATGTCACCGACGCCCAGTGTGAGCCAGCAGCTGGCGGGCATCATGAACGAGAACCTGAGCTCGGCGTGGGCAAGCGGCGCGCAGGTGCCCCCGGTCCAGACAAACATGAACGTGTTTGACTTTCCAACGGGGCTGGCCACACCACCGCCGACGGCGACCGTCCATGGCCCCTACGCGGGCGGGAGCTTTGACCCTGTGAACAGCTACCTGCCAACAGTGAGCGGCACCACGGTGGGCGGCGCGGCGAATGAGCGATCGCACTCCCACTCGCTGGCGTTGGCTCACGGGCCCTCGTACTTTGAGGGCCAGGCAGGCTTCGCGGACATGAAGCCCATGACGGCGCCGCAGTATCTCGCCGCGACGACGGCTGCCCCCCTGGATCTGGCCTCGCAGCTGGCATTCGACGACACGGCCGCCATCCAGGGGTGGGACATGGCGCCTCTCGATGCTTGGCCCGGCCCAGCCTCTGCGACATCCGCCGCGGGCGGCGGCGATTGGGCGACTGCCACTGCCTCGACCCTGCCCAAGGCGGAGCCCAGTGACCACTCGGTGATTTGGAACCCTAGCCAATGGGACATGCCGGCATCTGCGGTTGGGGGCGAACACGATGACAGCCCAAGGGCTATGAAGAGGAGGCGAACAGAGCCCTCGATGAACACGCATGTGCCTCTTCCAGGGGCGTGGTAAAGCGGAAGCGGGATCATGAGGGCTGGGAAGGGAGTTACGGGACTACTACCAACGACGACGATAGATACACACAGGGGGTTCTGGACCGGATGGCACTTTTGTTTTTTTCTTTTCTCTTCTCTCAATGGCTTGCATTGGGGTAATGATTTTACGGCTGGAACAACTGAAGAAATTTTGAGGCAGGACAAAAATCACATGAGATTTCACCAGATACCAGGAGACATAGTGATTGGAGGGGGATTGGGCGAATAACGCGGCGTTTGTGAATCAAGTCTGGTCCTGTCTTGTGGGTGTGAGATGCTTTGAAAGTGACTGGGTGGGAGAAGAGAGGAGAGGCAAAGGGGGGGGGGGGGGGGGGGGGGGGGCGTTGGTTGAGAGAGTTCTCTTTTCTTTCTGGGCACATTTTTTAGAAAACAAAAAGTTACGAGTAATAAAAGCTTGAAACGGCTTGCTGCGAGCAAGTTTACGCTTATTCTTTTCTTTCCCTTTCAAACTTGGCAGTGTATGTGATTGTGATTCGATAAGGGGGGGTGGGAGCAGGAGGCGAATGAGCTGCTTAGGTAGGTAAGTAGTAGTAGCTTTTTAGCTGGTTTGTTTGGATGGATGACCGCACATGTACACGGAGCTTGGACTTGGGGTCAAATCACACGGGGGGTTCAGCCTGGCAGTGACACAGATGCGAGAGAGAATTTTTCTTTCTTTTCCCTGATTTTTTAAAGGAAAAAAAGGTGACAGATGATTTGCATCTGTGGCTGCACGAGATTGAAAGTTTCGCATCGATACAAGTGCGTGTTGCATGTTGCATGTGCAATGTGCATGTGTACTTTTTCGTATTCTGAGACTAAGGTAGGTAGGTACTTCAGGTAAGGTGAAGAGTTGACCAAGAAAAGAATAAAGAGATGATACGTTACTTGCTGTGTGCCTTGTGTGAAGGAGATGGAAAAGAGGCGGATCGCCACCGGAGAAGAAGATCCCAGATCGAACTTTGGTCATCCTTGGAAGAATAACATACTATTACTATATAGGACTGGATTCAAGATAGATGGAGAGGCGGCCGTTTGCGGCAGGACGTGCGTTTTTTTTTTTTGGAGATTGATGATGTGTGTGGTCTGAATCTAAACTTCTAGGCTCGATCTGTCCCGCGCACTTGCGAGCGGTTACTAGCAGTAGTGACTAGTAGTAGTAGCTTACCCGTATGGAGTATGAGATGCAAGATAGAGTTGAGTTGTACATTAGTGTACGAGATGGAAAGATGTCAGATGTGACAGATAAGGCGAGACACGTACATACACAGAGAGAGTAGGTAGGTAGCCAAGGCAGAGTGACGACGCTCAGACCAGGTGAGATGGGAAGCTTGTGTGAGCCCAACAGCACCTGACTAGATGTAATTGTGGAGGTGGAAAAAGGGGGGGTGTGTTGCGATGAAAAAGAGAGAGAGGAAAAGAAAGGAACAGAATTGAGAAAAGGGAGGATTGGAAGAGGTCAGCGGACAGCGGGGGGGTTTCTGTTTCTTCGGTTCGTCCTGAGGCTGCTCCCGTGGGTGAAGTTTTACATGTATGTCTTAGAAAGCGAGAGGGGGTCATCCCGGCATACACCTACTTGATTCTTTTTTTTTGCCGCGGCATTAGGCAAGTGAGAGGCGTATGTATGTATGTATATCAAGGGAGAGTAGAAAGGTGGGAGAGGAGGCGCGTATATTGAATGTCAAGGGGGAAAAGGGGGACAGCGCGTAAAGTGGTTTTCTGGAGGAGAGGAATATATATAGAGGATAATGAATTCCCGGGATTTCGGGGGTTTCTCCTTTTACGATGGAATGCCCTTTTGCGCAAGGAAAGAGGGGGGAGGTTTTGAGGAAGGTATTATTGGTGTTTTGGCATTGGTATTGGAGGATGAGGATATTGGGTAAAGGGGATGGAAGGAGGAGTGCTTTGGATAGTTGTGCTTGGTGTGCGGTATGCTTGATTGAATATTGTGGAAAATGTTTTGCTGTGATGATCTGTCCTGAGGAGGACGGCGTGATGTGCAAATCTCATGCTGTCAGTGACGGAAGAAAGCGATTCGCACCCCATCTGGTAAGCATTGTGCCCATGACAGTAGTCTGTGATGATGCTGTTCAGCCGGTTGCACAAGGTCACAGGCAGAAGTATGTCGCCAATCAGCATAGAAAGTGTCAGATATACATACATACATACATACATATATATATATATATATATATATATATATATATATATATATATATATATATATACATATATATCTGGAGTCCTCTTTTCAGCATGGGACTCTACATGGTATACACAATCAAAGGCAGTACGCAGCCACCTTATAGACACTCCAACCACACCATCCCCTATGAAATTCCAACGCAGTTAGACGGTATAACGACCGACATCACCACCGCCACCCGGCCACGAGCCAGTGAAGCCGTTGGCCGTGTTGATTAATGTGCCGTCCCCGAGCCGCAACGTGTTAACCGAGTCCTTGGAGCACAGTCCAAAGGCTTGGAGATTACTGGGCGTGCTGGCAATCCAGTGCATGGTTTCTGTTCAACCCACAGTCAGTCGATGCAATCAAGAGACGGTCATACGAGAAAGGGAAACAACTTACGCTGGCACTGAAACTGAGAACAGCCCTGCCCGGGCCCGCTGAAAAACGCCCACGAAGCAGAGGCATACGTATAAATGTTGGATCCCCCATTGATGTAGTTGCCAAAGCCCATCCTGCACCGCTTGTCGCCGCCGCTGCACCACGAAAAGTTGGGATCGCCCCAGGCGTCCACGTTGGCGACCCAGGGGGCGGGCACGACCTGCTGCGCGTTGGCGCCCTGCTCGTAGTTGGTCTCGGACTGGAGCATGGAGACGACGACGTTGTTGGCGTTGCGCAGGTTGAGCTGGTACAGCCACCAGTGCTCGCTGCCCAGCGCGTACAGCCACGTCGCCTTGGAGCTCTCGACCAGCACGCCGCCCTTGCCGGCGATGGAGGAGCCGCCGCCGAAGCTCTCGGCGATGTGGTCCGCCACCCAGTTCCAGACGTTCTGGATGTACGCCGACGAGTTCTTGGTGATGTGGATGCCCAGGAACGCGCCCTTGCACTCGTTGCCCGGGTTCGTACAGGCGTTGGTCAGGGCGGAAGCACCGCGCGTGCCGCCCACGGTGACGAGCGAGTTCCAGAGGGCCACGTCGCCTGGGTTGCGGCCGGCCATGTTGAACTGCATGACGATGGCGCCGGGGAGAACGTCGGAAACGGTGAAGCGCATGTCCTGGATCTGTGCGACGCCGACGTCCCCGGGCCGGCCGACGGCAACGACGGGCTGCGGGCTGTTCTCGTTCTTGAAGAACTGGCCGTTGCCGGTGATGGTTGACCAGGCCTCGCCCACGATGCGGGACCCCGGAGGAATAAAGAGCGTGCTGTCGACCCGATACTTTCCAAAGGGGAAGTAGGCAATCTTGTTCTGGCTGGCGGCGAGGGCCAGGATGGCATTCAGCGTGGCTGCTTCGTCGACGGTGTTGTCCCCCTTGACGACTCTGTTTCCGTTCTGCGCTGGGTCCTTGACGTTCAAGAAGCCAGAGACGGGGACATCGGCGTATGTCGGCGGCGGGACATATGGATATCTCCCACCAGGGGCCAGAGCACCAGGTCTCGTGTTTTGAGATCTCACCTCGCCGTAGATGGGGTTTCTCCCAACCGTATTTCCAAAGGAATACGTGTCGATGTGAGTGGAAGCCCCAACCAGAGTTGATCCACGAGCAATAACGACGGGAGACGTCGTATCCTTGGTCAGGTTCTCGATCAAGAAGGAAGGAAATCCCGTCGTCGTAAACGTAACCCCGGAATTGATAGACTTGGCGTCTACCAGGGCGATCCAAGGAGCACCGCCCGTGTTGGAAATGCCCGTTCCGCACGTGTCAAACGTGGACGAGAAGATGCTAAAGGTGTTGCCGCCGCTGATGAGCATGCCGACGGTGTTCTGGAAGAAGTAGATGTTGTGGAAGGCAGCCTGCTGGTGGCCGTCGACCCAGATGCCATTCTGGCCACGCTCGACGCGGACGTCGGCTAGGCCGAGCGTCGAGCCGCGGCCCATCCGGATGCCCGTGTGACCGTTGCCGTTCTGGGAGGAAGCCATGGTGATCTTGACGTTCTGCAGCTGAGCGGCCTGGGCGACTCCCCACCAGAGGGCGGTGAACTGGTTGCCGCCGGGGATGGCGGTCGTGTCGAGGATGACGTTCTTGAGGGACACGGCAAAGGACAGCTCCCCCTTTTCGTTGGTGGTTGGGTCCTGGCCGCTGACGAGGATCTGGTCGCCCGAGAAGCCGGCGGCGGCCTTGATGATGGGCGGGTTGGTGGCATCGCCCATCAACACGGTGTCGGTGTTGAATCGCAGCGTCTGCGAGAGAGTGTATGTTCCGGGCGGGATGTACACGACCTGAAGACGAGAACACAAGAGTCAGTCATCTCATTGCATACTCTGTCCTGACGCCCTGGTGCGTGGAAGCATCTTCATACTCTTGGCTGCGATGCGAACCACTGGGAATGGCGCGAGCCGCTGCCATCGCTGGTAATGGCTCGCTGCAGAGCAGCTCCGTCTCCCGGGTTGACGGTCTGGTAGACCTGATAGTTGAAGTTGCCATCGAGGTCAGGGGCGAAGCCGCGGGGAGCGTTGACGTGGTCCATGTTGGGGTACCAGAAGCTGGTGGCACGCTTGGTGATGCCCTCATCGTTGGCGGCAGGGCTCGGGGTGGGCGTGGCAGATGCCGCCCCCAGCAGGAGCGTGAAGATGGTTGTGAGCTTCAACATGGTGTCGACGCCTGATGACGAGGAGGCGACCGTCAAAGCAAATACACCTCCAGAAGGAGGCATTCACCTCTTTATAGCTGAAAGGGATCCATGCCCCCCGTCCGAGGCCGACCTCAGCCCCAGCTATGCTTCTTTCATGATTCATCGTGGCTTCGTCCAGCGTCAGCCCGCATCTCCGCATCGAGCATGTGCACCATTCGGCCCGGATCTAGTGCGAATGCAAGCCTTGCTGCTGGATGAAGGGAGCAGTAGGCGTGGCAGAGAGTCTTCCGAGGGTAGTTGTTGGACTTTTTGACAGAGACATATGGAGCGTCAGGGGTCGAGGCCCATGATGACATGCGGGTGCTGCGCTCAACTCCACTGGGATACTAGTAGTGGCATTGATGAAGCATGCCTGGTTGAGTCGATAGTCAGGGGAGGCGAGTCTAGAGCTGAGATTCGAGTCCCGAGACTCTGTGGAAGAGACTTGAGAGAGTTACGTTGTCGGGTCTGCTTCGACAAGGGTTGCCAAGGGTTCAGGACGGGCAGCTGCTAAGTACTCGTAAATGGTTGGGACCGGTAGCGGATCGGTTGCTGCTGTGGGTTGCAAGGGGCGAGAGCAGATGTCTGCTTGATCAAATCAAGTATGTTGATATGCTTATTTTCTTTCTGATTTGTGACCATGACCGCGGGGGTGTTTGAATCATCAAGTCAGACGTGAGCTGCTTGGAGTCGTGTGAATAGTTCAACTTCCATCTCTTACCCTTGTTGGGCACCACTCTCAAGGCACCATTATAATATCCGGAGCATAAACAAACACGAGCAACGTGTGGACTCGCCGTTGAGAATCAAGAAAAGCCTACGCCGGTGCTGGCCATTGGTGGAATGGGAACCTGCCGAGAAGAGAGAGTCGGGCAATAGTCATAGTGACTAAAAGTAAGATTAAAGATAGAGTTGCAAGAATGTAACCTTGCCAACAGACTGACCGGGATACCCAAGTCAAGTCGCTTTTTGACCAAGGTACTGTACAGAGCCTCCAATACTATGTAGGTATAAGTACTACCTAGTTATGTCTATATTTATTATAAGTATGGGAGTATTATACGAACGGTAGTACTTTGTCTTGTGTTCAAGAAAGAGGCAAGAGAACATGACATGGCCACCATGCCAAGCAGACGCCGACTTTCTTTAGCTTGCGGAGATGCCGGTCCTTTTCCAGCACAGCTTCCTATCCGAGACTGGCTGCGGATGGGCGAGGGGACGAAGATGGGAGTTGCGGGCGTGCTGTGAGCTGGAGAGTGAGTGCCGGTTGCAGTCTACTGTAACACCAAGTTGTAAGCTTAATATTCGTGTCTCTTTGCGTATTACCTGAACTGGCTGCGATGTTGTGATGGATCAACAGGCACTGAGTGAGTGGGATCGAGACGGACTACAAATCGACAGTAACTTTATAGTGATTTGAACCCAGGAAGGGGTTGAATTACCGTTTCGCGGATGGCTTGACTGGGGAGTCTGTGTGGGTAAACAGGTCTCGTATTTCAGCTCAGACAAATTCGTTGCTCTTCTGACTGTATCGATGGGAGCACTGTATCAATTTATGTGAGCATAGCATCCCATCCCGGTGCTGCCCGTTTTGCTCAATTGGGTAGGTGATTGCCTCTTGGCTGTTTCTTAGCGGATGAGAATCAATTATGTGATGGTTGAGAGAACAGGGCAGCTTGATTCAGTGGACGGTGACGGTGAGTCTGTTGCAACTTCAATTGCTGTAGGTTTAGGTAGCTCAGTAGACATCACGTTGCTTGTTGCTCTCATAAGCATGTGATGTAAGCAGTGGTGGGCTATGGCAGGTCTGCTAGAGAATGTTCCATGTTGTATTAATATGGATGAACAAGTAGACTAAGGTACTGATGTGTGTCTGGTAACTTGGTAAAGGCTTTTTTTTGCAGTTCATGATGCGAGTAGGAGTACTATTCGTCCATGGCTGTGATGCCTCTACATCTCTCTAATGGACAGTCTACCAAGGTTTCCTGTTGTTTGTCTGTGGCTCTGTCTTGTAGCCTCCATGATGGATCCCCTCAATAAGATCAGAGATACGCATGGAAAATAAGAACAGTTCAACGGATATAATCAGATAACACCTCCGCATGTATAGACATAGGTACCTACTACCTAGAATGATGGCCTCTAACAAACAGTGCAGATCTGTTCAGCGCATCAACCCCCCTGAAGCCACCTGCTAAGCCGCGGCAACGACCCTGGACGGATCGCGCCACTCAGTGCTGCAAATTTTCCAAGCGCCCCGGCCTCCATTAGTCCTTATCGGCTTATCTGGTTCGATATCGCCTCATCCTGCAAAATCTCGACAGACACCGCCGGATCAAAATCCCACGATCCTCTGCACAAGCGCCGACTCAACAATTCCTGCCCACGACCATCATCCAGCCTCGGCCTCGACTCGCTACTGCTACCTTGCAAAACACAAACAATCCTCGTCTCACATCCGACACAATGGGCAACGTAAGACACGGCGACAGCCATATCCTTTTCTTCCGTTGGCCTCGTCTGTTGTTAGGCCCCCCCCTTTGTCGCGTAGCAGCTGCTGACTCGCATATTCGACATGGTCTAGGGCGCCAAAGCTCAGCAGAAGCGCGAGCGCAACAACGAAAAGGGCGGCAAGACGGCCAAGTCCCAGCTCAAAGTGGTGCGTCTTCCTTCGCGAGCCGATAGCAGTAACTACCTTGATGGCCCGCCGATCGGCACGAGGCTGCGGAGAGAGAGAGCGGAGAGCGTGTAAGGCTGACCAACTCGCAAAATAGAACGCCCAGGCCATGGACATCCAGTGCCAGATCTGCAAGTCGACATTCCTCAAGACTACCAAGGCTCCTGCGTACGACCACCCCTCCCCCCCAAATGTTTCCCTTGTTTCTTGTTCTAGTATCCCGAGTCAGTCTCGGTGAACTGACCATATGCCGGCTTCGTCTAGGCTCACCGAGCACGCCCAGAACAAGCACAACAAGGGCTTGGCCGATTGCTTCCCGACCTTTGCCGCTTCTTCATGACCATGATGGACTCTTGCTAGCCGTTTGGTATAGTATATACACAAAAAGAGGTGGTGTTGGCGAAGGCGCGAAGGGAGTTTGGTCTGGGAGCGGAGCATTTTATAGCATGGGCACTGATTTTACGCAAAAGCACAATAAGAGATACATAGCATAGCGCCAGCGCTCATCTTCTGCGGTGTCTTCTTTGTTACAATGGCTTTCTTGTTTTCTCCTTTCCACTGTGCGTCCAACGGTCTGTATAGTCCTACAACTGCCTGCTTCTTTCCCATGCCTTTTTTTTTGGTTCTCAGCGAGCCGGAAGGGATTCATTTCTGCTGTGGGCGAGGGGTTCTCAGTTTTCAAACGAACATCAATGAGCCTCCACAGCCGTGGGCGCCACGTCGGTCGTTGACCGAGGCAGACTGCGAGCCTGTTGCTTCTGCGCAGCCTGCGCTTGCTCCTCGAGGATCGACTTGAGGATATCCGGATACCAGCGCTCGCCCACGTCCTGATGGCTCTTGACTCTGTTGCGTAGAGTTGCCTCCCCCACGGTGGTGGCCACGGAGCCCTTGTGGAAGGTAAACTCGACGTCGTCGATGCGGCCGCCGTTCCTCTCCACAATCCTCTGCCGCTGCTCCCTGACGCTCGCGGGGACCTCGCCGATGCCGACCGTCTCCAGCTCGTCAAAGGTCGCGTCCAGCTTGACGCCCTGGAAGAAGGGAATGCTGAAGCGCGCGCCGGTGCCCGCGGCGGGCGAGAGGACGCGGTGCGTCGTCGACACGCACACGCCCTGCGTCAGCGCCTCCATGCCCTGCCCGATGGCCACGACGAGGGTCCCGTCGATGGGCGGGCAGTCGATCCACTGGCCCTGGACGTTTTGCACCTGCAGCCCGCGGTGGCCCGTCGCCTGCAGCAGGTAGCTGGTCAGCATGCTGTCCTTGTGCGGGCCGACGCCCTGGCCCTGCGCGCCCTCGGGCAGCCCCAGCTCGGCGAGGTCCGGGTACTTGACGATCTTGAGCTTGTGCTGCGGCTCGGCCTCAAAGTACTTTTCAAACGCGTCGGCCGGCAGCTCGATGGCCTCGGCGATGAGGGAGGTGAAGTAGACGGTCATGGCGCCCATCTGCCGCATGTACTCGGTGTAGGTGCGGCGGAAGCCGGGCGCGCTCTCCTCGGACGGCCACTGGTTGGGGCCGAGCAGGTTGCGGTATCTGGGGGCGTCTGGGCCGGGGAGGGCGTGCTCGGTCGAGAGGTCGATTTGCTCGCGGTGGTCGATGGCGCCGGCGGTGATTTCGGCCGACAGCTGGGAGTAGCCGAGGAAGGACGGGGCGTTTTTCATTTCAATCTTGAGTCTGCCGTTGAAGCCGTTTAGAGCCGTCCCCCGCCGAGTTTTGAGGGATTCCATCTCATGGAGTTGGAAAAGAGATTGAACATGCTTTGAGATGAGAACCTACTTTTCTTCTTGGGGAATGTCAAAGAAGCCCTTTCCTTGCCTGATGACCTCGTCCCATAGTTCCTGTGAGATGCCCACGTTTTTGAGATACAAGAAGCCGACTTCCATGAGGGCATGGCGGAGCTGGGTGAGGAACTCGGGCTTCGTGGCCGGGTCTCGGGAAAGGTCGAGGTCGAGGATCGGGATTGATGTGAATGCCATGATGAGGCCCCTGCCTGGACTGTACGATAGGATGAATGAGCCTGCCTGGCTACCTCTGGCACACTTTGACGTCTTTGATAGCCGTCACGTCAAGTGTTCGTTATTTTACTGTGATTCTAGGCAAAGTAAAGGTCAATTCAATTGATGTGGTTTGGCTAAAGTCACGTCAGTATCCGAAAGTCGGGCTCAAATCATCATACTACTAATCTGTCTGGGTTATTCAGCACAAGCGCAGATGGCGCCATACAGCTAAATGCTAACATACTGTTACGCCCTCTAGACTATCATCAACCGAACATCTGCCCACCCTCCTCCACATCCAAATTCCCCGCACTCGTCAAACAATCGGCGAGGGGGGCGAATCGGGGAACGGGATGACATGAGGCGGCATACACGGCGTAGTGAGGGTCAAGGCGCGGAGTAGTAGATCTTGTAGTTAACCTGCATTTTGCCCATACAAAGTTGGGGAGGGTTGTTGTTGACGAAATGACTGTTTATGATATCTCTTTAATGATCAGATTAACGTTATAATTTTACCCTTGCTTTTTCTTTGCGTGAATATGCCTGATTGAATCTGTATTATTAATACACTGATGTTCGAAGAATCAGAGTACGTTCATCGTGCACCTCATTGAAGGATCTCTCTCCCCTCTTGCTTCACTTCGTCGAAGAGACCAAAAACGATGGGAATGGGACAAATTTTTGCAGCCTCACAACGCACACAAGTTGCTACTAGTTACGGAAATCTTGGGAGTTGATTGCTCTCGGAGAGAAGCTGCAGAATTCATCATGAGGGAAGAATTGGCGACATGTGATGATTACTCAGTAACGTACACCGGCTACAAACCTGTGCAGAGCCGGCTGCCCTACATATGTACATATTCACCTCTGATGCTCACATGGACTTTTTTTTTTTTTTTTTTTCTTTTTGTTTCATCTTTGCATCAAGTAAGGCTTGCTTTACTGCGAGGCAGAATTGGCAGAGTTTTGACGCTGGTTTATGCCGAGTCAAGAGGAACAAGACAGCTACGAGACATGTCGGTCATATGCTTTCGACATTAACACCCCCCCCCCCCCCCCTCTTGCCCTTGGGGATGGACATCTTCAGCAACATGCGTCGTTTGACCAATGTCATGCGTACACTCTCATGCCGTCGCTTATCTGCAAGTAAACATGAAATGGATTATTATTACATCTCACCGCACTGAGCGATGACGACATCCAGATTCGGCACGTCCTTGCCTCGGTAGCCAGTCTTGGTCGCCTCCATCTTCTTCACAACGTCCATGCCGTCAACGACTTTGCCAAAGACGACGTGCTTGCCGTCCAAGAAGGGCGTGGGCACGGTGGTGATGAAGAATTGAGAGCCGTTGGTGTTGGGGCCGGCATTCTAGATGCATCAGACAAGGGTCAGAGGCCGGTACCAGTATATAAGCTTGGAGAGTAGTAACAAGTGACAAAACAAGAAAAGGGAGACTGGGTCATACCGCCATGGAGAGCAGACCAGGCCGGTCGTGCTTGATGTTAAAATTTTCGTCGTCGAATGACTTGTAGCCCCAGATGCAGGTAGATCCCGTTCCGTCGCCCTTGAGGAAATCACCGCCTTGACACATAAAGTTGGGAATCTAGACACACACACACACACACACGCACGAGTCAGCATGCAGCAAACAGCATCATGACAAAAAAGAAGCAGAGCTTACAATTCGGTGAAATTTGGACCCCTTGTAGCCTTGTGGCCGGTTCGACGCGTCCTTTGATTCGCCGGTGCAGAACTGGCGAAAGTTTTCGGCCGTCTTGGGGACGACGTCTTTGAAGAGCTCGAATGTGATGCGGCCGAGGGGTTCGCCTGTGTGAAGCGCGAGTTTTAAGGTCAGCGGGGATGAAGGACTGCTGTTGAGTGAGATTGATGAGAGATGACATGAACTATATGACTGGATTTGAATGGCGAAGCAGATGTGAGGTAGGGATCAATGCGGTGGGTGATGAAATGAAGCTGCGAGCACTCTTGTTCTTGAAGCGGCAAACCATGGCGGTCATGTATGACCACGCAGCGTTTGGGGCCACTGCCTTGCAATGCCACTGTACTGACCTCCGATGGTAATGTCAAAGAAGACCCTGATGATGATATATTAGCTTTGAGCGTCCAGAAGATGGCTTATGAAGGATGTGCATCTCTAAAGTTGCTGGATGGCATGAGGAACTTGAGATGCGAGGCCTCCTTGGGGGGAAACGTACAGCGGGTTGCCGTTCTCCGGCAGCTGCGTGGGCGGCATGGCGATGAGCGTGTCGAATGGTGAGCTTGTAAAGGATGAGTATCACGGTAATGCTTCTTGGTCAAGTATAAGTCGCGAGAGGATGCGTTGAGCCTGGTGTTTGTGGTTCGTGGTTGACTGAGTGAGATGGAAATCCGTTGAGCTCACCAAGAATTTCATGATCGCACTGTGATGGAATGGTGACTAAGCCGCTGATTGCCCATCGTCGTGGGTGAGGCGTTAGCAGCTGCACCTCGAGAATTCTCCAAATAACCTCGTCTACTCTTAGAAACAGCTACAGAGCATCTTTTATTACGGTACAAACAACAGCATTATATTTCAAAGGTTTTTGCATTCATGGAATGTCTGGTATATACGCGGCAGCATCATCCTGCATAATCACACCCCGCACTGTACGGGGCCCGCATCGATATCTCGACCTCTTGACAGATTACTTGATATTATCGTGCCACTTGGTCCTCCTAAATCTCAGGAATAACCGCGTCCTCTGCTGAAACGCCCGCCTTCCACCTAAAGGTCGACGCAACATGCTCATCCAGAGGCCCAGTCTGTGAAGTCTTGCGGTAAAAGTTCTCGCGGTACGTGCCTCCCGGAACGGCGTAGTCGTCCCAGAAGAGGCCGCGCTTCTTCAGCTCGGGGAGCAGCAGCTCGATAATGTCCTTGAAGGACTGAGGGAAGAGAGTGTAGGCCTGCGATTCTACCGGTCAGTCATCCTACTAACAAGGACGTTTGGAGTCAAGGGTACTGACAAAGTTGAAGCCGTCAATGTCGGCCTCTTGAATCCACGTCTCGAGCCCGTCGGCCACCTGCTCGGCCGTGCCCACCAGCACAGGGCCGTTGCCGCCGATGCTGACGTGCTCGGCAATGGTGTGCTTGGTCCATTTGGCCGTGCCAGGAGAGAACCTGGCGTAGCCTTGGACGGTAGATCTGTTGCGGAATCTTAGCATCCACGCCGCTTTGCTGGACCAGAGAGACAAAGAGACTACTCACTTGACGGCGTTGCTCTCCACCTCTCGCAATTCCTCCTCGTCGCCATATTGGCTCAGGTCAATACCCGTCCAGCCACCAAACAGCGCAAGGGCTCCCTCGAGCGAGGCGTACTGCCTGTAGTCGGCCAACTTGGCCTGGGCCTCCTCCTCCGTCCTCCCAAGGATCGGGCACACCAAGGCAAGGACCTTGATGTTGCTGGGATCGCGCCCAAACTGCGTCTTGGCCAGCTCCCTGATCTCGGCGATGCTCTTGGCGCAGACCTGGGGCGCATGCGCAGAGACGAAGATGGCCTCGGCGTGCTGCGCGGCAAACACCTTGCCGGCCTTTGACGTACCGGCCTGCAGCAGCAGCGGCGTCCTCTGCGGGCTGGGCGAGCAGATGTGAGGGCCCGGGACGGTGAAGAACTTGCCGTTGTGGTTGATCTTGCGGACGCGGTCAGGGTGAGTGTAGATGCCTGACGCGCGGTCGAGCGCAACGGCGTCGTCTCGCCACGACGACTCAAACAGCTTGTACATGACCTTGATGTACTCCTCAGCTTGAGCGTATCGGTCGTCATGCTGGGAAATGAGTCAGCACATGGAGGCAACCACAGCCACAGCCACAGCCCTGCGTTCCCCTGATGGCAAATGCGACATGAAAGAACTGACCTGGGGTTGCTGAGCTAAACCCATGTTCTTTGCTGCAGAGTCCAGGTAGGAGGTGACGATCTAGGTAACAGCCATCGTTAGCCTTCCGCATACAACGGCACACACACACAGTCGGCCGCTCCCCCCTCCCCCCTCCCCCCTCCTCCCTTGTCGACGGCTGCATTGCATAGGCCAGATCTTGCCGACTTACGTTCCATCCGATCCTGTCAAGGTTGTCAGCTGTACGATCCAACGTTTGTCGGCATCGAATCAGGGGCTAGTTCTCACCGTCCCTTGGTAAGGTGATCGAGGGTGGACAGCCTCCGGGCCAGGTGGTAGGGCTGCTCATAGGTCGTTGACACGGTGACTCCGAAGCCGATGCTCTTGGTCACTGCGGCCATGGCAGAGATGACGGCCAGGGGCTCGTGTACCGGCCATTGCGCGCCAGAGCGGACGGCCGGGTCCAGGGAGCCGGTGTAGACATCATAGCCACCTGCACGGCAACAAACATGGGTTAATCGAGATAGGGAGCATCGACCATGAGCGGCGTCACCTTACCCAGAACATCGGCGATGAAGATGCCGTGGAACTTGGCCTCTTCGAGAAGCTTGGCCAGCTCGGTCCAGTGCTCAATCTCGTTGAAGCGCGAGGACTGGTCGTCGGGGTGTCGCCATAGGCCAGGTGACTGGTGGCCACTGCCTGTGTGGCCGTCAGTATTAACAAGGCCCTCTTCATTTGATTTTGCTGCCAAAGCTTGCCCTGCCGGGTCAGTCGGGGGGAAGATTGATTTGCTATTGGACGCACACATCTCTACAAAGGCGTTGAGCACTAGGCTCTTCTTTCCGGTCTGCGAGGAACTCATGGCTGCCCAACAATGGTGTATGTGCTGGAAAGGATGATGTGCTTGCTTGCTTGCTTGCTTGCTTGCTTGTTCCTTCTATCGTCCCTTGTCGCTATTTGAGAGGAGGGTTTCTCACATGTGTGACTATGTAATCCCCTACAGCCTTGCTGATACAGCCGATACGACACATATATCTCTACATATCTGTCCGACACGCACGTCCGATGTTCGGTCCCCCGGACACGCCCACACCCTTGTGTCTCGACTTGGCAATGCTGTGCAAACGACTCATAACCAGCCTCTTACCACGATGGTGCAATCCAAGTGATGCAAGCACGCAAGATACGGTTTCTCCCCCGCCTCTCCACTCTGCGACGGTGATTTCGAACGAGCTGCAGCTTTCTGCTGGGTAAAATTGCAGCAGGTTCATCACTCAGATGCGTCCAATGCATGTCACCCCTGTTCGAAATAGCTTCCCCGGATTTACCCTTTCTGGCGCCGTGTCGAAATCACGTCAGCCTGGGTGGGGATACCGCCATAGGCAATCAATCTGTGATATCTGAGGGCCCGACACGCTAAAGGAGCTGATCTTGGGCATATCCACTGATGAGATATCGAGCGAGCTTGATTGCTTGGTTGAGCTGTGGGAGAAGCTTTAGGCAATGGTGTCGGTATTAAGTGGTGGAGTGCGCGGATTCTGCTTGGAGCAGGACAAGGGTTCACTACTGTATGGAGCCGTGTTAGTCGGGAGGGGGAGGACACCATCCTTCACATGCACAAGTTTGATAGTCGATGGCATCATGGCCAATCACCAGGGCATAGGATCATGTAGGATTCCGTGAGCTCGGGAAGCTTTCCTCTTATTCCCGGGAATGGTGATGGCAGCCTAATGCTTGTCTCAGCTTACCGGGAGGTGGCTTTGTTCCCGTTGGTTGAACGAGGTGACTGGGCCATTGTTCTGGTTGCTCAGTAGGTGGGTTCACGACTGCCATCTATACTGTACTTTATCCTGCATACTCTTGTCTGTTTTCAAGAGTTGCCTAATGTGGAAATATCTTGAGAATGCGATGGTCTGTGTAAGGCGGACAGCTTCTGCTACATCGGCGAGGGGGGTCCGTCTCGTTTTGATATTCACATACGTGTTTGCTGTTGTATGAGAAAAGAAGAGACGTACAGATACTCAACAATCTCACGAATGTCTATAAGCGAAGAGCCAGTCACAACATTCTATACGCAAAGAGCCAATCTTGTATGAACAGTATCATGTTGACAGGACAGCATCAAAGCTTCATCTTCTTCCACCGTCCAAATCCCCCCCCCCCCCTTCGTAGCCTCACGTCTCATGAACCTTTGCCGGCACATGATTCTCCTCCGCCACGACAACCCCAGACGCCTCCCCCGAGGAGGTCCCCGACTCGCGATCCCACTGTGACGCCTCTTCCTTGCCGCTGCCAAAGTTCCTCAGCACCAGCCACGCCGGCGCAATGGCAATCGCCCACAGCGCAAAGTTCATGTAGATGCCGCCGACCTGGGCGAAGACGGTGAGCGAGGTGAGGCCGTAGCTGACGGCCTGCCAGGCGGATTCCGTGCCGCGCAGGAGGGCGGCGTAGCGGATGACTTCGCCTTGGTCCTTTGCGATGTGCGTGACGACAAAGTAGCTATAAGGAAGAAAAGCTTTGTTTAACGGAATTTTTTTCTTTTGATGAAACGGGGTGATAAGGTTGCACTGTGAACTTACAGGAAGAGATAGTTGATCTGGAAGCCAAAGGTGAGAAAGATGTAGACTCCGAAGCCGGATCCAAAGCCTGAGTCCGTCCAGTCGTAGGTCGGGAGAGTCTGGCGGTATCGAGTTGATACGATGGTGGCCCAGAGCCACCAGGCGCCTTGGGTAACGACGATGAACCAGAAGGTGTATCGCGCGCGCACCTTGAGCGAGATCTTGTTTTGGTCGAGCCACCACTATGAGGGAGGGGGTTGTCAGGTTGGATTGCTTCGAGTCTATAGGAAGCACGTTATGGACGACTTACACCCGTGAGGTTTCCGATAATGATGGCGACAATACCCCCCAAGAATGACCCCAGAGCTCGAGCCCGGACTGAAAACCAAACTGATATCATCAAGTCAGTACCATGTTGAAATAAAAAAGGGGTAATCATCAGAGAAAGAAAGAACTTACGGGAGAGATAAGTAAAGTAAACCGCCTCCGAAAAGACAGCCTGCCCAATCCAAAGCACAATCAAGAGAAACCTCGGATTCAGAAACGCCTTGGCAGTAGCCTTGATCTCAAACCACGGATTCTCAACAATCGTCAGCCTCACCGTCTTGCCATCCTCCCTCTGCACATGCTTAGGCCGATTCAGCAGCAGCGCCACCAGTGCTCCCGCGGCTTGAATCGCAATGAAGACAATGTACACCGTGTACGAGACCTTGCCAGCCTCGTTCCTGTCAATGTTGAGGCTGAGGTTGACGGCGCCGCCAATGATCTGGCCCATAACGCGGAACGTCAGCCAGTAGCCGAGGGCCTTGCCGCGGTTCCAGGGCTCCGGGTAGGCGATGGCGATGGCGGCCTCGGCGGCCCAGAAGACGCCTGCGGAGATGCCGCAGAGGGCGGCGCCGAGGATGACGAGCCAGGTTGTGCCGAAGCGGTTGTTTGTGTAGAGGCCGGCTGCGTAGGGGGCGTAGCCCATGCTGAGGGAGGAAACAAGATGTGTGTGTTAGTTTTGTTGTTTACATGTCTTCTTTTTTTGTGATGATGACTGAGTTTGTTTTTGTTAGATAGATAGATGAGAGAGAGAGAGACATACGTTCCAAAGACAAGAGCCCCCTTGATGCCAATGTATCGCACCAGGACGCTGGAGAAGTAGCACGATAGAACCATGAGGCAGAACGTCAGTGCGTTGGCGGCGTTGACGAGCTGCGGCGACTGGCTGCCGCCTGCGCCGAGGGAGTTCATGGCGCCCCAGATGCCCGGCGCTGCGAGGTTGCAGAGGCCGAGCACCGTCATGTTGTAGAATGTTGATCGGTACCATTTCACTGTTGGGTTTGGTTTCCCCAAACAAGAAGAGATGGGGGTTGTCAGTGAGACGCTCGTTTGTGTTGTGGCTGTTGGATATATGTCTTATGTCTTTCATTACCTTTGTGTCGTTGCTCCTTGGGCAACGGTGTTGTGTCGGATGAAAAGGCATCTTCCTTGTCCGCCATGTTTGACTTGGTGATGTCCTGAAGACTGGGCGTTTTTGATCAACACTCAACCGGATTTTGCAAGTAGAATGATACAAGAGTCGTCGAGACAACGTAAAAAGTACAAGAGTCTGATAGAGAGACAGCTCTCCCCTGGTTCACACCTCCGAGGGCGACTTGCCTCATATCAATCATTCCCTCTCCAGCACATTAAAACTCATCATCAACACCCCGACTCATGCAACCGATGCTCGTGCTGCTACAAGCCTCTTTTGCCCTCTCGTAATCTCGACCTATCTGGCGTGCGGATTGCGACATCGGGATGTATGCGACTACCGATGGCATGGTTCTGCTTAGGCGGCTTGCGAAGCACATGCTTGCCAGCACGCCATCGAGGGGCCGAGATGCTGCAGCAAAGGCAAATTCATAGATTGAATTATTAGCCTTTGAGCTACAAAGCATTGCTACTAGTATTATCTGAAGTTCCACGAGTAAGAAAGCATCATTGTTAGTAAGGCTGATGATGGAGATTCATCGTCTTTGAGCCAGGCATCTGGGAAGCTGCCTTGCCGAGATCCTCTCCCGAGACACGCACATGGTCTTTATTCAGGGACATCGGCTGAAAGCCACAATCAGATCTAGACCCTTGTACATGATTCGTATTGAACAAGTCTACCTACTACTATGTAGAAAATCAAACACTCAATGCAAGCTCCCTTACTGCCCTATGTATGTATGTACAGCCTACGGCACGACCCACCACTCCTCGTGCAGGCCTCGCAAATCCGCCTCCCCGGCCCTGAGATACGGCGTCACGTCCGCCCCGGGATCGGCCTCGACCGCCGTGCTCCCGTTGCCAAAGTACCACGCGAACCGGTTCCCCGTCTCGGACAGGTACTCGTAATCCCAGTCCTCCCAGCGCGGGTCCTTCTGGACGACGGTCAGATGCGTCGCGCTGCCGGGCCACAGGCCGTGGATGCGGCCTCCGGGGACGCCGCCGTTGTACCACGAGCTGCACTTCTCCGACAGCACCGTCGTCTCGAAGAAGGCGTCGCTGTAGGCGACGAAGTCGTCCGTTGCCGCGCGGGACGGCGCCATGGTCCGGATGCCCTCGCGGCTCACCTTGCGCAGGATCTTTGCGAAAAAGGTGATTTGGTTCTCGACGTTGTGCGGCACCGTGCCCGACCGGCCCGACGCGCTCGGCCCGTGGATGAAGAGCAGGTTGGGGAATCCCGGCGACGCGACGCCCATGTACGCGTAGGGGAACCCGTACGCGCCCGAGTGGCTCCAGTCGTGGCTCAGGTTGGAACCCCCCGAGCGGACGGGAAAAGGGGGCGCCATGTCCGAGTTGGCGCCCGTGGCGCAAAAGATTGCGTCCACCTCGCGGACCTTGCCGTCGGTCGTCTCGATGCCCGTCTCCGTGAAGCGCTTGATGTGCGTCTGGATGTACTCGACGTTGGGCTGGGAGAGGGCCTCAAAGTAGCCCGGCCCCGGTGTAAGTCGGCGGCAGTGGGGGGAAAAGTCCGGGATGATGCGCGCAAACAGCTCCGGGTTGGAGGCCAGCCGCGTCTTGGCCAGCTGCGTAAAGGCCTCCTTGGCCTCCTCGTTGCTCTCGGAGCCCTTGAGCCAGCCCCTGAAGCCCCTGAAGTAGGTCTGCTCCATGTCCTTGCGGTACCTGAGGTACGCCTCCGGGTCCTCCTTGAACGAGTCGCGGAGCTCCTGCGGGATCGTCTTGGGCTCGATGGACGTCTCGTGGCCGGCAAAGGAGGCGGCCACCCACGTCTTGTTGCGGGCGTAGTGGTCCAGCCGGCCGACGCGCTTCTGGATGTTGGCCACGAGCTGGATCCCGCTTGCGCCGTTGCCGATGACGGCGACCCTCTTGCCCGTCACGTCAAAGGACGGATCCCAGTTGGACGTGTGCCGCAGCAGGCCCTTGTAGTCGTTGATGCCGGGATAGTTGGGCAGCTTCCAGGCGTTGAAGCGGCCAATGGCCGTCAGGACAAAGTCTGCCTTGTCCACCCGCGGGGCGTCCGTCTTGAGATCGCGGACACTGATGAGCCACTGCGCCGCGGCCGCGTCCCAGTCGAGCGCCTCCACCCTCTGCGAGAGCCTGAGCAGCCTGTAGACGTCGTGCTTGCGCGCGAGCCCCTTCCAGTACTCGAGGATCTCGGGGCCCTGGGCAAACTCCTCCGTCCACTGCGTGTTGGGGTCAAACGTCGACTGGTAGACGTGCGCGGGCACGTCGCAGCGCACGCCCGGGTAGATGTTCTCGAACCAGGTGCCTCCCACGTCTGCATTCTTCTCGTAGATGGTCAGTTTGATGCCGGGGACCTTGGCCGACAGCAGGATCCCCGCCAGCACGCCGGCCAGGCCCGCGCCAATGACGGCCACGTTGAGCTCCCTCGGCTGGTCGATGAAGCGATTCACAAGACGGATCTTGGGCACCTCGTACGGCTTGGGGATGGCAGCAGCAGCAGCAGCAGCAGTTGACGGAGAGGAGGATGGGACAGGGGATGCTGGGCTAGGCTTGGGCGACGTCCGCGCCGTTTCCGGGGGAGTTGGCAGATCAACACTAGCAGCCATGGTGAGGTTGTACGAAATAACCGTTTAGCAAGGGGAATAAAGAAAGGGAATAAAACAAAAAGTCAAGAGTGAATGAAGTATGTAGTAAAAGGTCCGATCAAGGCGAACAAGCAGAACGAGCTCAGCTCAACTTGTCCTTTTCTCTGATCCGCGGTGCGCTGATGGCGGGATCTTTTAGCTTATCACCACCAAGCCTCGTGTAAGTCAAAAGCTCCTCAACCGAGGATATCGAAACCAAACAAAGATAAAGACTCACGCCGGTCAATTATCAACTCATTTCTGGCTCTTTTTGTAACACAGCGCTCATGCCCCCCTCCTCCACCTGTCGCCATTCTCTCCAACTCTTGTCCCTTTAGGCAATCCTCAACTAGAGAAAACCCCCGGACCGCCGAGTGGATTTGTCGCCCGCCCGGGGGTTTATTGAGCAAGCCTGGTGAGCAATCACGCAATCCGGCGTGCTTGTTTGGTGACAGACAATCAATCTGAGGAGCGACACACACACACACACATGTAGTAGCAGTAGTAGTAGTAGTAGTACTACTACTACCGTTAGGACGTATGACTAGCATTGTTGTCTAGCATTTCTGCTGACGGAATATCGAAACCGAGAAGAGCACCCTCCGAAAGCGGGCTCCCCTTGTTTCTCCCCCCCAATCGTCGATTTGGCGATGCTAATTGCCGTCTGCTTAGCCATCTTGTCAGCGGAATCTCCAGTCTATGGGGCTCGGCTGAATATACAGAGATGGTCTCTCTACTATATTAAAGAGATGCCGGGGCGCGGAGATGGCGGAGTTGAGAAGATGCGGGCACGATGCTACACACTTTGCATCTTGATAAGCAGCCTCTTGTTTGCCTTCCTTATCTCTTCTTTTGGCTCACATCTTCATTCTTCCTCTTGTTCATCTCTCCTCTCTTGTTGGTCGTCGTCACGCTTCTTTCCTTTCTGAATAAGTCGCCATTCTCCAGACCATGGCGGGAGACGCAGCACAAGCACAGACCGTCCTGCTCCTTCACGGGCCGCGGCAGGCATATCAGATCACCAACGACTATCCCGTGCCGCGGCTGGTCGAGGACGATGAGACGCTCATCAGGACGCACACCATAGGGCTGAACCCGATCGACTGGAAAGCGCCGTATGAAGAATCCCCCCTCTTCTCTACTATCCATGTAGAGCAGACTGTTGTCTAAACAAGGAACCGACAACATAGAGACTTCAACTTTGGCATCGCAACACTGCCATACATCGCCGGCCGCGAACTCGCCGGCCGAGTCACAAAAACTCCCCGCCGCAACTCCCGCTTAAGAGAGGGCGACCGTGTACGTAATCATCTCCAACCCCCCCCCCCCCCCCCCCCTCCCTTTCACTTATGCACACGCTCCCATCATGCATCCCAAGTCTAACAAGGGGACTCGTCGTCGTCGTCACAGGTCTTGGCCATCTCGACAGACTACCGTGACCTCCGCAAGGCCGCATATCAAGAGTACTCCGTCTCGTCAGACTTCAACGTCGCGAGGATACCGCCGTCCATCTCCTTCCAGCAGGCCGCCGGCCTGGGCGTCGCCTTTTCCGCCGCCGCCATCACCCTGGGCATCTGCATGGGCGTCGACTTTTCGTCCATCCTCGACGGGCCGGACCTGCTGCAGCTCGTGCGCGGCGTCCCGCCGGAGAGCATCCCGGAAGACGTCAGGGCCGAGTGCCTTCAGGGCATCACGGACTCGGAAAGGGCTGTTCCAGGGGATTGGGTAGCTGTCTGGGGAGGTGTGTATATCCCCCGGTCTCTTCGATGAACTCGATTGTAAAAGCCACGGATGAGAGAGAGAGAGAGAGAGGCTGACCACAGCTTTGTTCACACGGTAGGATCCTCCACATCGGCCAACATCACCGTCCAGCTCGCCCGCCTCGCCGGCCTCAAAGTCATCACCATCGTCGACACGGCCAAGCACGGCCTCCGCATCTCGGGCTGCTCCGCCCAGCGGCCCGACCTCCTCGTCGACAGCCACGACGCCGCCCGCGCCGTGGACATCATCAGCGCCAGCGTCGGCTCCCAGCTGCGCTTCGCCCTCGACACGCGCGGCCGCGAGTCCGCCACCATCCTGCTGGACGCGCTGACGCGGCAGAAGCGGCTCGCCGAGGCGCCGCCGTCGCCGCCGGACACGCCGCGGGAGAGCAGGTCGCAGACGTCGCACCTCGTCGGGCTGACGGGGCTGCCAAAGGAGTCGCCGCCCGAGGGCATCGCGTACCATACCGTGCCCATCAAGATCTTCCACTCGGTGCCTTCTGTGGGCGAGGCGCTGGTGCTGTGGTTGGAGAGGTTGCTGGAGCAGGGGCTGCTCGCGCCGCCGCCTGTCATAGGCGTGGAGAGCGGGTTTGACGGCGTGAATAGGGGGCTGGATAGGATGAGGGCGGGTGAGATTAGTGGAGGAAGGCTGGTCGTTGACATAGTATCTTAGTCTCACAACTGGTAAAAGGTATTAGAGATATGGGTTGAAAATATCCAAAAGTCAAGAGCACACGTACCGACATTCCTCAACAGATGCGGAAGACGGCCAAGGGCAAAGGCTTATCACTTCCTCAGCCTTTTTGACCGTCTCAGAGCCGTATTCTCCTCAGTCGTATCCTTCTTCATGGCAGTCACTTGTGATTTCTTTTCCTTCTTGTCGCTCCCTTCACTAGACGCCGTTCTCCTCTTCTTGGACGATGACGACGTAGCAGGAGTCGCTGTCTTTGCTGTCACGTCTGCCTTGGACTCCTTCATCGTCTCCGGCTGCTTCATCAACACATACGCCACCTTCTCAACCTCCACCGCCGACACGCCCAGCCTCTTCATCAGCGCATCAGCCTCCGCCCGCAGAGCGAGATACTCCTTGGGCGTGTACTTGATGGACTCCTTCTTGCCCCCGCAGCACAGCCAGTAGTACGCCTCGTCGGAGAAGAAGATGACGTTGTCGGCGTCGTGGACGGACAGCAGGAGGGACGCGGTGGCGGGGCCGACGCCCTTGAGTTCGGAGAGCATCCTGATGGCGCTGCCGGCGTCTTTGGAGCTTGCGTAGAACTTGATGGCGAATTGGATTGTTTGTTGGGAGGATGAGGGGGGGTTGGAGGAGACGAGGGACATGAGCGTTGGGCGGAACTTGCCGTGGCGTCTGTGTGTGTGTAAGTGATTAGTCTTCAATATGCCGACCTTACTTTACATATGTGTAGCAGAGTGTGTGTGTGTGTGTGTGTGTGCGTGAGTGAAGATGCATAGGTAGGTATGTTCAAGTGAATGAAAACCCCGAGTCTCTCACACAGCACGACTCCTACTCACAACGTGCTGGAAGCTGATAGCGGACATGATGGATGGAGATACCCACAAGACAACTTACAGCTTCCACTCGACGAGCATCTTGACATCATCGAGATCCATTTCCCGCTTCTGCTTCTTCAGGCCAAACGTCTCCACGGCATCCACATAGCGATACTGGTCCAGCTCAGCGAGCGTCTTTTGCCCATCCTTGGCTATCCCGCGCGCATGTTTGTCAGCTTTCACCCTAAAAGGACAAGATACAGTAGGAGTGGTGATGCAAGAGATGAGTTGACGCACCGCCCTTGGACCGGGATATCGCCTCGACGACGGCCGGGTACTGATTTAGGTAAGACGCGAACTGCTCCTTTGTGATGGCGCTGTGCAGCGGTACAACTGGAGAAGTCATTGTCGTGTGTCGTTTCTCCTTCTCTCGATGCTTATCTCCGAGAACGAAGCCGTGAACGCCTGAGTCAGCCAAAGTACGGGGTTTGCGTCGGAACAGAGTCTCGTCTTGGCTGGTGACGGTTTGCCTGTGAGGAGATAACGAGCGAGTCCGGCAGCGAAGGCGCGAGATGGAAGCCTTCTAAGGGAAGAAAGTGGAGCTTTGACCTCGCGTTGAAAGGGGTTTAGACTCGGTCTGCTGGGCCCCGCATTTAGCCGTTGCGAATAAGGTTGTCGGAATAAGCAAAGTTGCTTCTGTCGAATTTACACCGTATAATCAGATGAAAGAAGCCGTTGTGATTGTTCGCTGAGATGACATGTCTAAAGATTGAGAGTATCCCATGTATAATCAGGTTTTGAGACTGAAACCAGATTGGAAGTTTCTCGACAACACGTCTGTATCATTGTATCAAGCATCTGTATCTAAACAGCCTATCACTCTAGCTGAATCACTCAATACGCACAAATACGCACCACCTCGCGCCAACCAGCTCTTACATCCGACCATCTCCTCGTCCCATCAACTCATCCCCTTACAAATCACATTGAGCCTCACAACCGGGCAACCACCTACTTCACAATGTCCGCCCTGCGAGAAACCCTCTTCAAGAAACCATAGGCCCACATCCCTTGCACTCAAAGAAGTGGCATTCGGAAACTCTTCATGTCCGAGCCTTCTTCATGCGGAATTATAGAATGGTGAAGGTACTTACACAGCTGGCTGGGGCTGGGGCTGGGGCTGGGGCCTCCTCTGCTGTGCCTAACTCGTGTCTAAATGGACTTTGTGGTTTGGTGCAGCACCTTAAGTCCGGACCGAGATGCCTTGATTTGTAATTCTAGAAGGCATCGTGATGCTGAAAACAGGATCATCACAAAGGATATAAGACTAGAAAGAGAAAGCCTTGAAGAGAACGACAAGAGAATCCATAGAAACAGCAATACAAACCATCACCAACAGAACAACCATACAATCAAACACTCCAACAACTCCAACAACAATGTCTCCCACCGTCGTCCTCGTCACCGGTCCGTCCCTTCCATCAAACCCCCATTCCAACTCATGAAAACAACAGTAGCAAAAGAACTAACATCGAGCCAATCCCCCTTTTAAAAGGAGCAAACCGCGGCATCGGCTACGAAATAGTCAAAGCCCTCATCCAATCCCCCCTCCCCTACAAAATCTTCCTCGCCGCCCGCGACCCGTCCAAGGGCCAAGCCGCCGCATCCTCCCTCCAGCCCCTCATCAACCCCCTTACAGCAGCAAACAACCAGACTTCCATCTCCGTCGTCCAGCTCGACGTCTCCTCCCCGGAATCCATCCAGGCCGCCGCAGAACAAGTCAGGCAAGAAGCAGGCAGACTCGACGTCCTCGTCAACAACGCCGGCATCGTCGACCAATCGTCAGACCCCCTCCTCCGCCTGCGCAACACCCTCGAGATCAACACCATCGGGCCCTTTGCCGTGACGCAGGCCTTCAAGCCCCTCCTCAAGATCCAGCCAGAGGGGGAAGGCGAAGAGCAGCCCAAGGTGAAGCGCATCATCCATGTGTCCAGCGGCCTCGGGTCCATCGGGGAGAGGCTCAACCCAAAGGGCGCCTATTACGGCCTCGGAGCGCCAGAGTACCGCATGAGCAAGGCCGCCCTCAACATGCTCGCCGCGTGCGACGCCTACGAGCTCAGGGATGACGGCGTCAAGGTCTTTGCGTACGACCCCGAGTTTGTGGCCACCAGCTTGACGGGCACCCCTGAGGAACGCCGCAAGATGGGCGCGCTGGAGCCGAGCGTCAGTGCCGAGAGCTGCCTCGAAATCATCGAGGGGAAGCGAGACGCCGAGACGAACAAGTTTCTCAGCATCCGAGGAAAGGATTGGCCGTGGTAAAACATACTTTGAGACCGATTTCCTAAGAGTAGCGAGCAACGTAGCGTGAAGACGGATTGGAGCGCTGTTTCAAGGTCAAAGATGGAATGGAATTCGCGACAAAGCTGTCATATTGGCCAGAGTAATATACAGTTAGTTATGAGACCCAAAAACCAGAGTATCACACACGCCCACTGCCTCCTGTACCTCGACAGGATCAACTTGCTTCCCCCTAGCTTTTCGCCATAGTATAATAACCACTTGGGTCGTAGATGAGGAAGAGCCCTTGGATCAATTCGCTTGGTCCATCCCAACACTCCCTTTGTGACCATGACCCCTGATTCTCCTTGATATATCCTCCATCGGTTGTTCAATCTTTTGTTCACAAACACCGGTTTGCAACAAAACTCCCAACACCTGATTTGCAGAGCAGAAATCATGGCTTATCTGGCCTTGCGGCTTTCACCATCGTTCTGAGTAGCGGCATACTTGTCGCTAAGCTCAGAGTAGGCCTTGTTCAGCTGCTCCGCCTGCTTCTGCAGGTTCTCAAGATCCTGCTCCTTCTTCTCAAGCTTCTTCTTGAGAGCAGCAAGCTCACCGGGCTTTCCGGCAACGGCCAGCTTCTCGCTCTCCTTGGTGTTTTGGCTGGTACCCTCGTAGGCCCTCAGCTTGTCCTCCAGGCGCATGACTTCCAGAATCATGACGTAGGTGCGGTTGAGGATCAATGACAGGAAAAGCGTGAAGCCGCAGAGGTACATGTTGCGCTGGGAGTAGAACTTGCGGGCCTGGACCTCGAGGCGCTCGGATCCCATGACGGCGGCAGCACTATTGACGCATCCGTTAGACAATTGCTGACGCTACGTGGTATTTTTTACGTTCGCCAAATGGACACTCACTTTCCCTTAACAGCATGCTCGTGGGCGGCCATGACCTCGAGCTGCACCCTATAGACGCGGTTGAGGCTGTCGACGAAAAGTATCAGGATGAAGAAAAAGGTAATCTTCATCCAGTATTGCAACTTGGCAATCACCGGACTCTCGGAGATGAAGCTGTCGTACAACTCGTCAGCGTCTGTGTTATTCTGGGAGGCGGGCCGACAACGTACGTAAAGATCTTGCGCTTGGCGCTGAACGGCAGCGGCACGAGCAGCAGCATAAACAGGGCCATCTCGGCCATCAGAAGACCAAACACCTTGTGGCAAGTTAGACCTCTTATCCAGCAACACCCTCGATGTATCTATCGTGGCAGTTCCGGCAACGTACAAGAGTGTAGTAGAGCGTCATGGTGGTGTCGTGGCAATGGCCTCCAACTGCAAGCTCCTGTTGTGTTTGCTATTTGTCGTGTTCTTTCGGCGGGGTCAACGGAGGAAGCTCGATGACGGCAATTTCAGAGTATGGGCGAAGTCAGAGGTAGACAGCGACGACGCCTCTCGGTGTGTGTCGTGAATCGCAATTCTGGTTGTTGTCGTTGTTGTTGTAGAATGAAGGAAGAGAGAAAGAGCAGAGACAAGTTGCAAGTTTAAAAGCAGGCAAAGTGTTCTGTTTGCTGCCTGTGGGTTCAGGTCCAGGTCAGGTCAGGTACGAAGCGCTCGTACCTCAGCTTGGTGCAGCTTCCAGCCGCGTCAAATCGCCCACGTCATCGTTAGCTGTCTCTGTGGCTGGTGAGTCGCCCCGCCCCCGCTGCAAAAGGTAAGGTAGAGCTCGACGTGGTGTGGCTTGACTGCGGCATCAATTGAAGTGCCATCACGATGGATGCTGAGTACCTGGGTAAGGCAGCACGTGAGAATCTCAATTTTGCAGCTTTACATATTACAGATACTGACTGACCTTGTTGTTCTTCCAGGTTTCAGTGTTGATAGGCCATTACATCCTTCATGATGCATATCTACCTACCTAGAGAATGTCTGCTTCGTACCACATACCTCGTCGTCCTCTTCGAGGTTTACTTGTCCTTACTGTTTCTGACAGGGCATTGACCAATGCAGCGACTCGGCTCTGCGCCACATTCCAGATCCATGTACTTGTACGAACTGCCCTTGTCCTCATTTAAAAAAAGGGCTCCATCACATGCTCGTCATCGCCTTGATCCTGTTTGGCAGCTTTCCCCATCCCGAGTCCATGGCATCTTTCAAATTGCGACTCCTCACAAGGGTACACGCCATCACATTCGGTTGCCCCCAATTCCATGTTTTCCTGGTTCAACAGTGGACCAAATTCGGCCTACATCATTTGCGAGAAGTCTATCAATAATAATGACTCCCTTTTTCTGTACAACTCCATAACCCCCCTAAGACCCTTGACACATTGACCTTTATTACGCCTATGCCTCCTCCCTAAATTTCGCCGGTAACCGTCTATTCCTCGATGTCCTACTCATCGTCACCACGTCCTGATCCTCGCTGTCTTCGATTTCAACAACATCCTCAGGCACCTCTCCGCGGCCCGTCCTGCTTTGCTTTGGCGTGGACGTTGTAGTTGTCGGCGTCTGCGCGGGAGCAGAGGCACTGGTATTCACGTCGAGCTGCTGCGACTCCTGAGACGAATCAGTGGGCAGGGCTGCATGGGCAGGCTGCGGAGGTTCTTTGTTTGGCCTTGGGATGACTCGAGGATGCTTTCTAGGTCGTCCGCTGCCGGGTCGGGCCCCTCCACGCTTGCCCCGCGGCTTTTGCTGCTCCTCTGATCCCGGAGTCTTGACTGCTGGTGTCTCGGGCTCCTTGGCTCTCTGTGACCGCGTCGTCTTGCGCAGCCGCTTCGACCCTAGAAGCTCCCCATCCTCGGTCGTGGCATGTGCAGCTGCAGACGACGCGGTGTCTGTGCCAGGAGGATGGTATTCTTCCTCCTCGGAATCAATCATCGTGTGGCGTTTTCGCTTGCGGGTATAGATTTCTATTGATGGGCTGGCAGCCGCAGAATCGTCATCCGAGACTGCCACCACTGCCGCCTGAACGGTCGTAGTCGTAGTTGTAGTAACAGTCGTCGCCGCTGCCGCCATCTTCTTCTTCTTTGACTTTGGTCTCCCCGCCTTCTTGTGCTCTATTATCTTGGGCACCTTGCGTGCCACTCGATCACCAGTCTCGGCACGCTTGGGTCGGCCGACCTTTCTAGGGCCCTCCGCCTTCTCCCCGGACTTGTTATCCAGCAGCTTCTTGGTGAGGTTGGGAAAGTTTTCGCCGTAGTTGAAAAAGAGCTCTTCTCCGGCCTTGATATCCCGCAATGCGGTGAACTTGATCCGGAACTCCCCATTGACATAAAGGATCCGCGGCGTAATGTTGCATCCCCGGGTGTCGTGCTCTGAAGCGTGGTTAATGTACCGGCTCAGGTTGCCGTAAATAGCGGCGTCGACCCAGATGCCCTCGTTTTCAAGCAGAGTAAAGACGTATGAGATGTTCGACGTCTCATCGAATACGTCGCCGCGTCTCGCTTCCCGGCGGACGCCCTCGTCGTGGGTGATGAGCTCTCCCACATACTCGACAATGAACTCGTCCTGAGCAATGTCCTCGGCGGTAAAGAGTCCGTAGCCAACTCCTTCCAGCTGGCTTTGTCCGAGGAGGAGCGCCTTGTGCCGCCCACGCTGGAGATCGCAATTTTGGCAACCCGCCGAGTGCAAAATATCGTCTTCTGCATTGGCGGGATCCGCACGTTCGAAAGCGCCACAAGAACCGCACAGCTGGGGGTCACACTCGCGGTTGAGTTGCACGCAGATACACGGCCTGTCCTTTTGCTTCGGGAGACATGTCTTGCCGAGAGAGTGGCAAGCACAGCCTGTAAACTTGTAAGCGCAGTTGGCCTCTGTGCACCCGCAAAACCTCTCGCACAGAACCCCAGCATCGACGCAGCTGCATATCTTGGGGGCGCAGGGGCCGTCGTGGGAGCATGGTTCCAGCAGTTCCCGTCGTTGATGCTCATGAGTAATGGTGTGTTCTTGCCAGTCTCCAATAAGCATCTTCCGCTTGCGATCGTACCATGAAATGTTCCGCGGTCGAGGCGGTTCCGTGAGGTCAGGCCCAGGTATGCCAATGCTGAGAGACTGAAATTCTGCGTATACCTCATCGCAGTTGCGGTTCAGAAACTCCGTTGCAAGACAGATCGGGTCCATCTTTGTCTTGCTGAAATCAGTCGTGATATACAGAGTCCGTAGGAGCATGCGCTCATCCTCGGTCCACGGCTTTGCCACCGCACTCGTCGGGTCAGGAGGAATCTTCAGCCGATAGCATCTCCGTCGACAAGGCACATCAGCAATCGTGTTTACCCCTGCTGCCGCTATCCTCTTTCTCCTCAAAATGTCCGACAAGGGTGCACAGGATGACAAGGAAAAAGTGCGTTTCCAATTCTTGATGTCATACTCGCCGTGGTCGCAGGAATGGCTGAAGCAGATAAGGCATCCCAAAATGCAGTAGGTGGCCAAGTTGGACTCGACAACCTCGTCCTCGTTATCCTGCTGGACAAGGGAAACTTCCTTGGCCGCGGGCTTGTTGTCCATGACACTATCGACCGACTCGTCGAGGAACAGCACCTTGCGCAGCTCAATCTGCTTCAACTGCGGTTGATTTTCCTTGAAAGCCAACTGAAACGCGGCAGTAAAGAGCTCTGCCGCCCTGTGCTCCTCTGGCGTCATGGCGTGCCCGTGGCCATGGGATTTGATAATGTCCGTCTTTTGCTGGGGCGTTATGGCGTCGTCGGAGGCATGGCTCGCCATATATCTGATGAGTGTGGATTTGTTGCAGGATGGTATGTTGAGCTCCTTGAGCCACATGTCCAAGTAGAGCGAGAGCGTAGCAGCGCGCTCGCCCTGGATGATGGCAACAAACTTCTCATCGCGGTTCATGGGCTTGAATCCTGATTTGAGGTCAATGTCCTCCAACTCCTTAAGCCAGAGGTTGTACTTTGCCTCCTCGGACCCCTCCAGATCCCGCAGATGGGGTACAAACGTCAGCATGGTGTTGGGCATCAAGACGTTCTTCTTGATTTCCACATGGTGAAACCGGTAAGACGGAACAGCAGGCTTGTTGGTCTTGACGCAGTGCACATTGTAGCGAACGTCCTTTTGTTCCTTCTTGTTCTTGTTATGCTGCTGAGTTGGGAGGTCAATTCGTGAATTTCAAACAAGATGCTGCGAACCTCGGGTGCTGGTGAACAAACAGTGCTGGCTGACCTTGAACTTGATTTTGATCTGCTTGCCCTTGATTTCCGGATTGGGGTGAGTGGTTAGCTCACGGAAGAGATCCAGGCCATGTTGCGTGCGCCACTCTCGACACCTTGCGCTCTCAATGGCGTGGGCGACGAGCTGTGCGTGATCCTTCCGAACCTGCTGGTTAAACGTCGTGAGCTGCTTAGCAAGCGTCCGAACAGTCCACTCCGTCACGGGCACCGTCTGGGTCTTGGGAGTCTGCACGCCTTCAGGCTGGCGATGACGCTCTCGTGATGGCGTTGCTGGCGGCATGTTCAGGGCCGGGCTGGTGGCGGATGCCACGCCTTGTTTCCTGGTCTCTGGCATCTCGGGCGCATTTTCAGACACGCGGTCGATCAGGGGAACTGACGCGCGCTCAGGAAGAGGGACGGGCGTCCAGGCTCCGCTGCCGCTGCCGCTGCTGGGATCGCTGGGTCGGGATGCTGAAGTCGCGGAAGCCGCTGGAGGAGCTGAAGAGCAGCTTCTCCTCAAGGGAGGAGGGCTAATGGGACCTCTTGTCGACGCCGCGACGCCAGATCCGCTAGTCAAGTCTAGATCTAGACGGACCAGGTGGCTTGGATCCTCCTCCGACGTTGCGATCACCCGCGGCGGTCCGTGGGGCATCATCCTGGCCTGTATGTGCAGGTAGCAATCCGTGTCTGTTCCGTTGCGCCCCGTCTGTGTCACGGCAGGTGGTGAGCGTCGCCCTTTTCTGCTGAAGCAGGCGGGAAGCGGGAGGCTGGAAGGGATGGCGAACGAAGCCGCAGACCCAGCTCTGCAAATGAACGGCCGAGGCGCGCAAAAGGGGCCTGCATGAGAGGCCTGAAAGGATTGTGCGCTGAGAAAGTAGTGAAAACGAAGCGAAACAATGGCAACGACAATGAAGTCACGAGGATGAACAAGCCGGTGTCAAGGAGCGTCTCGTTCGGCCGACAGCAAACGATCGGCAGCAACTCATGCACATGAGGCTGAAGGAAGACGGGCTTGAAGATTCCAGGTCCAACTGCAGGCCGCCACCAGTCTCCTCGCCACGGAGGCAACAGCTCAGGTCCCCGCGGACAGCTCTCCACTCCTAGTAAGAGAAGAAAAATCAGCAGGGCATCTCCAACGCAGCGCAACAGCAGGGCTCCTGATCCTGCAGTTGAGATTCTGAGGAATCGCGGATTCGAGATGCCTTTCAGATCGCGTTTCGGACAAAGGGCCAGCCTGGAGTACGCGAGTCCTGGTTGGCTGGGCTTGGGGCTGTTGGTGATTGGCCCAGAGTTTATGCGGCAAGTCCACAAAGGCAAGATGCCCGGCTAGTCTAGATTTGGAGAGCGCGTTTACCTTGAAGGATTGTTTGATGTCTCGGATCTTTGCGAGAGCAAATGTCCATACTATTAGTAGTTTCTTGATTTGCAGCAGGTCGGGTTTGGTTTTATCGTTTCACAATGCGTCATTCACTCTCTATTGTATCATGCTCTATTGGTGTTTTTTTTTTTTTGTGCTGATCTAACTCAAGGAACGGCGCTGAGGAGCTGGACAGAACCTTTTGCTAGGTACTTCCTAGCACATCAGACCTACAAATGACGGGTAGGTGCCTCGGTACCACATAGACCAATTCTCATTGAGCAGCATTCGTTTAGTGCTAATAAGTCGTGAGAGGCAATTCATGGAGTGGTCTGAAAGAAAGATGAGATGCGGTAGGTCCACCAAAGAAAAGTGGTAGTACGAGAGCAGCATTGATCAACTGTGAGACCCCCTCCAGCAACCAACACCCCAAAGCCGAGGATGTGGAGCGTACCTGCATACAGCGAGCTTCTCAATGGACCCCGTCCCGGATTTGGATTTGCCAGGCTCAAACGGTGCTCTGTGGTAGCGAAAGGGGGTAAGCGAGCGTCCGAATGTCAGGGATTAATTGCCATGTTTGTTGATTGTTGCATCTGATACGCGCGCCAACAGCGGAAGCCAATGCAGCGTTGACCACTGGAAGGGCGGGAAGAGTCAAATACTGCTCCAGCTGCTACTAGAGGAGGTAGTAGTAGTAGTAGTAGTAGTATGGAGCTTAAGGTTAAGGCACTGTGAGTAGTACCTACATAGCTCATCGTGCACATGCGACCCCGGGTTTGACAGCTCGTTTGGATCCGTGCTAACTTTGATTGATCTGGAACAACATACCTACCTTAGGTAGCCACCCCACCGCGGGAATGTGTTTGCTGCATGATCCCGACCCTAGAGGTAATATGTCGAGCCAATCGATCTGGCAATGCATCCTATGTACTTGTCCTGATTACGTGGGCCGAGAGACAGTCTGTTCTTACTGCTCTTACTGCAAACGGATACGAAGATAATCGGTAACTACATACCTCTACAACTACTATCGTGAAGGCGACATAGAGCCGCAAGGTGCGGGTCTGGGGGGCAGCCAATGCGTCCAGGCTGAGCTGAGCAGGGTCAGGATCCAATCTAGAGCATCTTGTAGGTAGGATGTGCAAGTAAAAAGCTGTGCCATGAGGCACGACTCCAGTACTACTACTAATTAGCAGCTGTGGCACTGTGACGGCAATGACACATGCAAACATAATCGACCAGGACCCGCCTCCTTGTGCTCCCAAGGCACAGGGGAGCCGAGATCGTGATAAGTGGTAGTGGTGTCTCATCCCTGGCACTCGCAAGCTGACGATGAAAAACAGGAAAATCAGACACCTAACCGTGTGCTTGTGTGATGAAACAGACTCCAAACGTCGTCATTCACTCTCCCCTAGCCCGGCACTAGCACTTCCATCGATCTCATGGCTCGCCGCTCCAGCAGCGTCTCCAGACCCAATCCGGCATGGCAGGCCAATCCATCGGCGCTGCGTCTGTCTCAGCCAGGACGCCGCTCAGCAGCGTCAGGAAGCTTCCAATCGCCTCGGCTGGGCTGAGACATGCATTCTGACGGCAGCCCAGGTCATCTACCTGGGCATAAGTACAGTAGGTACCTTACAGTAAGAGTAAAGCGATCACCCTCCCAGTCAATCCGCAGGTCCCGAACCCTATAGGACCTGACGTCGTCGCCGTGGTACCACAAAGACAACAAGAGCTTGAAGAGCCAGATCGCAACCTAGCCTGAACGCAATCCTTCACCCGGGCGTCCATCAGCACAGGTACAATATACATCGCGGCCTAGCGTAGCGCCGGTACTTGCACAGGCAGCGCAGCGCCGGCGGGGGACCTGCGGGCTGTTAGGGCCCCAGACAGGCTCGCCAGCTGCGGGGATGACGTAGCCGGAGCGCAACTCTGGGCAGCTGTCCAGCCGATGACGATCCGCCAGCTCCGCCAAAGAAGCAGCCAAGGCGTGGCATTCCACGTTCTTATAATCGTCTCCCCATCCGTCCCCCCTCCTGCGTCAGCTCTGATCTCGTCCCACCCCGTATTGATATCCAGCACAGCAGTGAAGCACCACTGCTGATCCCTCTCCTGCGCGCGCAACCCCTATCACAGCGCCAATACCTTTTATTTCACTCCCCTCGACGCGCAGAATCGCATCGCCAATTCGCACCGCTTACTACTAGGTCGCTCCGTCACACCGCCAAAATGCATCGAACATACTCTATGCGCCAGACCCGCGCGCCAACGGCCTCGCAGCTTCAGGTAGGGATCCGCCGGCATCTTTTCCCGCGGTTTGCGGCCGCTCGCGACTTGACATCGCGGCTAACCAATGTGTCCAACAGAGTCCGCCGCCTCCGCCGTCGTCTACCAAGTCGGGTCGCTTCTTTGGAAGGGGAAGCTTGGGTGAGTGCTGCGAAGAGCCCCGTTCCCGTCGAATGACTCAGGGCCGATTGGCACGATTGGATTTTTGGTCCTAGCCCACTTTGATGATCTTCACAACCGCGAAGCGTACATGTGAAAGCTTTGGCTAAACGACAAAGCAGGTCATGCTCTCCGCCGCAATGCCGGTGGCGCCTTTGGGCCAGATCTGGCCAAGAAGCTATCCCAGCTCGTCAAGATGGAGAAGAACGTTATGCGGAGCATGGAGCTTGTGGCCAAGGAGCGCATGGAGGTGGCTGTAGGTGGCTTTCCTTTTGCGCGGGGTCCGACCATGGCTGCTGACCGACGGCTCTACAGCAACAATTGTCCCTCTGGGGTGAAAACACCGACGAGGATGTCTCTGACGTCACCGACAAGATTGGCGTTCTCATCTACGAAATCGGCGAGCTAGAAGACCAGTACGTCGACCGGTACGACCAATATCGCATCACGATGAAGAGCATCCGCAATATCGAGGCATCGGTTCAGCCTAGCCGAGACCGTAAGGCGATTCTTGGACCGTGTACATGAGGGATAAATCCATACTGACCTCGAGCAGGCAAACAGAAAATCACCGATCAAATCGCCCAGCTCAAGTACAAGGAGCCCAACTCCCCCAAGATTGTGGTGCTGGAACAGGAGCTGGTCCGCGCCGAGGCCGAATCGCTCGTGGCAGAGGCTCAGCTGTCCAATATCACCCGCGAAAAGGTCAAGGCTGCGTATACTTACCAGTTTGATGCCCTGCGCGAACACTGCGAGAAAGTCGCCATTATCGCTGGCTATGGCAAGCACCTGCTTGACCTGATCGACGACACCCCCGTCACTCCCGGCGAGACGCGAGCGGCATATGATGGCTACGAAGCCAGCAAGGCCATCATCCAGGACTGCGAAGACGCCCTCACAAACTGGGTCACTCAAAATGCTGCCGTAAGCTCCAAGCTTTCCACTCGGTCGCGGAATCTCTCCCAGCGACGGCGCAACACCATCAGGGCTAGGGAAGAGGGCCACGATCTATCCCACCAAGATGTCCCGTTGAACGACCATGGCTCGTGGACACAACAAGGCGCCACAATCGACAGCGATGGTGAAGAGGCGGAAGAGGAGGAGGAGCGCCCTCACTCCGCCATGGGTAGCGACGGTGGCATGAACGGCGAGGCACGAGGTCGGACTCAGGAGATCCTCGCCGCCTAAGGTGCGAACATGAAGGTTGCATGAGCACAGAGAAAAAGAAAGATGGGAGGGGGGACAAAATACGTTTGAGTAAATAAAACCCCAGTCTTGGAAGCCGAGGACTAATGCCGATAATGCTGCTTTGGGTGCCGCCGAGCTGGCGGGGGAGTTTTGGACAAGGCTGGAACAAACGCTGGTTAGGTCGACCTGGTTTATAGTGTCTTTTTGGATAGGGGGCGTGTGGTCATTCACCATTAATACCTTGTATGAGTTTGTTGATATTATTAAGAACACGAATTGTGTGATTATATTGTGTGTTTGTGATTTAGATTGAGAAACCGATTAGAAAGACCCAGCCTCAACGCCGCCTCAATGCCGCCCCAGTGATTAGGTTAAAGAAGAAAAAGGAACGAAAACTCCTGCGGTTGCTGTGTCGCGCATAGGGTTTCGTGTTGACCTTGTTCTCATTGCGCCATTCTATTTCATTTGACTCAGAAACTGCTCAGCCTCCATCTTCACAATATGGTGCCCAGGAACAACCACCAGGCCCAAATATCGAGACGTCATGTCCAGCGTCACGGAGTCGCCGGAGGCATTTGCCGCAGCAGCACTACGCTCCCCTTCTGAAGGCTGTCGGTACTCGTGCGTGTTTGCCAGCACGATATTCCTATCCTATCTCGTCAAGGGCCCTATTTAGCATCCAAAGAAGCGGACACTCCTCATTCTTCTGGTATGGGGAGAACGAACCGGATCTGTGCATTTGAAGCTCCCCCGAAACATGCGGCCGTCCGTAGTGTAGACGCGCATGTTCTGGTTCAAGAGAGACGAGAGGTATTCGTGAGCCTCATCTTTGTTCATTGTGAGGACGGCCTTGGCCTTTGAGCGACACAGGGATGTGAATGAGATGCAAGGAAGATCCGGTACCTTAATTCATGGTGTTGGGGGAGGGCGCCGGTCCTTGGTTTATCCGAGATTGCCCTGCTGGGAGAGATCTTTATCGCGATCACACCTGGAGCCACTTATAAGAAGAGCCTGGTTGTGAGACGTTGGAACATCTTAAAAGGACTGCTGTGTGGAACGCTTTGGACAAGCGCGGGCTGGCCTCACAATGGACGACATTGTGCCTCAGAACACGTACCGGACGTACAAACGGGATACGCAGCAGCTCCTGTTCTGGATCATCCACGCCTTCAACTCGGTCCTCGAGTCGTCGGCGGCCGCAGAGGCAGCAAGTGATGGGCAGCAGCACCGCCAAAATGTGACGGGTCAGGTCACTGTTAGGGAGCTTGTGGCCATGGCAAAGACGATATCTGAGCATGCCATCCGCATCCCTGGAGCCATCTACCGCAAACTGCAGTCCGTGACTCGCGCCAGGACGGTCATGTACATGGCTTTCCAGCAGCTCGCTGCCTTGAGTAAAAAGGCTGATCCAGAGATGGAGAAGAGCAATACAACACACAAGTACTTTATCGATGCTCTACATGAGGTGTTTGAGCTCTTTGGAGGGCCTGCTTGGGAGAAGCAGCAGCAGGACCAGACTCGAAAGCAGGCCGTTCGGCCCGACGGGAGCAGGGAGGCTGATCTCGACGCCGAACTTGACGCAGAGGTCGAAAGCGCCAGGTTCACCAACAAGTTTGCGGCACTTGGCCTTGGCAGCTCTGCGAATAACGGACTGGACACTGCAGCTGTGGACTCTAGCGGTGACGAGGAATCTGACGAGGAGTCGAGACCAGCTGCTGCCGGGCAACAGCGCCGCCAAGCTCGGCCTGGAAGAGGCAACAAAAAGAAGAAGAAGAAGGGTGGCAAGCGAGCTAAGAAGGGCAAGCAGGAAAGTAAGCCTCAGACGCTGGATGAGGTTCCGCTTGAAAGCTACCGCATCATCGAGGACACAGACGGCACGGTCACCGATTACCTCTTGGCTGTCTATGCCCTCTTTGAGGAGATCTGCGACCTCCGGCTGTACATGAGCGGCGTGTGGCGTGAGGTTGCGTATGAGGGCCTCAACGGTGCCGTGGCGGCTACCCTGGGCGATCTGGCTACGGCTATAGTCAAGCGAGCCGAGTCGGCCATCATGGTTGAATTTCCCGGACACGAGTCGTATGAGACGGTAATGCGGACCATTACACGCGGTGATATCGAAAAGGCCCAGGGTAAATTCGCAATTACACTCTACAAGACCTCAGACGGGGAGGGGCCGGCAGAAAAGATGGAAGAAACCAGTCTCGATATCAAGGAATACTTCCTCATCTACGCATACCGGGACCTAGTCGACTTCGTGACCGACTTCCAGGCCACTCGCAGCGGAAAGCCGACCAAGCGCATGCTCCAGGAGATTGACAAGTGGGATCCAAATCTGGACCTGCAGCGTGCCACCAAGGAGCAGAGACAACGTTGGCGCCGGTCCTATACCATCAACTGGCTTTACGACCTGGTCAATGTCTTCTCCGGCATTGTGGTTCAACGCAACACGATGAAGGGAGAACATCATGTATACGAAAAGGTCGACTGGTCCGCCGATGGCGAGTGGAGCGAGCATGTGCGGCTCTTTGGCATCAACGAGTTTGCCGGCAATGTTACGTGAGTTATCTTTCTTGACTCTTTTCGTCCTCCTCTCTTCTTACCCCTTTTCTCCCCTTTCTCAGTCCAGACCGCATGATTTCTGACTATTAGAGGGCAGCTCCATTGCTATGCAAAAGCCCGGCACCGACGTCAAGAAGCTCATCAACCCAAGCTTGGTATTCCAGCTGCAGTGCATAGTCGACTCTCTGATGGTCTCGCGCGGCTGGTCGCTCAACAGCTTCAGGGGACATGTCTTGGAGCCGCCAAAGAAGGGTTACCGGCCGAGGCGAGACGTCGACCTCTTCCTGGATCGTCAAACCGAGAGATTCGGCAAGGGTATCCTACAGGGTGCTTTTGTACTGCAACAGCTGCTGGAGCAGGACAGCGCGACGCATCCGGAGCGACATGAGGCACACATCGGCGTGCTCCAAGGTATACTTTGGGATTTTCGCGACTGGCTGGGCGAGTCCAAATACAAGTCTGGACTGGCGACGCTGCCACCTTCTCGCTTTTCCAACAGCAACTCCAATGGTCTCTGGGAATATTCGCCCTTTCTCTGCGGCGCTGGGCTGGCCGAGGGCCTGGAGCTCGTTTACCGGTTCGGCCTGACACTCTGGGACCGGATGCCCGAGCCCATGCTCATGGTTCATCTGCATAACATGCTGGTGCAACAGAAGTATCTTAAACGGTCCGTCGGGCTATTTGCTGCTCTGGAAGATACCTTCTCGAAAGCCTTCTACGCCGACGGCCGCCCCCCTACCTCCAACTTCACCGACGCCCTCAGCAGTCAGATTGGCAAGACGGGTACTCATTTCGAACATCGCCGACGGGCCGCACAGAAGAGGGGAGCCAATACCACGCTCGCCATGCTGGACGTGGCTGCAAACCGTTTCTTCCGCACCAAGTCCAATCTCCTGCTATACCGCGAATCTGGATGGAATCCCGACCGTATTTCTAACGAGGACCTCGGAGAGCACACCTTCCTGTATCAATTCCGCTCCCGTCAGTCAAATCACTCAGCTGCCGAGTCGTTTAGGCACGAGACAGGCAGATTTCAGTCTCTTGAGGCGGGCGGACCCCGTCCGCTCCATATGGTGTCCGACAAGGACCCCAAGGCAGCACTGCCCCGAAACCTAAGACCTGACCGCCTGTCACGACGGGGGCTTCTTGAGCTCATCCGGTGCGACGTCTACTCGGACATCTGCGGTCCTTCACCATTGTCGAGTCTCAACTACTTTTGGGTCACAGCACGGATGATCATGATCTTTGGGATGTTCGAACATGAGCTGAAGAGAATCAACAACCCCCTGTACAATGACATTTACGTTGCGAACAGCGGACGCGGCATTGAAAAGCGGATTCTGCTGGCGGTGGCGGCGTTGTCTGAGAGAGATGAAGAGTGTCTGCGGACCATGGCCAGGATCTTGGAAGAGCAGAGAACGGGCTGGTTGGCACACATCTACTGGGATGACCTTGACACGACCATGGATCGACTCCTCCGCCCTCGAGATGATGTAGAGGGGCCGAATCCGGATGTGTGTAGCATCATGTAGTGGACTATTACTTATGTAGTGGACTGGCCTTTAGCCTCTACCTACAACTCATGAGACAAAGATAGATGTGCAGGTAGAGGTGAGAATAAAGGTGTAAGACAGGTGAAGGCAGTGAGAGCTGTCAGAAGGTATGCGCATTTCTGGTGGCCACCTCAGAACTTATAGCGTCATGATAAGCCGCAACCTCTGGAGAATAGGCAAGACAGAGGTTAAGTAGCGGCCAGACAAGTACCGCTTTAAAATTCTTGACGGACCCACCAGCCCTGCCAAGGTACCTGTATGATAGCGTCACTGCAAGATCCTCCATCGTGAATCTTGACTCTTCTTCATCATCACTTCGCCACTTGCATCCAGCATTTCCGCCTCTACGAGTGCAGCAGGAGCGAGTTAAGCTCGCACGTGCATTCTCGCAATGCCATCTTTATCTCACTAGCAATTCAACGACTTGCGGGCAATCGTTAGGCCCGCGCCCTCGCCATGGGTGTCAACGGACTCTGGACGGTGGTCCAGCCGTGCGCACGGCCAACTAACCTGGCAACGCTCAACCGAAAGCGTCTGGCGGTAGATGCGTCGATCTGGATCTACCAGTTCCTCAAGGCCGTTCGCGATAAAGAAGGCAATGCGCTGCGCAACTCTCACATTGTGGGCTTCTTCCGCCGCATCTGCAAGCTTCTGTGGTTTGGCATCCAGCCCGTCTTTGTGTTCGACGGCGGCGCCCCGGCGCTGAAGCGAGCAACGATCCAGAAGCGCAAACAGAGGCGAGAGGGCAGGCGGGAAGATGCTGTCCGAACGGCGGGAAAGCTTCTCGCCATCCAGATGCAGCGACTTGCGGAAGAGGAGGAGGAAAAGCGCAAAAGGGAAAAAGAGAGGCCGCGAGCATTGAGAGCGGCGGAGGAAGAAGAAGAAGTCATACCCGATGCCAAGGACTTGGTATATGTCGAGGAGATTGGCATGTCCCAGCAGGAGAGGATGCGCAACCGCAAGTTCTACAAGCAGGATGCCTATCACTTGCCGGAAATCGAGGGTGGGATAGCGTCGATGGGGAAGCCGGACGATCCTCGAATCATGAGCGTGGAGGAGCTGGAGGAATATGCCCGGCAATTCAACAATGGAGAGGATATCAACTTATACGACTTCAGCAAGATTGATTTCGACGGCGACTTCTTCAAGAGCCTTCCACCGCCGGACAGGTACAACATTCTCAATGCGGCTCGGTTGAGGAGTCGGCTCAGGATGGGTCTCAGCAAAGAGCAGCTCAACGACATGTTCCCTGACCGCATGGCCTTTTCTAGGTTTCAGATCGAGCGTGTCAAGGAGAGAAATCACCTGACGCAGCGGCTCATGTACGAGGTCGGCATGTCGGGTACTGACTTGACACTAGGCGTCAACGCTCGTATTGCCGGTGAGAGAGATCGAGAGTACATCTTGGTCAAGAATGAGGGTGTCGAGGGAGGCTGGGCTCTCGGAGTCGTCAGCAAGGACAAAGACGTTGGAAAAGCCCACAAGCCGATTGACGTGGATGCCGTTCAGTTTCACTACCAGACAAAGGATGAGAAGAGTGAAGACGATGAGGATGAAGACGATGATTTTGAAGACGTACCAATCGAGGGATTCAACCGACTACCTAAGCTGTCTCAGTCCAATATGGCGAGCCGTGAAGCTGCACAAGGCCTGACGACTCGGCGACAGCAATACTACGCGAGCCACAAACAGGAAGCTGCCACCACCGATGGCAACAATGAAGGCTCTCTGTTTGTTGGAGGGGAAATGGAGCCCATTGAGGCTTCATTAGATGACCAAGTCGGGGAAACTATGCATCCAGAAGAGGAGGAGGACCTCAATTTCGCCATTGCTTTATCACTACAGAACCAACATGGCATTGGTCGAGAATTGGGAGACAACAATGAAGTTGAGAATGACGCTCGAGACAAGCCAGAGTGGACTCAAGTTGCCGTGGAGGCGCCAAAGCCCATCGGCCATCGCAGCGGCTCCATGATTGCGCACATTGTAAACAACCGAGCCAACGCGGCGGTCCCCAAACGCCAAGAAGCCCCAGTCGAACAGGATAAAGCAAAGGACAGCGACAGTGATGACGACATGCAAGCAATCCTGGCACGATCGCGGAGGATGAAGAAGTCTCAGCCAAAGCCAGTCTTTGAGAACAAGAAGAACCCGTTCGACGGGCCCTTGCCATTTCCAAAGCTAGATTGGGGGTCTTCTCTTTTTGCAAAGAAGAAGAGTACGCGGGAAGAAGAGCCAATCGTGATTTCAGCAGGCGGTGATGGCGGACTAGCCAAAGAAGAAGAACCAGAGCAGGAAGCCTTGGGCGGCGGCTTCGAGGTGGAACAGCAGGAGGAGGATGGGCCCAGGCCTCTCCCTCCATGGCTAGTAGACGACAGCACGGATATCCGAGAGGCAATCAAGAAGCAGCAGGACGTCGACAGGGAGATCAACGCTCAAGACCGAGCCGAAGCGGAGGAGGAGGAGAGACTCCGGCGACGAGAGTTGCGGGACCAGTTGATTGAAATTGAATCTTCGGATGACGAGGAGGGCACAAAAGATGTCAAGGTCATTGAAATACCGCCGTCCCCAGAAGCAGCATCTGCAGATGTCAACGAAGATCACGAGGCAGATCACAAGGCAGTTCCAGACGTCAAGTCGCCCACTGCCAAACCAGCTGAGGAGGAGATGGAGAAAATAGACGAGGAATCTCCGGAGCCCGAATTTGAACAAGTCCTCGGCCTTGAGCAGCCCGCTGCCCCGAGCGTCCCTGTTCTAGAAGCACAGGAGACCCGTGACTCGCCGGAACCCGAGTTTGAAGATGTCCAACCACCAGACAGCACATTAGAAGGGGATGCTCAAGCAGCGGCTTTCCTAGCAGAGGCTGCTTCTTCAGGCCGTCCTCCAGCAGAAGCTACTCTTGGCAGCACCACGATTGCGGACGATGACTTCTTTAACGATGATGTTGAATATGACGAGTTCAGCGATCCTGAGGATGAAGAGCTCCTGGCGCAGATGGCTGAAGAAGCAGAGGAACATGCTCGCTTCGCCAGCGAATTGAACAACAAGTCGACTCAGCAGAACAGGGAAGACTACGAGAGAGAATTGCGGGCCCTCCGAAACCAGCAGAAGAAGGATCGCCGAGACGCGGACGAAGTGACGCAGACGATGATTGCAGAGTGCCAGGCTCTGCTTCGCCTCTTTGGCATCCCGTACATCACGGCACCGATGGAAGCAGAAGCGCAGTGCGCTGAGCTGGTCCGGCTGGGCATGGTAGACGGCATTGTCACAGACGACTCGGATACCTTTCTCTTTGGCGGGACACGGGTCTACAAGAACATGTTCAACAGCAACAAGTTTGTCGAATGCTATATCGCCTCGGACCTTGAGAAGGAAATGTCGCTATCACGAGAGCAGCTCATTTCTCTCGCTCAGCTTCTGGGATCGGACTACACAGAAGGGCTACCAGGCGTCGGCCCGGTCACCGCCGTTGAGATCCTGTCCGAGTTTCCCGGCAAAGATGGCCTTGTGCAATTCCGCGAATGGTGGAAGGAAGTTCAGTCCCAGACGCGGCCCAAGGAGGCTGACGCCTTTTCTCCCTTTCGACGCAAGTTCCGCAAGTCACAAGCCACCAAACTCTTCCTGCCGCTTGGCTTTCCCAGTCCAGCAGTCTACGAGGCCTATCTGCACCCGATGGTCGACAGCAGCACCGAGAAGTTTCAATGGGGCGTGCCTGACGTGGCGGGGCTGCGAGAGTATCTCATGGCCACGATCGGCTGGAGCAAGGAGCGCACCGACGAGGTGCTTGTGCCGGTGATTCGGGACATGAACAAGCGGGAGATTGAGGGGACACAGAGCAACATCACGAGGTTCTTTGGCGGGAGCGTTGGCGCCGGCGCAAGGGAGACGTTTGCTCCCAGGCAGCGAGTCCAGGGGAGCAAACGGATGGCGGCTGCGGTGGATCGACTGAGGGCGAATGTGGCCGGGGAAGAAGAGGAGGAGGAAGAGGAAGCTGGGGATGGTTCAGGGGTGAATAAACGGAGAAAGACCACTAGACAAAGGCGTGGGTGAGCTAGAGGGACTGGCTCTGTGAGAAGACTATGATCTCGTTGGATTTGGTACACAGAGGGACGCATAGTCACTGTCATATCATTGCTTGTCTAGCTGTATGACTGAGGCAGAACTTGGTTGCATCTTGTACTGGTATCGGTATATCAAGGGTAGGTAGATTAGAGTGAGCACGTGCGCACTTCCGGCCTGGAACGTCATGTGAGATGCAAAGTGACGGGCAGTGCATTGACATCCTTTACCAAAACAATAGTGCTTGCATACTCGACTCTTCAAATTGTTAGTAGGATTTCAATGGCAGACACTGAGGAGCAGTCAGGCTTCATCAAGACGTGAGCACTGTTTCTGCCTCATCTCCTCGTGCAAGACGGCTGACAAACAGCCCACGTGACCTCCTCAGCACCTTCTCTTTCCACCCCGATCATGAGAGAATCATCCACGGCCGGCTAAAGCCCGGCACCTCTCATTCCCGCCTCAAACCCAAACCTCTTGAGCCTATTGCGAAAACGAACTCGCGCGACCGCGGCCCAAGCACACAAATCCTTGATAACGAAGCCTCGAACCTTGAAGCTTCTCTTCGTCATCCGGGGCCATTTAATTGTTTGCTTGCCGTTGCTCTGCAAAAACACATAAATAGACGGAAAGCGCTCCAACTGCCAATTCTTCCGCCGACAGCTTTCGTCTTCTTCTCTCTCTCTCTCGATTCCCACTTTTGTTGCTTTTCTACCTACTCTACCCGTTCGAACAGCGTCATCGCTCCCCGTCTCGGATCTTGCGCGGAACATCTCAGCTATCATCTTCCCGTTGTCGCATAACGTCCATTCACCCGCAAACGCCCGACGACGCAAAGAAAAGGGAAGGGAAGGGGGAAAAAAGGAATAGAAGAAAGAAGAAGATAGAGGGAAGATTGAAGCTTGGAAATTTCGTCATCATACAGCCCGCGATGCCGATGGATCAGCGTGAGCTCGAGTCGCGCGTAAAGGCGCTGACAAAGGTCGTGGCCGCCAACGAGCCGCCCGAGAATGCGCTCAAGCTGCTCGAGCTGCTCAAGAAGGAGGCGTCGCCGACGGAGGAGATGCTGCGGGTACGTTGATGCTCTCTTTTTCTCTCTCTCCTTGAGCTTGGGAGGGACATGCGCTGTTCAGGGCTGAGGGGGGGATGGGATGTGAGAGAAGGATGTGGTTGAGAGGGAAGAAATGCAGTGGTCTGGCTGGATCGGCTGCTGTGAATGCATGCTTCTTGTGGGAGGGACTTTGGTTATTACCTGTCTGTCAAGTTTGGACGGTTACCAATCCCGTCACTGTCGCATCGCATTCGTGGCTTCTCGCCACTTTCCTTGAACGCACCTCACCTTTGCTCTCCGTCGCTGTCCTCTCCAAGCACAGCTTGGCCCTCTTTGTCTTGTTCTTGTTCTTGGATCTCTTCTCCTAACACGCAGACTTGTCGCAAAAACTCTAGGCCACGCGCGCAGGTGTCTTCGTCGGCAAGCTGAGGTCCAACCCCAACAAGGACATTGCCCGGGCCGCCTCGGAGCTCGTCATCAAGTGGAAGAAGCTGGTTGAGCAGGAGAAGAACTCCAAGCTCCAAAAGGCAAAGATGGGCTCGCCCTCGGCGCCCGCCAACGCCGCATCGCCGCCCAACAACAACGGCAACAATAACAACAACAACAACGCCGCGGCCCCCGCCGGCAAGGCATACAAGGGCGACCCTGAGAAGCGCAAGTTCGACACGGACGGCGTCAACATCAAGCGCACCGAGTCCAACGTGCGCAACCAGTGCATCGGCCTCATCTACAACGGCCTGGCCTACCGATCCGTCGAGCCCGAGAGCAGCGTCATCGCAAAGGCCGTCGCCGTCGAGAACGCCGCCTACACCGTCTTCAACGGCGAGGGCGCCGAGTACAAGAAGAAGATCCGGTCGCTCTTCGCCAACCTCAAGAACAAGTCCAACCGCGACCTGGGCAAGCGCGTCATGTCCGGCGACATTGCGCCCGAGCGCTTCGTCAGCATGACGGACGAGGACCTCAAGAGCGAGGACCAGCGCAGGATGGAGCTCGAGCTGGAGAAGGAGAACATGAAGAAGGCGCAGGTTCCCATGGCGGAGAAGAGCATCAGCGACAGCCTCGAGTGCGGCAAGTGTAAGAAGAAGAGGGTCAGCTATACCCAGGCGCAGACACGGAGCGCTGATGAGCCGATGACGACGTTTTGCGAGTGTATGAATTGCGGCAACCGCTGGAAGGTGAGTTTCTTTTCTATTCCAACCCCCCCCCCCCCCCCCCCCCCCCCCGTCATCTCAATTTTTTCTTCGTCAGTAGTTGTAGTGCTAACGAGATGTAAATCTACAGTTCTCATAAGGAGATATCGGAAGGAGGGAAAAAAATACTAGTAATACAGGCGACGCGCCACGTCTAATCTGAGGATCATGAAGACGGTTGTTTTGATAATGGCTTTATTTATTTGACCAAACGCAGCGAATAGGGGGGGTGGATGGAACATCGTTTTTTTTTTTCGGGGTGGGAGTTATGGAAAATTGATTACGCTTTAGTTTTATCTCCCTCCTTTCTTTTTCTCCCCTTATTTTTGGGGTATGATATGAAGAAGTCGAGGGCTTCTGGAGCCATGTAATGCCATGTTTGCTTTCCTATCCCTTCTTTTCTTTTCGCCTTTCCCCACGTCTTGTGGCAGCGAATGCATACCCATGCGCTTGGTCTGCAATGAGGCTTATGCGATAGTTTGTTGTTGTTGAAGCTAGATCGCCCTGCTAGACCTCATGTCTCGCTTTTCGATTTGAATGACATACATCTTTGCGCTATGTACAATCTTTTATATCGGGTGCTTCTCTGCTCGTGAAGCTACAGTATGTACTCGAGACCCTCAGTCTCATGACCTGGATATCCCCAGCTCGGCAAACAAATCCGTCGGCTCCCCTTCGTCTTCCAAGCCCATCTCCTTGATATGCTTCCAGAACTTGCTCAAATGCCTCGTACCCGAATCACACAGCAGCGTAACAACGCGACTCCCAGGCGGCAGCGTCATCGCCGTGACGACCGCAGCAACGCAGTTGACGGAACTGCTGCTCCCAACAAAAATCCCATCATTCTCCACGAGCCACCTCGCCATGCGACAAGCCTGCTCATCGGTGACCTTGACCGCGTCATCGAGCAAGTCCCGCCCGACCTCAAAGTTGTTTGTCAGGCGGTTGATGCCGATGCCCTCCACCATGGAGTCAACCTGCTGCCTGCGCCGCGTGCCCTCCTTCTCGGTGGACGAGTACATGACGCCGTGCTTGATCTTGTTGTACAGCCCGCTGCCCTGGGGATCCGCCAGCACGACCCGGAGCTTGTCCATCTTGGCCTCGAGCTTGAGGTACCGCGCCACGCCCGAGATGGTGCCGCCGGTGCCCGCGCCGGCGACAAAGGCGTCGAGGTCGCCGTCCGTCTGCTGGAAGATTTCGGGCCCGGTGCTGACGACGTGAGCCTGCCAGTTGGACTCCGTCTCGAACTGGTTCGCGAAGAAGCCCTTGCTGCCGTCCGTCGACGAGCGCGTGTGCTGAATGGCTCGCCTCCGAGCCAGGTTGACAAAGTGATCCGGGCTCGTGATGGGCGCAACGGGGACCCTCTCCACGGTCGCGCCGAGATGGATCAGCAGATCCGACTTTTCAAACGCCTGGTCGTCAGGCATGCAGATGTGCGCCTTGTACCCCTTTGCGCGCGCCAGAGTCGCCAGCGAGATGCCCGTGCTGCCGACGGTCCCTTCGTAGATGGTGTCCCCTTGGTGAGGCGTCAAAAGGCCCTGCTTCTCCGCCTCGACAATCATGTTGAGCGCCACCCGGTCCTTGGGGCTGTTGCCCGCGCCGTTGAGAAACTCGGCCTTGGCGAGAATGATCCGGCCCGTGGCCCTCGAGAGCGACTGGATCTCAATCAGCGGCGTGTTGCCGATGCATCCTTCGATGCCGTTTGCAATCCCCGCCGCCCGCGTCACCAGCGCCGCGGTCGTCGCATCGTGATCCTCGAGCTTCACCGGTGCGCTCCAGAAGAGGCTGCTCCTCCGGGGATCCGTTGACCGGCGGCGGCTGCCGGCGCTCTTGTGCTGATATCGAGACTCGAGCTCGGGGTAGAGCTCCTTGAAGCTCAGGGTAGCGACGACGCCTGCTGCAAAGGCGACGGCGATGGCGGCAGTGCCGTAGGCCTTGGGGTGGTCGCTCAGTGACATGCTCCTCCTGTGTGTGTAGATGTGCGAAGCATCATAATCACAACTCCTTCATATCTTGTCTCAATTGGAGGGTTGAGGGTTGTCAGAGTTGGTTGACTCGTGCGAGATGGACTAAGGAAGTGGTACCTCTGATGAGGTCATTGCTGATCCCTGCAGCCTCGTGGGAGAAATTCAACCAAAGCAGAGAGAAAAAAAAGATCAGCAGCAAATTGAGGGTACGTACCTGCCAGGAGCATCGCGGGGCAGCCCTGCTCGGAACAAACCTCCTTCCGGATAGCTGCCAATCAATGTCAACCACACCAAACTCGAAGCTGCTTCAGGGACGCAAACCATCATCCCTATCTCTTCACAGACGGCCATGGACTCTCCCATCGTGGCGCATCTCTTCCGCCAGCTGTTCCGCCACCGGCCTCGCGGCTGCCAGGGCCTGCGCAATGGCCTCGCCCGCAGCAGCCACCGCCAGCCGACCCGCGGCCTCGCGACGAGACCCTCCATCGACCGCGGCATGAAGACCAACGAGAGCCGCTGGCAGCAGAGGACGCACATCTTGCCCGAGGACCGGAGGGAGGAGTTTGCCGAGTATCCGTACATCTCGCTGCAGGAGCTCAAGACGAGGACGGAGCGGCCGCGGAGGGTCAAGATGCTGCTTCGGGACTTTATAGATGGTATGTGTCCAACAACGAGCCTCCTCTCCTTTGAATGAACGCATCAAGTGAGCCGGGGAATCCTGACGATTGGCAACACATAACAGACAGTCTATACAACCCCTCATACGGCTACTTCTCCAAGGAAGCCGTCATCTTCAGCCCCGGCGAGCCCTTCGACTTCAATTCCATGCGCGACGAGCTCGAGTTCCAGGCCGAGCTCGGCAGGCGATACACCGAGTTCGAGGACCTGCTCGACGAGAGAGACGGCGAGAGTCCCACGAGGCAGCTGTGGCACACGCCGACAGAGCTCTTCCGGCCGCACTACGGCGAGGCCATTGCGCGGTACCTCGTGTCCAACTACCGGCTGACGACGTATCCCTACGACGACCTGCTCATCTTCGAGATGGGCGCCGGCAGGGGCACCCTCATGCTCAACATCCTCGACTACATCCGCGCCGCCGACCCGCAGGTCTACGCCCGCACAAAGTTCAACATTATCGAGATCTCGTCGTCGCTCGCCGCCCTGCAGAGCCAACACCTGCTCTCCACGGCCGAGTCCCGCGGCCACGCCGACAAGGTCGAGATTGTCAACCGCTCCATCTTCGACTGGGACCGCTACGTGCCCTCGCCGTGCTTCTTCCTCGCCATGGAGGTCTTTGACAACTTCTCCCACGACGGCATCCGCTACGACGTCCTCACCGAGGAGCCCCTGCAGGGCCACGTCCTCATCGACGGCGACGGCGACTTTTACGAGTTTTACGTCCACGAGCTCGATCCCCTCGCCGCGCGCTTCTTCCGCGTCCGCCACGCCGCCACCGGCGGCAACTACCCCAAGCCGTATCCCTCCAACCCGCTCCTGCGCTACCTGTCCACCAAGATGCCCTTTGCCGCCAACCTCTCCGAGGCCGAGTTCATCCCCACGAGGCTCATGCAGTTCTTTGACGTGCTGGAAAAGTACTTTCCCGCCCACCGCCTGCTCACCTCGGATTTCGATTCCCTGCCCCAGGCCATCAAGGGCCTCAACGCACCCGTAGTGCAGACGCGCTTCCAGCGGAAAATGGTGCCCGTCACCACTCCCCTCGTAAGTCTCCATTGCCAAACCCCTTCCACAATCTTCTTGGAGCCCCCCTTTCTTTTTTTTTATTTTTTATTTTTTATTTTTATTTTTTTCCAAGTTAAATCTCCACGCATAACCCATTGTATGAGCATCAATCCAACCATCACTATTTTTTGTTTTTCTTTCTCTTTCTTTTCTAATGTGGGAAATAGGTCCACCAAGGCTACTTTGACATCCTCTTCCCCACAGACTTCCACATCACAGAAGCCATCTACCGCGCCATCACGGGCAAATTGACCCGCGTCATGTCCCACGGCGACTTCATGCGCCGCTGGGCGTACGTTGAAGACACGGAGACGAGGAGCGGTGAGAATCCGCTGCTGTCGCATTATCGAAACGCCAGTGTCATGGTTACTGTATGAAGAAGAAAGAAAAAAAAAAAACAAAAGTGTTCATACTCCTCGAGGCAGTGTACTTATATAGATTTTTTTATCAAAATCCTCGAATGGAATTGTATCAAACGCACTGTATCCACGGCTTGAGAGAACAATGAGTGTAATACACCAACAGACCATATGTCATTCATGTGTTTCAAAGAGAACTTCAAGTGGCTTGATCACTTGTTTGAACTCTCCAATATCCAGCCCATCTGCGCTATTCTAATTTCCCTTTATCCCATCACCCATAGATCCCTTTTTTCTCCCCCCAAAGTTAAAGACACATTCCAGTTCAGTTGTGGCAACAAACAATATATAGCTCCTTTAATAATATACAGAATAAACGCTGCTCCTTCTCCTCCTTCCTCTTCTTCTTCTGCTTCTTTACAGCTTCAGCTTCTCTTCCAGCCATTTCCTGGCAGTCTCCACCGCGTCGTCAATCTTCTCTGGCTGCGTTCCCTGGCCCTGGCGGGACGGCTCCTTGCCGCCCGAGCGGCCGCCAATGACTTCCGACACGGACGCGGCCCATTGCTCGGCAGTGACGCCTTGTGAAGACAGATGCTGAAAAGAACAAGATCTGTTAGCCGACGTGTCCATCAGAAGAAAAGGAGAAAGGGGGGGGGGGGGGTGGGGGGAGCGCTTAATATGATGTTAGGAATAACTCACTGTTCCGACATAGACGCCGTGGGCAACGGCACCCTCCTCCGCGCCGCCGACAAACACGTACACCGACTTCTCCTTGTCCTTGGACTGGTAGTACTTGATGACCTCGCCCACCGCCTTGGCGTTGGCGCTGATGGGCAGTCGGCCGACAAAGTACTTGCTGTCCTTGTTCGTCTCAAAGTGCTTGGCCACGACGTCGGCGGCCGTCTTGGACTCGGCCTTTTGCTTCTTCTTCTGCTCGGCCACGACCGCGTTGGCAATCTTCTGGAAGCGCTGGTTGAACTCGTCCTTGGTCAGCGTGGAGATGACCAGCTGGCTGAGCTCCTGCGAGACCGCCTTGACCTGGGCCTCCTTCTCGGGGCCAAAGGGGAGGCTCTCGAGCTCGTCCAGCTTCTGCTCAAACAGCTTGGCCTCGCGCTGGACCTGGTGGGCCGCTTCGCCCGTGTAGGCAATGATGCGGCGGATGCCCTTGGCGATTCCGCTCTCCTCGACAATGACGAGGTCCTTGATCAGGCCGGTCTGCTCAACGTGGGTGCCGCCGCAGAACTCGACACTGTATTTTCGCCAGTCGGGATTCTTGGGGTCGGCCAGCAGGGTGTCAACATCCATGCCGATGGAAACGACGCGCACTGGGTTGGGGTAGGTCTCGCCAAAGACGGCACGAAGGCCCTCAATCTGCAGAGCACGATCCAGCTCCACGTCCTTGGAGTAGATCTTGGCGTTGGCGCGGATGTCCTGGTTGGAGAGCTCCTCAATCTTCTTCAGCTCATCCAGCTTGACCTGCGTCTTGTGTGAAAAGTCGAAACGCAGCTTCTCGTTGTCGACCAGCGAGCCCTTCTGGTGGACATCGTCGCCCAGCACCTCCCGCAGAGAGTGGTTCAGGATGTGTGTGCCGGTGTGGTTGTTGCGGATGGGGGAGCGGCGAAGCTCGTCGTACTCGCAGATGACCTCGTCGCCGGAAGAGAGCTCTCCGTACTCAATGTAGCCGCTGTGGAGGATGTAGCCACCGTAGTCCTGGACGTCAATGACCTTGAACTCGACAACATCGTCGATGACGATGCGGCCAGTGTCGGCGACCTGGCCACCGGACTCGGCGTAGAAGTTGGTTTGGTCGAGCAGGACACCAATGGCAGTGTTGGCAGGGATGTCCTTGGTCGACTTGAGGAAGGACTTGCCGTCAAAGATGTACTGAACCTTGCCCTTGCTGTCGCCCTTGAGGTACTTGGCGTCGTCGTTCGTCCGGGAAACCTTGAGGTCGGTGTCGAGCTCCGCAATCTTGTGGACGTCGAGCTTGGCAAAGGTCTGGACGGAATCCTTGACCGCCTTGCTGGCCTCTCGAGCCTTTTCGCGGGCCACAGCGACCTCGGCCTCGTCAATCTCCAGGCCTCGCTCCTCGGCCATCAGCTTGGTCAGGTCGACGGGGAAGCCAAACGTATCGTAGAGTCTCCACACGACGTCTCCGTCCAGCTTCTTGACGTTGTCCTTGGCAGCCTTTGCCGCATATCTCTCGAACTGGGCCTCACCGCGGTCCAGGGTGCGGGAGAAGGCCTCCTCTTCCTCGTCGAGGATCTCCTTGATGTCCGCCTGCTTCTTGGCAAGATCGGGGAACTGCTCACCCATCTGCGCAACAAGAGCAGGCAGAATCTTGGAGAAGAAGGAACCGATCTCGGCATTCAGATACTTGCGGGCGTATCGGACACCACGTCGGAGAATTCGTCGAATGACATAGCCGCGGCCGTCGTTGTTGGGCACAGCGCCATCCGTAATGGCAAATGACATGGTTCGGATGTGATCAGCGACGACTCGGTAGGCGGTATCAATGCCATCTGCGTCATCGGCGCCGTACTTGTCGGTATAGGGTCGGGCGCCAGTAACCTCCTCAATCTGCTTGAACAGAGGCGTGAAGCAGTCGGTGGCATAGTTGGAAGCGGTGTCCTGCAGCGCAGAGACCAGACGCTCAAAGCCCATACCGGTATCAATGTGCTTGGCGGGCAGGGGCTTGAGGCTTCCATCCTTCTGTCGGTCGAACTGCATGAAGACGAGGTTCCAGATCTCGACAACCATGGGGTCGTCCATGTTGACGAGGCTGGCGGCATTGCGTCCTCCAATCTTGTCGTAGTGGACCTCGCTGCAAGGGCCGCAGGGACCCTGATCACCCATCTCCCAGAAGTTGTCCTTCATATTTCCGGGCAGAATCTGGTCTTCGGGCACGCCCACCGACTTCCACAGCTCCTTGGCTTCCAGATCGGGCTCGAGGTTGAGGGCCGGGTTGCCCTCAAAGTACGTGACGTAGAGGCGAGCAGGGTCGAGGCCGTAGACCTTGGTCAGCAGCTCCCAGGCCATCTCGATGGCATCCTTCTTGAAGTAGTCGCCAAAGGACCAGTTGCCCAGCATCTCGAAGAAGGTGTGGTGGTAGCTGTCCTTGCCGACATCGTCGAGATCGTTGTGTTTGCCACCGGCGCGGATGACCTTTTGGGTGTCGACGGCGCGCTTGAGGTTGGACATGGGATCGGACTTGTTGACGGTGCCGAGGAAGATGGGCTTGAACTGGTTCATGCCGGCGTTGGTGAAGAGCAGGGTCGGGTCATTGTGAGGGACGACGGAGCCGGAGGGCACTTGGGAGAAGAGTCAGTCAGCGCTTGGGTTCTGAGTGAAGATGTTTGCTGATGGCTCGCCATGATGGGATAGTTGATGGAAACAAAGTCGAGATGCGATGACTGTAAAAAAGGAAAGAGGAAGATAAGAGACAAGCCGAATCACTAGACAGCGTCTCGTCGTCTGTTGTGTTGCGATGCTGCTCAAGGACCTTGGCGATGTTCAGGTCTTCCTCTCGCATCAACCCCGCCACTTGGAGGGGCGAACCTGGCGATACCTGCAGCCATATTTTTTTTTCTTTGTCCCGGTCGGCAACTCACCCAGCGTGTGACCCCTCTGCTCGAAAAAGTCGAAAAAGGTCTTGCGCACCTGCGCCTCGGGCCAGTTGCCCGCCATTCTTGCGAGAGTGTGAGCGTGCAAGCAGACGCGCGTCGAGGTGCAGAAGCTGCTGCGAAGGGCGCGAGGCTGAAGACGACGAAGACGACGACGACGAGGGTGCAGATGCTGCTGCTGGTGCTGATGCTGGCGCTGATGCTGGTGCAGATGCGATGCTTCGGAGAGCAATCGGCGGGGTTGTGGCGGGTGGGTTTCGGTTTTGTAGAAACTTCTACAAGAGTGACTCAGGCCTGATAAAAGGGCGGTGCCGCTGGAGCACTGTGGCCGCGTCCTTGCCAGCGACTGCATCAATCAATCAATCAATCAATTCAGCACTGACACCGAGCGCTTTGCCATCAACTGCATGCCTTTTGCCGAGGGACCGTGCCAACTTGATAAGCAAAGAACAGAACAGAGTTGGTCTTGAATCGTTCTTCTCTTGTTGGAGCCATTCCTCGTTTGCCCGCTTCAATCTCGGCTACTAGTCGGCGACAGCTTGCAGCAGGGCGGAACCGAATCGCTGTGTCTCGACAGTGGGAAATAGGCGGAGAGAAGACAGAGACAGAGGCTGAAGAAGACGCACAGCACAGCACAGCGAGACCGGACGAGGCGGAGAAAGACAGAAGAGAGACAATTACCTAGCCATCAAACTGCACACATCCCCTCTACTGCCATCTTCAGACATGCTGGGGACGTCGTCCGCGCCATCCATCTTCTCAATGGACGCCCGCGATCCGGCGAGGCTCCGGCGCAAGAGGAAGGCCGACTCGCACGACTTTAGCGATCGCGAGCGGCTGTCCAAGCGCCTCAGCCGGCTCAACATAGGTGAGCATTGCCTCCATTGTTTCTTCAACCTTCAATTGATCCATCTATTTCTTTTCCGTCTCTTCCATCGTAGTGCGTTTCAACCGTCAGCCTCGGCTCTTCGCTAACACGGCATCTCGCCACACAGAACCATCCGGCCCCCGGCTCTACGTCCCCGTCGAAGCTCCCGCAAATGCAGCAGCAGCAGCAACCTCCTCATTGCCCTCCTCCTCATCCTCCTCCTCTTCAAAGCTGGCCGACGAGACGATGCAGCTCGACGACTCCAAGCACAAAGTCTACATCTACGACCTCGACGCCGAGCTCTCCTCCGACAGCGACAACGACGAGGGCAAACTCATCTTCCTCCCAGACATTGAGAAGCACCTCCGGGAAAGCCGCATCCCGCGCGGCGTCCTGGCCAACGACGAGGGCCAGCTGGCCGGCATGCAGCTGGTGCTCTACAGCGACCCGAAATCCCTCTCCGTGCCCGAGGAACGGGATGGCGTGCGAAGGGCCATCATCGAGGCCCGTCAGCGAGCGCGAGAAGCACAGGCACAGAAGAACGGCGGGACGTATAGTACCAACGGCACGGCATCTCCGGCGGCATCACAAGCGGTGTCTCAGACGACGCCTCATACATATCCTCCGATGAACCCTCCCGCTTTTGCTCAACCAATCCCCGAACCGATACCACACATTGATCCCGCGCCACCTCAACCCTTTCCTGTCGACGATGCTGACGCTATGGAGGTTGATTAACGGCGTCGTGCAGGACCGCCCATGACTGATGTGCAACGAGTGATTATATACGTACACGCTATACCCAGGGTCTCGGTTTTCAAGGAGTTATGACTTTGTCTTTTCTTATTTTATTTTATTTTTCGCCTTTTATCATGATTCGTCTCCGGGGGGCTATTACTGCCACTTTATGAGGGCATCTGTTTCGATACTCAGGCATCGAGATTTGTATATTGACTGAGACTTTAGGATGCCATGTTATCCTTGATAAATATATTATATGCCAATCCGAGGCATTCATGCTTTTATAGTCCGCTTCCATTATATGCCCATCCACCAGCCATTAAACCAGTTTCAAGTCCTCCGGCCTTTCGATCTTGTCCTGTCCATTATTAATCCCGTTACCTCGTCACTACAGGAGGAGGTGGTCCCAGAGGAGGCTCATACGCCGGCAAAGCCTCTTCACCATCCCGCCTCATCGATTCCTGCACAGAACCAGACTTTGCACCTCCTTCCGCATGACCTCCCTCCATGTGATGCAGATACGAGGAAAACGCAGTAGCATCGTTCACCGGCGCGGCAGCGTACGCACTTCGCCGAGCCTCTTCCTGTGCCGCCAACGCCTCCTCTTGTCTCCTCTCATGCTTCTGTATAGCCGACTTAAACAAATACTACCAAAACCAACACACGTTAGTATTCTCACCAGAGCAACTCAACCCCATCGGTAGCGAGAGATAGAATTACTTACCCTTTCATATGGCCGTAGCGGCAACCCGCCGTTAAGTCTCGCCTTGAAACCAATGTAGATGCCCAAGGAGGTGACCATGATTGATGCAATGACACTCGCAATGATGTAGTATTTGGTGTTGTGATAGTGCTATGGCGTCCTTGTTAGTTGGAATGTGCAATTTTTCTTGTTCCCAAGTTATTGCAAGATATCGAAAGGCCTTACGTCTGATGAATAGAATATGATCATTCTAGTGTGAAGGAGTGAGCCGAGAGACACTTGCTCTCCTGCGTCCTTTGACAGCATGGGGCTTATGCTGGGCATCTTGATAGAAACTTGTCACTTCTGCAGAAATTGGACCAGCAGCAATCAAGAGGCCTATAATGTTTGCAATCATATGAAGAAAACTTCGGATTTTAAGGACATTGGGAGAGATTGGCGGGGATATATACTACTATACTAGGTACCTACCTTATGCAGTGCATGTTTGCCTAGTTCAACGTCTTGGACCATCCTCGACCAGCAAGCGGCCCTTGCTCTTCTCATGGAGAGAAAATATTGCAAGCATGATCTTACCAAGGGAGTCATCCGGCGAACACTTAGCCCAGTGTCAAGTCTGTGCTCATTAGTTCACGGTCCTCGAAAGGCGTTTTTCTTTTGGACACGTCAAATCGTGGACAGGGGGGACAAACCTCCTCAAGCACCTCTCGAATACTTTGCGACTCACATCAAACTCTCTCAATTTCCAGGCAGATATGTACATACACTTTCAAAGCAAAGGGCACCGCCGCTATACATAACATACTTTTTACATCCGTAAACGCCACCAATATTTATATGCACGCACACATCTGCCTATAAACCCATCCCTCCCCCTGCCCACGCGGGAAACGCGTCTTCGGGGTTGACGGCGTTGCCCTGCGGCTGCCTCTGGTTTTGACGCGCCCCTTCTTCGTTCTGGGCGTGCTGTTGCTGCTGCATCCTCTGCCTCCACCACAGGAGCAGCACCAGGGCCGCCGTAATTCCTATAATAAGAGCGCTCTCGACCACTCCATCCAAGGCATCCTCGCCCTCGTTTCCAATGGTCTCATCGTAGTAATCATCATAGTATTCATCCTCGTACATCATTCCATCGTCTTCCAGGAAATTGGCTATCCACTCTGAGAGGGACCAGTCCTTCTTCTTCTCTGTTCAAAGCTTGTCAGCACGTCCCCTCGGCGTCTACGTCTTGATTTAGAGACTTACTCGGCTCGTCTTGGATAGAGTGAACTGATCCATTTGTCAGTGTGTTCCAAGCGCTTCGCACGCGAAGTTTGAGCAGTCCTAGGGTGACGGGCAAGTACGCCTCATCATTGACGGCCAAGGCGTGATCGTAGTATCTCTTGGCGAGGTGGAAGTCCTGTGTCAGTCCGATGCCGTTTTCATGCATCCAGCCCAGGTTGAAGAGTGCTTGGGCGCTTTGCGAATAGTCGGAAGCGCCAGTATAGCACTGAACCGCCTTGCTAACATCTCGTTCTGCGCCGACACCGTAGAAGTAGTAATCGCCCATCTTCACAAGCGCGTCAACGTTTGCCTGCCTCGATGATCGCGTCCAGTGAATCAGGGCCAGTGTAGGATTATCGAGAAGCCCAGATCTATCCCTTCGTTTTCGCATCATCTCATAGAAGGGTAGTTTGGATCGGAGTGTGTCAAGGAGATACGCGACATTGGTCTGCGCCTTCTCGTATCCTTGCTCGGCCGCCAAGAGGTAATGGAGGAACGCCAGGTCGTGATCCCCAGCCTCGTATGCGTCGTTTGCGTCTGCCCAAGACGAGACAAGGGGCTCTGCCTTCTCGGCCACACTCTTGTAGTAGCTCAGCGCCATGCTACAGAGCTTCTCGCGACCCAAGCCGTGAAAAACCAGCTCCGCCAGATAGTAGTTCGCCTCAATATTGCCATATCGGGCCGCCAGCTCAAAGTAGTTGTTAGCTATGCGAACATCCTCGGTCCCGCCTTGGTCGAGGTACAGCTGTCCCATCTGGACTTGCGCCGGGGCATAGTCGTGGTCGGCCGATACCCTGAAGAGCTCCACGGCTCTGACGACATTCTCCTTGACGCCGTAGCCGTGCAGATACATGAGGCCCAGACCATATCGTGACAGTGCGTCAGCCTGCGAATCACCACGCTCAAACCATATTTTTGCCCTGTCAAAGTTCTGAGGCACGCCGTCTCCCCTGAGATACATGCGGCCGAGGTAGCCGGCGGCCTTACCGGCCAGCTTCTCAATGCCTGGTTTAGCATTGTCCACGATGCGTCCATTCTTCCAGTACCTGGATGCCACCAGTAAAAAATACTTCCTGGCGAGCTCGTAGTCGTGGTCCAGTCCTCGCTGGCCCTCGTAATAGATGCGACCCAGGTTGAATGACGCTTTGGAATCGCCCTTTTGAGACATCAAATCCAGATACTCAATGACATCGCCGATAGCGGCATTGGCATCCGAGTTGGGGCTTGGTTTGAAAGCATTCATGCCGGCGCTTGAAGCACTTGCACCTTCTCCATACAATCCCCCGTCATCGTCTGCAATGCGCCATGACTGAGATACCCACGACATGCCTCCTGGAGGACCCGAGCGGTACCACTCGATGGCCTTGTCTGCCACGCGCTTGTAGTACTTGACAGCACTTTCGCAACTCTTGGTTGTTCCGATGCCTGCAAGATGGCGGAAGCCCGTGGCCATTTCGGCTCTGGTGTCTCCTCGAACGGCAGCAAAGGTGTAGTAGAGGAGCGCTTTGCCTTGGTCCCGGGGCACGACATCGCCAATGCCTGTCGAGTAGTACACGCCAAGCATGTACTGCGCCGTGGTATTTCCATGGCTCGATGCTAGTTGTCGGTAGTACTTGAAGGCAGCACCAAGGTCTCTGGGGTGGCTGTAGTTGCCGAAGAAGTTGAAGTCGGCGAGGATGTAAAGCGCATCAGAGTTGTTCTGCTGCGCAGCCTGCTCGAGGTATTCTACCGCGTTCACCAGCGGACCGCTGAGCGTCGTCGTCTTTGACTGCGATGGCGCAGTGACGGGCCCGGTTGGGATGGTCCTGAGAAGCAGGCGCAGAGCCGAGCTGAATATTCCAGGCGCCTCTCGACCTCTTCGGTGCTGTTGGGGGATTTTTCGAAGCTCATCGAGTGCTGCGTCGACTAGTTCGTGTCCTTTAAACATGTCAGCGTCCTCCAACGCAGCTCGTGTAAATATAGACTCGCGTCAGATTGCATACCAGGCTGGGGATGGGCAGGTTTCTGCTGTCCTGTAGGGACACCTAGAGAGGATTCGACCGCATGTCTATCGCCCGCGGTTCGCGCCGAGGCGTCGTTCTGGCCGCCGAGAGGTTGTTGATCGTGCGAGCTGATGACGACTGTGGCCTGCGCAAGCACTGAGGCAGACCCGCGTGAGCACTCATATCCAAGCAATGCAAGGCATTCACAACGTGTATTGAGACTTACGGAGGAGCCAGGCTGTCCAGCCTCTCATTGTGGGCAGTTGCTATGTGCCTATGGTTCGAACGGCAGCCCGCGGCATGGCTATCGTGTGCAGATGAGGAAGCAGAGCTGGTGAGTCGCAAGATGCTGCATTAGATGCAGGTCACTATCGTACAAGCTGTCCACTACTCGGGCTGTGATAGGTAAGCTACCTACCTCTGCGGCCATTCCGCTCCATTCCGCGCCATGGCGTGCAATGACTAAGCGTCCCCACGTTTGCCAGGAACTGCGGCGTCATCGCAGGGACTCGGCACGTGTCTCAACAGCAGCAAATCATGCAACAGCGGGAAGAGGGCATTGGAAGGCCGAGTCCTCGTAGCACAGTAAGGTCATGGCAGTATCCAATTCAAAGGTACTGAGATATGCTGAGCCTGCCTTCTGTTGAGGAACCACACAGCAAGAATGTTGGATTCCTCCAACCTAGCTCAGCCACTCACTTGCATGATCCTACAGCTGCACAGAATGTCGAGCTGCGGAAGCGGCTTCGGATGCCCGTGATGTGGGCCCCCCGACTCGGCCAGGCCAGGGTCGGTCCCCCAAGGTTTCAAGCACTGGCTCGGATCCAGTGGCGGTGCCCAGGCGGATTGGTGCTGACCCAGGCGCTGAAGGTTGGCGAGCCGGACGAGTTACAGCGCTCAGAGGCACTGCTGGCGAGGCGCCCTGCGCACCACGGCAGAGCCCCCCCAGCGCTAACGCCGCCACTTTGCAGCCGTCACGCGTGCAAATCCAGGGCTGCAGCGCGTTAATGGATGCCCTAGCCCGCGTCGGCAGACGCGCTTCCTGGCAGCTTTTCTCTGCTTGCCTCTGCTCAAAATCCCGTCAGAGCCTCTGCTACCAAGTACGCATTTACCCGATTCCTCAACTTCCTGATCTTCACTCTTGTCACCCTGCCTCTCTCTCAAAACCTCGCTTCTATCTTACTGTTTCGTTCATAAGATACTCATCATCTCATTCCGTCGCCGTGTCTGGTTTCATCACTTCGTGGGCTATTCCTGCGTCTTCCCTCTGTCGACGGATAAGCCGCGCAACTCCACTTCTCTATAGCCTTCAGTTCCGCACAATGTCGAACCTCAAGAGGAAGGCAGCCACAATAGGCAACGAGGCAGAGGCGAAGAAGCCAAAGGCGAACGGCAGCATCGCGTCCTTCTTCGGGGCTGTCCCAAAACCTGCTGGTGCTAGTCCTGCGTCTGCTCCCTCCCCTGCGGCCAAGTTTGACAAGGCCAAATGGGTCGAGAGCCTGACTGCCGAGCAGAAGGAGCTCCTTCAACTCGAGATCGAGACGCTCCACGACAGTTGGCTTGCATTGCTCAAGGATGACGTGACCTCCAAGGAGTTCTTGGAGTTGAAGAAGTTCCTCAACCGTGAGACGGCCGCCGGCAGGAAATGGTTCCCACCGAAAGAAGACGTGTACTCCTGGTAGGCCCTCCCCAGCTCCTTCGACATCTTCTGCGCAAAGCATGTATCCTAACAGTTCCAGGTCTCGTCACACGCCCTTCAACGAAGTCAAAGTCGTCATCCTCGGCCAAGATCCTTACCACAACGTAAACCAGGCCCACGGCATGGCCTTTTCCGTCCGACCGCCCACGCCAGCGCCGCCATCGCTCAGAAATATGTACATCGCCTTGAAGAAGGATTATCCCAGCTTCATCGAGCCAGCGAACCGAGGCGGCTTGCTGATACCGTGGGCCGACCGGGGCGTACTGATGCTCAATACATGTCTTACCGTTCGTGCGCACGAAGCCAACTCACATGCCAACCGTGGCTGGGAGCGCTTCACACAAAAGGTCATTGACCTTGTCGCCCAGAAGCGGACACGAGGCGTTGTCTTTATGGCATGGGGAACGCCAGCCAGCAAGCGAGTACAAAAGATCGACAAGCAGCGCCATCTCGTGCTCCTCAGCGTCCACCCCAGCCCGCTCAGCGCGTCACGAGGATTCTTCGATTGCGGTCACTTTAGGTTGGCAAACGAATGGCTCATCTCTCGATATGGCGACGATGGCGAGATTGACTGGGCGTTAAGGCCCGGAAATACGACCAAGAAGACGATCAAAGAAGCTCTCAAAGAAGTCGTCAATGAAGAGAAAGCCGTCACTGCGAACGGGGGTGTAAAAGAGACCAAAGGGTCCGATAAGAAAGAAGAAGAGAAATCTAAAGCCGTCTCAACGGAGACTGCCAAGGGAGAAGCGACCGCTAATGACGATATCAAGACGAAAAAGCCCGAATCGAACAGCGACGAGGACGATGTTGATTCCGACGAGGAGGCTGCCTTGGAAGAGGCGCTCAAACTTGCAGAAGAAAAGATCAAGAACTAGACAACCTAGCTTGCCCGCAGCGACAGGGCGTTTTTTTTTTCTGCCAATTAGGCGGCGATGATGGAACACTCACGACGATTTCTGTGTATTTATGAAGTATAAACTAACGGCAACTTGGGTTACGCAGCCACGATGAGTGTCTACGGCGCGGGATTTGGGATTCAGATTGATATATCAGATGCTTGTATAAGGTAGGGACAGGGAAACAAATATGATTTGGCCAAGAAATCTTGCAACTATTACAACATGTCAGGGTGCCAATTGATTTCGCCTACGGAGCACGGGTCCCTCGGCAGAGCGCAGCGCCATATGTCGTCCGGTTATGAAGCCGAGCTTCGGCGATGAGATGTCAGAGATTGGCTGGAAAGTTCGAGGCCCGGTTATCTGATGTCAATTTCGCATCTGTATTGTGAGGGGCGCGGCTAGCCAGATGCTCAAATTGGCTGCACGTATTGGGCCCTCCAGCGATTGAAGTCTTGATGGCTTCACACGACTCCACCCCGGGACAATGAATACCTACTGTATGTACCGCCGCTGTCTTGATCAATTGACAAGGACGGCCCGCAACTCCTTGGCCCAGCCTACTGGGTCTGAAGCTCACAGGCAAATGAAGTCGGAGGCCAAACTTGGCGCAAAGTGGCCAGCTGAATTTCCGTCCCGCCCCGTACCTATATTGGATGAGGCTGGGCTTGTAGACTTGATGAGTGTCCGAAACTGACACGGAACGCCCTCAGCCGCGGCAGCCCTGTCTATATTACTTTCGCTTCGTAATAGTAGCAGTCGGACGTATCATAGGAGCTCTTCTCCAGGACAACGGCATCTGGATCTGGGAGTGTATCGCCGTATTCTTCCAGACGGTAGGTACCCTCAAGATGAACCACACATGAGGACGGACCAATGACCTAGATCGTACAAAGTACTACCTGGGTAATATACTACATACACACGAAATCTGCAAACGACGTCAATCAACATCAAACAGCGTCCTCTGATGGGACGGACAACTCGCAAGCACTGCTCTTCGTAGCAAATAAGAGACGGGCTGCTGACATCCCAAATGGCAGAGCTGGGGATTTGTTTCATAGGTAGTAGTATCCTGGCCAAGCAATGAATCAATATCGCCAGTGGCCCGAGCTCGTCCAAACCCTGGTCCCGTATGATTTCATGTCTCCTCGAAAACGCAAGGAGCTGAGTCTTGCTGCTCCAGAGCCATGCCATGCCATGCCATGCCATGCACCAGGCTCTTCTGTACTCCGCATGGAGAAAAGCTCCCGCCCGAATGTGTCCCCCTTTAACATAGTAGATGCGAGTACGTACGGAGCACATTTGTTGCAGATCAGATACCCGACTGCGGCGACGGAGTCGTACAAACGAGTGGTGCGATTGGGGGCGGAGGCCGCACGGGACTGTGCAACGCAGCGAGGCCGCTGTTGGACAGAGTTGGCGTGCATGTGGCGTGCTGGCATACCTGATAGCAGTGGATGTGCATCCAGCGAACCTGAAGAAGGATTGGTTGATGATGACCTTGGCCTGCTTGGACTCCCGTCTGCATACCTACCTAGTAGACTATATGCCCAAAGCCCGCCAGGCCAGCCTCATTACCTATGGATGACACGGTAGGTACCTAAGGTACTGACTTATTAGTACTGTACTTGGTCAAATGCTTGGTACTCCGTATCCGTAGTGCCAACAAAGACACCCATGTCGGCACGAGTGACGAGCTTCCAAGTTTCCAAGGCTTCGCTGGCTGTGACCATGGAGGTTCCAGCTTCGACGCCCAATGGGCTGGCGCAATTTAAATTTCAGGGATAGCCCGGGTAGCCCAGTGCATGTTTGGCGTTGAGAGCTTGAGCAGAAGGGCACCTGTACCTGTACCGCCTGGCTGGTGGCAGCGCTGGCCCGTCGCTCGCTCAGGTACCAGATGAGACATGGCGACCGTCCCGCAGTCCGCGCCAGATGGACGCCCATTCAGCCGCTAACCCACCCCCACCTGCTGTCTCGCCAAAAGGCTGTAGCCACTGCCGCCGCCAGGAACAGGTACCGGTACCTGTGCTGTCTCTCCACGGCTCAGGCTCCACCGGCGTTCATCCCCAGTTCCCAGCAGATGGGGGGGCACCAGTTTCCAAGCTCGAGCTGGATGTGTCGAGCTGGCGGGCGATACGTGTACAAACCACACACACGTGTGTATGTCGACAGACAGACGTGCTGGGTGCATTCGAGGCGCCACGGCCAATCATCCCGCACGCACAAGGCGGGAGCGTGCAAACGGCATGCCAGTGCGACTACAGGCCGGAGCCCAATTGGGCGCTGTGGCCTCCAGGCACAGGCCTCTTCCCGTGGCCTCGTGCTGAAGGGGGGGAGCACCAACAACAGCCGTCCTCAAGTTGATAGCAGTCGAGTAATACCTTACTACTCGTACCTACATACCCAAGCAGAACCCCGACGTGGAATCAATCACCCACAATCGCAAGTCGCTTTTCGATGCCGCCATGCCCAACCCCAAGGTACCTCTCCGCGGTGCTCTCGCCGCGCGAGTACTTGCGGCCCCAGCTGGCGCCCACACAATTTAGCATCTAATCTTAGTCGCATAAAGACCCGTAGGCGTGGCCCCTGGCCTGGCCTGGTCTGGTCCTGTCTGGTCCTGTCGCGCCCCCTGAAAGACGAGACGAGCAGGAAAAGCAAAAAGAAAAAAGAAAAAAAAAGAAAGTGATTCCCACCATTTTTCTTCACCATTGGCCTCTAGCAAGCGAAATCATTCCTCTTCCACTCTGCAAGCGGGACGGCGTCCCTTCTGGAGGATCGAGAGCCACTGTCTTGTTGCGCGCCGGCTGCTTTCCAGCTTCCTGCCTCCCCTCGTCGAGCTTCAAGCTTCATCCTCGCCTACAGCAGAGTGCCCCTCCTTTTCTTTGTCTTTTTCCTGCTTCTTTTCCTTCGACGTCTTCGTTTCGATTCCCTTGTTTCGCCTCGATTTCTGATACGACATTCGCAGCGCGAATTGACTTGACTGCCTTCTTCTTCTTCTTCTCCCCCATTGTCGAGGCCGGTGGTGCGACTTGCCATCTCGGCAGGTTCAGTCGCCAACGAGGCCTGAGTGACTCGCCCGAGGCTCGCCTCTCCTTCTTCTCGCCTTCTTTCTGGCTGCAGATCTTCAGGTTCCAAACGCCCGGCATCTATCGCCTCTTGACCAACCAGGAACCCAGCAGCAACAGTCTCCAGCAGGCCTCTTCCTCTTTTCTCTTCTTCTTCTCCTTCTCTGCAAAGCATCCGTGCCCGGCCATCATCGCAATCCCTCACGATGCCCAGCATCTTCTCTCGCCGCAAAAAGGACGGCAAGTCCAAGAAGGACGGCCTCGACGACGCAGACTTGGTTCTGCAGAAGCCAAAGTGGGACGATGCCTGGACACGCAAGACGGTTGAGCCCGAGGAGGTTCGAGAGCTTCTTCACGGCTGCACTGAAGAGCTCAAGTCGCGAGGTAGGGCTTCTATCATGCGATGCCTGGCTGTCGTGCAGTTTGCCTTCATCCCCACGCTGCTCGTCAACTGACAATTCCCGCTCCAGGCCTCGACCACCCGTTCTTTCTGCTGCCGTTCCGACCGACATCGAACCCCAGTGCCGTGCGCACCTTTATCCGAAACTTCTTCAGCCATGATCCTCCGCTTAGCGGCGAGCTGCTGCTCCAGGAGCTGCGTCTGACGGAGCCCATGGTACGTGCCTCGATATCCCGGTGTATATGGCAAGGCAGGATTCTCACAAAAACGTGCAGGTCATCTCCGGCGTGGTAAAATGGTGCTGGAGCCGTCTTCAGGGAGGCCTCGTCGGCTGGACTGCGTATGACTTGTTCAGGGTTGGAGAACGAGGTAGGTAGCTACGGCTTCACTCAAGCGCCTTACGGTTACATGCAGCCGCTGACTTGCCGGTGCGACACACAAAGACTCCAACATGGCCCGCGATTCGTTCAAGACCTTTATCCCCCTCAGCGTTGACAATGCTGCGCGCCAGCAGATCATCTTTGATTTCTTCAGTCTGATAGCGGCAGTGGCTGCGCACGGCAAGAACAACGGCTTTGGTGGGCGCAAGCTGTCCCGAATGGCCTCGTGGTGGGCCTTTGATCACAACGATACGGGCAACGGCTTCGATGGCGGTTACGGGGCGTGGCTCAGGTACGATGGCGAGTTGTCTGCTGGGGAAAGAAGGAAACGCAGAGGGGGATTCTTGCTGACTTGTCTTGCGCTTGCAGAGCTGCCGACGCCACGAGCCATCTGTTCTTCGCTTATCTGCGGTCGCTTGCCCCTGAGCAAGACCCCACTGGCATCTCCATGCTGCCCAGGTCCCTTCAGAAGCTGCTGCAGGAAACCGAGTATCCCCCACAGAGACCAGAGTTGCTCATTGTTAAGACCAAAAAGGTGGCCATGATCGTGGAGACGGTTTCCCCGACTCCATTTGCCTTGTTGAGGAGAGCCAACCATTTCCAATATCGCGACTCCGATAGCGAACTCCAGGAATTCTCCAGCTACGAAGATCCGGTGCAGGCACTGACCGACGAATGCCAGCGAGTTCTCAAGGCCATCTCATCAGCTAACCAGTCACAAGCTTCAAGCGCAAAGCATTCGACGAGCCTGCGCGACGCTTCTTGGTCTCGATTCGAGGATTTGGGATTCACCACCTCCCTCGAGGAAGACGACGATACGGAGGGAAGCATTCTGCCAAGCAGAAGAGTGCAAGAGCTCAAGCCGTTCCAGGGTCTTCGCAACAGTCCACTATCCGGCGGCAACGGGGTGGCGCGCCCGACTACGCCTTCGTGGGCAGACTTCTTGTCGGCCGGCTTCGTCGACGACTCTCACTCAAAGCCTACCTACCTTCTGCCTCCCGATAAGATTCTCCCGCCTCTGTCGCCGGATGCCCGTCAACTCAGCTCGCAGTCACATCAGCCTCGGCTCGAGAGCGAACGCGACGTCGAACCGGGCGAGCTCGCAAGCATCAAGGTTATTGACCTGGATGACGCCTTCTGGTGGGTGTGGATGACGAGTCTTGCGCCAGAGGAAACCCCTGAACGGAAATCGGCTTTTGGCAGATGCGCCGTTGTCGAGACTCAGATCCGTGGCTGCCGCTGGCTTGTTGTGGAGGAGATCATTGCAGGGGCTTCACATGATGCCCAAGACGGCGCCTATATTGCCGAGAAAAAGGGCCTCTTCTCGTGGACCAAGCGCTCCAAGACCGTCTCTCGGCGCAAACTGGAAAAGCACCATGATAAGCCAACCAGCGCGAATGCCAATGCCAATGTCAACGACAGCAAAGCCAGTCTCGGCCCCGACGCACACGCCAGAGTTCAAGCAAAGGCTGCGCAGATGAGGGCTCAGCAAAACAAGGAGGAGGCCAACCCGGCACCCGTTCGCCGCGGCCGCACCGATGCCGAGTTGCTCGCTGAAAAGACTAATAGTGTTATGACCCTTCAGCCCAGTATTCTGGGTGAGGCCTCTTCCGCGCTGAAGTGGGTGAAGAGCTACGACAAGGGCACCATCAAGGACATTTACATGGCCAACGACGGTGCAGGCCGAGGAACAGCCTTCACCCCCTCCGAACTGGTTGACAGCCAGGAGACCTCCGCAGACGGCCTGCCGTCGCCTGCAGTGCCTCCAAAGGATAGTCTTCTCACGCCTGCCGCTTCACCCTTGCCTCATGGACATGGACACTCAGCCCTTTCACTGGTCCCTGAGAGCGTTAAGGAGGAGTCGCGGTCGCGCTCACCTCTGCCAGAGAAGGCTGCCACGCCCGTGCCTCCCGCTCCTGAACAGCCAAAGGCAGAACCCAGCCTGCCGACGCCACCCAAAGAAGAGCCGGCGGCGCGGGTCAAGTCTCCTACGTTCAACGGCAAGCCTTCATCCTTTGAAGCCCCGCGAAGCCCTGAAGCCGGAAAGCAACACAAGGGCGGCTTCCTCAAGCTGTTTGGCCGCAAGAAGCGCAACTCCAAGAACCTTGACAGTGTCACGACTGACTTGAACAAGATGCTCGAGCAGAACGCTGCCAAGAAGTCTATCGAGAAGCCAATGGCCAGCCCTGCTGTTGTCTCGCCCATTGCGGAGCAGCAGCCGGAGACGCCCGTCGAGGGAGAGCCGGTGTACGAGCCAATTTACGACCAGCCGGCCGACGATGAAGCCGAAGACGCCGATGCCCACAACGCTCCCGAGACCGAGCACGACTTTAATAGATTCGATCAGGGCCCTCTGGATGATGTGCCAGCCTTTATCCCCGAGGAAGATGAGGAGGATGAGTTTGAGGATGCAGTGCCACAACCGATTGCTCGCCCCGTCCGACAGGAGCTTCCCCGAAAAGATCTTCCCCGACAGGCACCTCCCCGGCGGGAGCCTCCCCAGCCGGAAGCTCCCAAGTTCAACTCCAAGCTGCCTGTAAAGGAAGGGCTCTCTACCGGCACGAGCCCCGGCATCCAGGACCGATGGGCCCAGATCCGCAAGAACGCGGCCGAGCGAAGCGCCTCACGCCCGCTGGACGACCCTAACCTGCCGAGGCCTGTGAGGCCGACTGACGGTGATGATGAGACCAGTGGAGAGGAGAGTAAGTGCCAATGGCCCTCGCACCCTATCCAGCATGTGCCGTATACCATGTACTGACCAAGCATTTTCGTTGCAGCAATCGAATCCCGTGTCGCCCGCATCAAGGCTCGTGTCGCCGAGCTGACGGGCAACATGGAGGGCACCTCGGTGCCTCTCCGCAACTGAGCGCCCGCCGGAATTCTTCATCTTGTTGACAATACCCTGTTTCCCTTTTACCCGATATCTGCCGCAATTTGATACCACTCGTCGTCATTTTTTCCTTGAAAGCAAATCAGAGATACGATGCAATGTGCAGCGTTTCACATCTAATCACTAGTCCATTCTCTATCTCTTTGTTCTTTTTGATCATAACATTATACACATATTCATCTTTTTTTTTCCCAGATATCCTGTATGATACCACCACCCAGAAAACACGAAGGGGAAAGGAAGGGGAGCATTGGCCATTGTTGGGGAATCTTGCACCGTTTTCCTTTACGCACGACGTTTTACATGCCTTTACGGTAAGTAGGAAAAGGCAACGGGGGAGTGTGCCGAAGGATGCAAAATGCTAAAAACCCGGACTTTGTCTTTGGCTTGCCCTATTTTACCATCATCTACCCGACCTCTTTCAGTTTGAGATAAAAGCTGTTTGTCATCTCTCTATTTTATATTTCTATTTCTATTCTATCTTTTTCTTACCGACGTTTTGTCTGATTCTGTTGTGAAAAGATGTACAGAGGAGGATACCGTGTCAAAGGGGATAGAGTCATGCACGTAGCTGAAGTATATCTCCCTGGGAGGCTGGAGCCTGATACACGGAACCTGAAAAATGCAACACATGCTTCTCGTGCTGGGCTTTCTTACACTTTCCTCTTGGAAAGATGCGTGTGATGAACAAAAGTGTAACGTGTATGAAATTGCCAGTGTGTTGGCGCGCTATAATCGCTCTATGGACAGCTCAGGTCATTCCCATAAATAAGGCCCCTATTAACATTTCGGCCCCTAAGATACCCTGTTCAACGCTGCCTAGAGCGTCATTGTCTTCTTGTATTCTTCATGTTGTTGGGCCTTGATGTTCGATCCCGCCCGTTCCACGTGAACGGATGATGATGCGTCAAGAGTCTCGTTGGAGACTAAGCACAAAGTGGAAATATCTACAGGCTACCATCAATCCTTCTCGAGAATTCACTCATTGACTTAGGTTGATTTTCAATTTTCCTGATAAATTCTCTCTCCAAATAGCCTGACATTGGGGTGCCAAGGAGCTTCGATGCGTCTAGCACCATGCGCGGGTAGAAGCGTTGCAAGCTCTGGCGCTGGACCTAGACCTGGACCTGGACCGCTGGAGATGGAGGAAGAAACAAACTTAAGGAAGAAGAGAAGATGAGTGGTAAAAAACAGAGAGAGAGAGAAAGACGCGAGCTTATCTAATGGTGAGAGGGAGAAGAAGCTGTGAACTTGATGCTCGCATCACACAGGCCTGAATGCGCTGTGCTCGTAGAGATGGATCCAGAGCACATGCATATGAGAGCCCTGGGGATTATTTACGTACCTAGTAGGGTCCTTCCTTGTTCAAGCATGCTGACAACTATCTCGAGAAAGCATCAAGAGCCCATTCCTGTGCGTATTATCCTATGCATCGTGATATGGATAATGGGTGTTGATGGTGACCTGCATCCCGCTTCTTGACCAAGTACAGAAGTAATACCTACCTATTACCACCACCCTGTATTTGCCGCCGCCGTCCCGTTGTCGAGTTAGACGTTTAGCTTCGCCCTGACTTTGCACATTGTTTAGATGCCGTCACCTAGGTAGTATAGCAATTGCTCCCCATACATTTGAAAATGCTATTACTTACTTGGCCCCGTCTCTCTCATGTGCGTTGCCTTGTCACGGTCGCGTCGCATCATCATTGGCACAACTACCGGGAAATAAACTCCCCCAAGTCCGGCTATCACCGAAACCCCCACCTCCTCCATCTTTCATCATCAACTCTCTCACATGAAACATCTCGCAAAAGCATAACCATCAAAAATCAGCATCTCCCAATCACTCTACGGCATCCCTCAAGCAAATGCCTTTATAAGCCCAATGCCAAAAAAAAAAAAAAAAAAAAAAAAAACGGCCCATCTCATAGCTCCGCCACATCTCCAGATTCCCGTCTCCCACCAAAACACCACTCTCCACCACTAGCCATCATCATCATCATCATCATCATCATCATCAACCAACCTCACACTCGCTCCATAGTCCAGCTTCATTTCGACCAATATGCCCGAACCTCTGCACCTCTTCGACCTCCCCGTCGACATCCTCTCCCTCATCCTCACCAACCTCCTCACAGCCCCCGAAAACGGCATCATCCCCCTCTGCCCCTGCACCACCACCGCCCGCCTCCCCATCAACCCCCTCCCCATCTTCCTCACCCACCCCTCCCTCTACGCCATCGCCCACCCGCTCTTCTACGGACCGGCAAACACCTTCCTCCTCGATCTCACCGGCAACCACGCCTCCCACATCCGGCGCTTCATCGACGACGCAGCAGAAGACGCCCAAGACGACAACGACAACAACAACAACAACAGCAACACGCAAAGAAGCAGCACCGCCAACAGGCATGGCCCACAAGCCCAGAAACAACTCCTCCTCCTCCTCCTCCGCCACACAGGAGGCCCCTTCCTTCTTCTCTCGCAAGAAGCAAGGCGCAGAGTACGAAGATTGGAAATGCGCATCGATCGGCTGCGCGGGTGGCTGTGGGATGACCTGGGCCCCTTCCTGCAGGACATGGCCGTCCGAGGAGAACTGGCGGATTTCACCCTGCTCGTGGACGAGAACAGTAGCAGCAGCAGCAACAGCAGCAACAACAACAATAAAGTCCGGGCGCAGTCCAGCTCGAGGGCGTTTCTGCGCGAAAAGAAGCGCGTCTTTGAGAGGCCCCCGCTGGAAGGGCTGGTCAGGCTGCTGGCCGACCCGGGGATCCGGGAGGCGAGGCTGAGGGTCAGGGGCAGGCATCAGCGGGCGTGGTGCGAGTTTCATGCTGGACAGGAGTGCGGCTCGCTGTCGTTTTTGAAACGGAGGGATGTGGGTGAAGGGGGTGGGGATGGCGATGCCTTGGAGAAGAAGAAGAAGGAAGAGGATGGGGAGGAGGTGGTGGTTGATGTTGACTGGCGGGCGATTCTGAGCATGGTTGATCCTGAGGGGAGAAGGAGAGCAGTGGCGTGGCAAGCGTAGCTGGCCAGTTCTCTCGGATTTTCCGTTGTAAATCTTCTTGCTATGTATGTTGGATATCTTTCAGGTTCTGTTTGTCCCTAGTGAGACGCTGTTCATGTAGTCAATCGCGCTTCCTCCAGGATATCCTCTGAGTTGATGGGCAACACCCATTTCGCTAATGACAAAAGACCAGCATCTCTTCAGGCCTCTCGAGAGATAATTATCAGATCTTATCTCGCAACGTACAGGTTTCAAGAATTTTAGTATACGACGTGTGCTATCCGTCTACAGCCTCACCAGACACACTTACACTTGCGGCGACTGTTGTGACATCTTGAAGTGTACAGCAAACACGGGAAACGAAGAAGACATATTGTACAGTCGATTCTCTCTCTGCGTTTTTCATCAAATACTTCGACCCTTTGCAAATGCAATGATCAAATAATGAGCCGTCACTCGAGAGGAGCGAAAGCCCTCATGACAGCTGTTTCTACAAGAGCGGCCCATCCAGAACGAACCAGCCCCTGAGCCTCTTCCCAACAACTCAGATCTGCTCTTCACCATCAGCCATGAGAATGCTCTATCAAATGCAACCGTTCCCGTGGAAGCAGCCTGTGTATTCCATGCGTGAGTCAATGCCGCAAACAACAAGGTCACGACTCACAGCGTCCAAGAGGCATCAACAACACTCACCAGCCATGCAACAATGCCTTGCAAAGCAAACCTTCAACATTTCCACTCACTCTCCCCCCTTATACCCTCTCTCTTCTCGTGCGCTGAGCGCTTCACCCTCTTGCAACACGCCGGCATGCAATGAGAGCCATTCAAAAGCCGTCACCAAGTGTCACGATACACAACAGTGGCAGCAATCAACGACAAACCCTCAGCATCTCGGCCATGAAGAGGTGCAGGATATCGTCGTCAAACCGTCTTTCAACTCGCAGATGCCCTGCTATAAGAGCCCTCGTCGGTATCCCAGGATATTGCTCGTTTCGTAAACCAAGTCCATGCAAAAGCATCAACTCCCCCGCCGGCATTTTAAACAAAAAGTCCTCGAGTCAGGCCGTCCTCGGTTGCAATTTCAAGGAATCTCAGGCTGCCACACTAATCGCTCTCGCAGACAGAAGCCTCCGGACTCGAGAATTCCGAATTTGCACGAGTTCCCTCACAATGCCCTTGTCAAGCAGACGCGGCTCGGTGAGAAGCGGGTCATCCATAGAATCTGACCGCTCCCGGACAAGGAAGCCAAATCCAACCTGCGAAGACTGCGATGGTAAGGGATGGTTCAGGACATCAAGGCAGGAGAGGGTCAGTGTGCCGTGCAACGTCTGCTGGGCCAGGGGTTGGGTATACTGCTGCCAGGCCCCTGCAATCTTTTGCAGGTATTGCCGTAACGGATTGCCTCGCCGCGTAGACTGTGGACGCTGTTCTGGTATCGGCCGAATAATCGTCCTCAGGACCCATCACACAGATCACACATGCGGATGCGCATACTGATGGTGAAGCCGCACGGAGTCGAAGTCCGAAGAGTTCTGCTGCTGCCCTTCGGCTACAGCCCACGTCTCCTCTAGCTGGGGCAGTCTACATTTTTGAATGCATGCGGAGCGTGTCACTGGGTTTCGTTGCTGCTGTATGAGAGTTAGCAGGAGCAGGAAATGGGATATTATACGAAAGACGAGATAGGGCGTGGAAGCAGATGTGTGTCATCGGCTTTGGACGGGATTGGATCCTTGGACGATGCTATTTTAGGCGTCCATAGCTACAAGGCATAGATTATACATACGTGTGAAACGCGAACGGACCCTGTGTAAATGGATTGATAAGGCTGGACACGACATCACCCGTTCAAAGCGATATACTTTCTGTGGCTGGTGACAGACAGCTCCTGCTTCTGAGTCAGCTGATGAAGGATAACTTGACCGCGAAACTGGTGATGCGGGCGGGATAGAGCCAGCTAAAATCCCACAGGCTGAGTGTGTAATGCTCGTTCATCGCAGATTGATGGCACATCCGCACAATGTCTGGCTTACCAATAGGCACAGTATGATGTCTGGACTCGTGGTGATCCTGCAAGCAGCGTCAGCCAGGCAGGATGCACTTGCATATGACTGCATTTGCATGGTTTGAGACATGATCTAGCCCAGAATCCAGATGATGGTCGCTGTCATCAGGTAGTCAGTCACCAGGATCTCTCCTCCATTGATCTATGTACATGTCTGCATACATACAAAACGGACGAGGTTGAGTCGGTGTCGTACAGAAAGGACATACCTCAAAGAACCTGCAGCTAGGTATCTTCGCCAGCACCAGCCCTGATGACATCAAGACCATGAACAACGCATCCTAGCCACAACCAACCAGAGATGCTGAGAGCCGTTTTATGCAATTTGTCTGGCGCCAACCAGACAGGGACAAGGGTCGAGCTTTGGTCATCAAAGGCCATGTCATTGCTCCCAGCAGATCCGTTCTTTTGCCCCTCAGATCTGGCTGTGGGGCTTGCTTGCGTCTGATCAAGATCAAATCATCAGGGTCCCTGTATGTACTTTTTGTCCCGAGGCATCCATGGACAGGAGAGAGAGTGATGAATGCATAACGCTGTCCATGGATGGCAGACATCGGTGAAGAAGCCCATTCGTCATTCTCGGGGGCTTTCCATGCTGGTGCTGTCGTCGTACGCAGGCTGATGAGACGCCACCACAGCTGCGATATCAGTGTACTGGATGCAGAAGAATATCCATGCTCGTACAAATTAGTAGGTAGGTATAGGAAGAGAGCATGGAGATGAGCAGCAGAGGCGGCGAAGAGCATAGTAGGTAGAGAACACGTGCCTGGGTCCCCAAAGCAAGAAAGCAAGAAGCCGCTCCTGCCAATGCCAGCCAATGTCTGCACAACGTGCCTGCCCCGTTGCACGTCCGCCGACGCTTCGTCATGCCTTCCTCGGCTACGGCCACCGCTATTGCAGCTCTCTCCTACAGCTAAGTACCTAGTAGGTAGTACCTATGTACTCCGTAGAGGGAGACATTTCACCCTGTATCTCCGATGTGCTAATGCGGTCTGCACCTTCCTACTGCAAGAAGGCATGATTTTCAATCTTTTGTGGATTTCATTCGTCTGTTTCTTTCTCCTGCCGATTTTCCTCTTTCTCTGCGGTTTCTCCACGCTACATGTACTCGGCATCTACTTCCCCTCGTCCCCCATTCACCGCAACTTTGCCATGTAACCACCGCGTACTCGTACTGAGTGAGGGACTCCTTCCTCCTCTGCGATGGCCGTTTCGGATGGACAGGGGGGAGGGAGCAGATGCCCGAAAGGCAAGGGAGGAAGGAGAGAACCACCACTGGACATCTGCCAAGCAACGATGGGAAAGGGCCAAGAAGCAAAAGGGAGGGAAAGCACTACCTAGGTAAATAGAAGAGAAAGGAAGCGTGGGGGTTCTTGTTTCTGCAATACGGATTGCGGCCTCCCCGCACATTGACTGGTGAACAGAGCAGCAGCACCGTGACACTCACTACTACTAGGTACCTACATAGGGAGGTTGCTGTGTGGCAATGGCTGCGGTGCATCGTGCATGACAATTGGTATGACATTTGCGCTGCCAAAGTCTGTACGACGTCACCTTCAGAAGACCAAAGCCAGAGCCAGGATGACGATGAAGAAAAAGAAAAAGCCCCTCCTTATCGCAGCATCTTCCCCTCGTCCGCCTCCTCTCCTCCTTCTTCATGCGCCTCCGGCCCCCCCTGCATGAGAGTGAAGGAACCAGCAAGGCGAAACAAGAAAGAAAAGGCCACCCAGACATCTCGCAACCAACAACTCACAAAAGCTAAACATGTAGTTGCATGTAAGTTGATACTACATAGTAGTAGTAGTAGTATGTCACAACAAGACACATGCATAGCACAGAGGTCTAGACAAATCCCATTTCTCGCCCATCTCCCACAGCCTCGGGAACCTGCTAGACTAGCTCACAAGGGTAGCCCCAATCCAGCCATGGCTCCCCCTCACATCATGCTATGCTTGCATGAAAAGCAAACCATTTTTTTTTTCTTTTCTTTCCTTCTATCTGCGGCCCCTGTCTCCCCCATTTCGTATACACATCTCAGCAGAAATTTTTCAATTCCCGCCCTCTTTCTATTGCTACGCCTCCGGGTTCCGACATGTGAAAGATTTCTCACTGTCCTACATTGTACTATTTCCTACCCACTTGCCGGCTATCACCGGGCGGTCAACTGGAAGACTCGGAATAGGACGATCTGAACAAAGTCTCCCCCAGTTTTACGGGGCAGATCACCCTCAAACTGTCACCTACTGTGTATACTACATACCCGTCATCTGTCTTCATGTGCACTAAGTGAGCAGCCAGAAATTCTAGAAGCACCTTCTGGATATTGCTCTTATAGCATTGCCTACCCAAGGCACTTACTTTGAGCCCACTGCTCTCAACGTTGATAAGGCACCTGTCAATAGGTAGCAAAGTCTGCCGTAGTACTTAGTGGTATCATTTCGCTGCCTCTGCCAAGCAGCCTCGCCACCCCCATGTCTCAGTCAAATGTATCACCGAAATCTTGATAGTATCTCAGCCAAGAGGCAAAGGAGAGACAGCACCCAGAGACACGGCATTTCAAGCTTAATCTGACATTCTCTCGCCTCTCCAACCAACAGCATCGCCTCAAGATCCAAGACATACAAAGAGGCCCACGCCAAGAAAAAAGGCGGAAGGCGTCGTCAGCGCATTCTAAAGCAATGATCGTAGCACGACTGAGATGGCAGTGGTTCGTAGTGACGGTAACACCTTGGGTTCTTACGAAGCATGTTCACCGGATGCCAAGTGCCTTGAGTTGGACAGCATCATGTCTTTTTGTAGGTATGTGTATTGATCTGATACTGTTGCACATCTTGTGCGCAACACATCCTCTTTGTCCACCGTGTGCTCCCGTAGCACAATCTTGCAAACTAGGTGGTACTATCTGGAAACCCATCTTCAAATTACACCTGAGAGGTGTCTGATACATGCTTCCCATAAATTCCATAAATTTCATTTGCCAGAGGCAAAAAAATCAGTTCGCTTGAAACATCCGAATTCATTCCAATAACATATGCCAAGCCGAGCACAATCAGGCGCTAATAAGGCGCCAACACTGGCTATGAGGGAGTAGATCTGTTCCCTCGAGTCATTCCGCTCTTGTTCCCAACTTTTGTTGTTGCTGCGCCGCCAAAGTAATCTTTGTTTTTTTGGGGCGCTTGTAATAACAGTAAGATATCGCTTGCTTCATCCCTCGTGGGTGGATAAACAAAGAAAGACGCAATAGAAGAAAGGAAAACGCCAATTTGCCGTGTGTGTCATTCGAGCGAAGTACGTCTCCATCGTTTAAGGAGAGGCAGGAACATCGTGGAAGTCGTCCTTGTGGTCATCGGCGTGCTGTCCCCAGTAAACGGGGCCCAGCTTCAACACCCTGAAGCCCGTGGTGGAGCTCGAGGAGGATCGTCGGCTCTCAGGGAGAGCGTCAGGGCTGCTGGCAGGCATCTGCGGGTAGGATGACGAGGTGGTCGGTGCCAGAGATAGGAAGGCAGAGGGAGCAACATCCGGTGAGGGAGGCGTGGCTGGGACGTCGTAGAAGTCGTCCTTGTTCTGGCCAATGTGCTCACCGCAGTAGACGGGGGCGAGCTTCAGGACCCGGAGACCGGTGGGAGAGCTGATGGAGGCTCGTCGTGGCCTGACCGTACCCTCCGTAACAGAGGGCCGTCTCTCTGGGTGAGGGTACGACGACGAAGTAGCAGGAGCCAGTGGAAGGAAGAAGGAAGGGCGGCGCTCAGCAAGAGCGGCACGGGCAAAGTCGAGAGACATCTTGAGAGGAAGAGTTGTGGAAGTTTGGGACTCTAAGTTAAAGTGACAAAAGATAGTGGTAGGCACACAGGAGAGAGACAAAGAGATGAGAGACGGGATCTCGTGTGAGTTGGGCGGAATATGAAGAATGTCGGTCCACGAGAGATGGCCTGCTGATATCGTTGTTGAGGATGGATGAATGGAAAAGAGAAAGGAGAGAATACCCACGACAACAAGAGGCGATTGCGTGCTCTTTATGCTCACCAGCGCCGGCTCTCGTGTCACAGCTGCTTACGGATGCACATCCCAAGGAGGCGCGTACGAGCACCTAACTCGAGACAGCGCTGTCACTGACGCTAAGCCGTCAAGTCCGGACAGCATGGCATGGGGGACCCGCACAGAGAGATCGGGAGCGCGGATGTCGAGAGATTTGCTCTGGACATGACATGCCCTAAAGGGGGTGCGTCATGGGAGGTAGGAGGTGGGCTGAGACGCGGGCATGGATCTGACGACACACTGGCAGTATTCGCCTCCTGCCAATCTTCTCGCAGCCCAACTACACACCAAGTCATCATCATGTGAACAGGAGCGCTCACCCTCTCAACCTCTGAAGCGGTGGTCCTGGCCGTCCCGTCATTGGGTGCAGACGCTTTGCGTCGCGTCCGTGAACCAAAGCCAGGGAGCAAGTCGGACCACTCATGTCTGTCTGCCTGGCATCTGCTTCATGCAGAGCTGGTATGGCCCCCCTCCTGTCGAGCGGCACCAATGATAGAGAACTATCCCCCCACGCCGGCCGGGGTCTCGCACTTTGTTTTCCCTCCCAGCTTGTCTTCTTTCCTGCTCTGGTCCGGTTCTTTCGGCCTGGCGGTCCTCGCGGCAAAGGAGATAAGAGCCCGCGTGCGAATTTACGACAGCTAGCTCCGAATCGGGCTTAAAGCAGGTGACGAGCCGTGCACAACTCGAATTGCATAACAGACACAAAGAGAAGAGCCAGAGATTTGCCGGCCGGCGGGGGGCACCGGTTCGTCCTTGATGAGGCCCTTCAAGTCGACGGTGATGCTTCACCGTCCAAGATGGACATCACGGAGGCCGAACTCCACTTGAAGATCGGGCGGTAGTGGTAGTATCACATAGCGACTGAGATCCGGGGTGCAGACCGTAGTCCCGGCCGAATCTCGAGGCTCATTGGACGCTGGAAGCGCGTTCCGGCACCCAAAGGGATTTTTCGGAACCGATGTCGGGAATATCGCCCCCCAGCGCTGCCATGTGCCTGTGGGCCGAAGCAGAATGCGGGGAGGGATCTGGACTTGCTTCAAGATCTCCTGACAGCTGCAGTGACCAATCTATCAAGCTTTTGGAGGGCCTTGGCTACATCCATGTCGAATCACACCACGGCGTGATCCCGAGATATAGCCCTGCAGGTTCGACGCTTGTCGGTAGAGGCACGCTTGTGTCCCGAAGTTGGCCGATTGTCACAATCTCGCTCTCCCCAAATGATGTCCAGTTTGTCAGAGGGTATCCCGACCGTGACGATCTGCTGAAGAAGGTGCGGGTAGCAGCGGCAATACACAGGCCAATTCTTTCCAAGCATATTACCTTTACGGTCATTGTCCCGTCGCTCTCGCAAGCTTAGGGTTGTCTGTGCTGTGAACCTTGCCACCATGGGGATAGTGCACTCGGTCTTGTTTGATAGACTGCTTGCCACGATCCTTTCAGTAATCTGAAGGACCCATCGCTTTGTGTCTATGGTTGAGCATCTGACAATGTAGATCGAGGGAAGCAGGAGGGAAGCGGAAGACGGAGACGAGAGCACTGGCTAGGAACGCAAGTGTGCGACATGCTGCTAGTAGCAGGGTTTTCGGTAACAAATCGTGTGAGGTATACCAGACGGCTGAAGTCGTCGAGACAGCCCAGTGTGTAAGCCGCTGGCACTGATAGCCAGCAACTCGTTTGCTCAAAGTTTTGTTCTGTGACATTGCAACACCGTCCCGCAACCAAGTAGATGGAATGGCTACAAGGGCGAGTATCCATTGCTCATTGCTAAAGATGGCCTTCCGCGGCTATTGTCATGGCATCTGTCAATCTTATCAGTCTATTGCTCGAATCGTTAGACAAACGAAGGAAAGCATCTAACAAGGGCAGGCAGAAGTGGATGGCAAGTCGCCCAGCAACTACGTTGTCCATCGCCTTCCAAAGGCCAAGAAATGAAGTCGAACTCACCTACGGCCTTGTACGCTAGGTAGAAGGTTCTTCGAGATTTTCGCCACAAGCAAGCCGTTACACTCGACAATTATCTGTATGATCAGTGTCGTATGGACTGACTGAAGTGAATGGCTGCACCGTTGGAAAGTCTATGGCATGGACCAGGCGTTGTCAGTAATGCATTAGCAACTCTCGATTCTCGAAGTTACAGATACTTCCCAGCACACCGTCCCATATTTGTGCCTAGTTGAGTTATAGAAGTCTTACTGAAAAGGTGAGCAGTATAGCGGCAAACGAAGAACAGGATTGAGCATCCAGTCCTTTAGAGTCGTGAGTAGGTTCTTCTCCACTTCGACAAGAAAGAGCAACTCGTGTCTCTTGATCATATTAATTACATGAGAGAGCATATTCTGGCATTCCTCGATGAGAAGAAGCATCTAGGTCTCCCATATCCAGCTGGGGGAGCCCTCGATATCCGTCTTTTTCGTCCATGGCAGTCGACATGGGAGTCTTTCATCATCGACCCTGTCTTCGGTCTTCCGAGGCCCCACTGAGTGAATTGTGTGTCCTTGCGGCTGAGAGCATGTGAGCAAGGTTGAAGCAGCGAGACAAATCACCGGCTGACCGTCATGAAGACAGCTCGCACATCCGTCGTCTTGTGGAGAGGTGGGAAATTTGGCCCAACCCTGCAGAATACGAGCGTGTTGGAGCGGAATCTGCCTGAATGGCGAGTGATCGGCTTCGGATAAGAAAGATGCCTGGCCTTGGAAGAAGTACCCGCAGGCTCAACCCGTCTCAAGGGGTGTATGTATCAGTGATCCATTCCCAAGCCTAGCGGTCGAACTTCTGTTCTCATCCAGCGGAATGGGCAATGCCGTTGGTGATTGCTTCATCAAGTTGCAGGACAAGCCGTCCACCTTGCCATTGCTGCATATGAAAGCCTGCTTGATGCCCTTTTGCATCGGTCCGTGCCCTGCTAGCAGTCCTTCTGAGTGGCTCGCGGAGCTCTCCGGGGAAGAAGCCTTCGGACTAATTATGTAGAGGACGCTCGGCTGTCGTCAGCTCAACCACTAGGAGTCGATAGAGTCGCCATCGTTCCGCGACTGATCAGTTTGCCGCATCAGCCTACTGGATAGGCAAGCGTCTATAGACGCGGTTCTCTCCCTTGACGTTGACCGTAAGCCATCCGCCCTGAGTCTCATTGCCCGTTTCGGTCAAAGGCTGTTCGGTCCACAGTGGGTCGAGTTACCGCGAGTGGTAATCTGAAGCGCTTATAAACGCCTCTGATTGGTTGCGTGGTTCGGCGCTCTAACAGCGTTACATTGAGATACTCGATATGGATGGCAACCTCATTGTAGCCGCCATAAATGCAACTCTCATGTATGTTGAACAAGACATCGATGCTCTGTTGGATCATCGCGTAACGAGCGTCGGCGTTTGTCGAGTCGTCCATACGCGCGTTAAGCCAAGGATGCAAATCTCCGCGTCCGTCAGGCCCCCATGCAGAAGCTTCTCCAGTCTAGTCTCAGAGAGCTAGTTCGGTAAATGCGGATCTATGTCCGCTCACGACGTTGGAATCAGTTCATGTCCCGAGAAGTCAATGAGAAAACAAGCATCGAGTCAACCTACACATGCACTGATGACATTTCTTCCTGCGGCCAAGACCCCATCCGGCCCCCAAATGCTTGTGTTCTAGCAGAAGTTCCAAGATCAGATGTTGCCTCTTCATGCCGGAATGATGGGAGAAGCCGGATACGGTGATCAAGGAAAAGGTTCGGCGTGACTGTGGCGACGATATCGATCCATTGGTGCTGAACTGCCACAGACGAAAGATACAGAGAGAATGGGGCCCCTTGGTAGCCCGCTTACACAGCATTGTCGTGCCCTGAACACGTATATCTATCAGGAACGGAGTAATCAGTCGAGCAGCCTGGTTAGGGCAAAGCCGAGCACCATTTGCGTATGCCTTTTGTACAGATGTTCACGGCCATGAAGTCAATCCTACCTAGAGATAGAGGGAGAACCTCCGAAAGAACAACCGATGAGTTTCTCCACTATAGGATGCATGTGCGCATATTGTGATGTGCTGCTGCCGATTCATACTAGATAGAGAAGGATCAGTATCAGTGCTAACCAAATTGCAACTGTGAATGAAGTCACTTGACCTATGTAAGATGTGCAAGGGTAAAGCTGTTGGGTACAGCATTCAGAGGTGTGTAATTGCGTGTGGATCTTGAATCATGGAATCACGAACGGATGCCAGAACCATGATGCAATGCACACTCGACATCATCACGGAGCTCCGGACCCCCCTCGAGGTAACATTGGCACTGATAGTGAGGCCATTGAAAGCCTGAGTTGATGCCCAAGCTTAGAAAAGCTTAGAAAGGCCCGAGTGGTGCTGCGCCATGCATCAGTAGTATCCCCGCCAGCGTCTGAGGAACATGATGGCTGATGCGGGACGAAAGGATCATTTCACTCAGATACAGTTTCCGGTGTGGCCACCATCTCAGCACTGCCGGCTGCGGCAATTATACGGCCGCATAGCAGGCCGCATTGAACTTTGAGCGGGAAGATCTCAAGAGCCGCATAGAGAGGTGTCGGCCGCATCTTCGGCCGCATCACTGATCTCTTCATGTGGGGATACGTTCAAACGCCACAAGACCCAGTAGGCACAAGGGCCCCAGACGCGGACGGGTCGGAGCCCGAAGGCAGACAACAGGTCTTGTGAACTGTAGACGCAGCCGCGACAACTGCGGGCCAACAACACCATTGCACACAATTTTTCTGCAGTATCGTGCGGTAGACCGGTTAGCAGTTGGCTCGACAAAAATTGTTCGACTTGCAGGTCGTCACTTACGGGAGAACCAGAAGAGCGGGCTGTCCCGTGTCAACGCCACCAGCAATCCGAATCTTACCTATTTCATAGAGAAAACAAGCCAACACCATGAGACGGAGCGGGGGGGTT